GGCGGGCAAGCTCCTCCCCTCCACCCTACATGCCCTTTCACAGGTGGAAGAGGACTTGGACCAGGTTACCAGTGTCATTCAGGCTTACCTGGTCAGGGGAGCCATGATAGCTTTTAGAAAAAACAAAAACAAAAACAAAAACACCTCTCAGAATAATGTAGGGGGAAGGAAGAAAGTAAGGAACAAAGAACTAAGACCCTAAATAGGAAATATTCTTTCTGGAAATGCTTGGAATAAATCAATTCATCTCTCTCTCTCTCTCTCTCTCTCTCTCTCTCTCTCTCTCTCTCTCTCTCTCTCTCTCTCTCTCTCTCTCTCTCTCAACTTGAATCAAACTTCAGGGAGTCCGATGCCAGGCAGTTTATTGCTAGTAAAGCTACAGACAATATAATTCGGAAAAAGTTTCCTTGTATAATACAATCCTCCAGTGAACATTAAAGTGTAACTACATCTAAACTCAACTCAAGGTAGATGCCATTTCTTCCAAAAAGATGGGATCTTGCATTAGCTTGAGGGCTAGGAAAGGGTCTGGCATGGTCTTGGCAACACAGAAGTGTAGAGACCATTTGGATTATTAGCCACCTCTGGTCCTGGCTGTACAGATAATGTAAGGGTCATTTAGATTTCTAGCTACCTCCAGTCCTGGGTGTGGAGCTTGATCTGGCCCACCATACAATGCAGGTCACCAGGCTGTTAATCACCTCCAACGCTCAGCTCTCTGGACGGAAGAACATATTTTACATCTTTTCCATTGAAAAGACAACCCTGTATGCTTAGCATTCCTGGGTTCCCTGGAGATCTGTGGGTGCAAGCACCTCCACTAGAAGAAAGACTGTTGGATGTTTCCACCATAAAAGAATGATAACGACTGAGACGACGCATGTTCACCCTGCTACGCACTCAGCAACAGGGTCATTACACGGTGCCCTGTAAGTACAGCTTTGTGTTTTCAAAGCACCAGCTTCTTACTGTTTAATTTTTTTTTTAAGTGCTTGAGGAGGTCAGTGAGATGGCTCAGCAGGTAAAGGTGCCACGCCCCATGACCTACCCCTGATCCCTAGGATGCACGTGATAGAAGAGAACATATTCCTTAAAGTTGTCCTCTGAATCCACATGCATGCCTAGGCAGGAACAGGCCTGTGCACACTTTTGTGCACACGCGGGCGTGCACACGCGTGTGGGCACACACACACACACCAAACAAATAAACAATATAAATAAAAAGTGCTTCGAACAGGAAGGGCCAAGTGTTTGCCTTTTCCTGTGAAAGTCTCCAGGCAACCTTTAGTTCCTCTTATACCTAACAGTCTATTTGGACTCAGCTTATCAAAACTGATCCTTTTAGCTCATTTTCTCACAAAGTATCCCTTCTCTGGGACTCTCTAACTCAACAGAACACGGTCACCTGTTGGCTCTCCAGGCCCTACCCCCTTACTCCCCCCACAGTCAAGTCCCTTTTCATTCCAGCCCTCTGTGCCAACCTCCAGGAGTGATGGCCCCCACATTTCTATGAGAGACACTGGAGCATCCTCTGGAGTGGCTACTCCTGTCCCTTCTCTCCAGACTGCCCCTTCTTATGCCTCTGCTGGGAGTTGAATGGCATCCTAAATTTGGATGCAGAAGTCCTAGTCCCTGGCACCTGTGAACGTGATCTTGAAAGTTCAGGTTTAATCAAGCTACAATGAAGACTCCCTGGTGCGCCCTGATCAGCGACAGGAAGACGAAGCAGACACCCGGGAAGAAGGCTGGAGATGACCAGGGCAGAAACTGGAGTGAGGAAGCTGCAGGCCGCCTTAGCAACGGAGAAGCCAGGAGGCGGTTCTGAAGCATTCCACCAGAGGGACCGTGAGCCTGCGGTCAGTGCAATTGCAGACGCCAGAACTTTAGAAAGATGACCACACGTTCCTCTTAGTTCAAGACACCCAGCTTGGGGCACATGCTTTTCTAACCCACTGTGCTAAAGCCCATGCGATCATTTGGAAAACATGGTTCTTGTTATACGGTAGCAGAAAGTCCCACTAGGAAGCCGCTGCTGTTAGGGCAGAGTCTGGCTGCTTTTTCCCCAGATGGCCTGCCTCAGGTTCATCAGGGACAGCTCTAGCACACACCTGTGCAGCACCCCAACTCTCGTGTTCCTGGGTGAAGCCCAGATGACTTCAGCTGCCAGAGCATAGCTGTGAGCAATGCCTTTACTATCATTATCATTATCATCATTATTGTTATTAGTGTATTATTATCATTATCGTTATTGTTATTATTAGTGTATGTGTGTTTGTATGCATTCATGTAGGTATACATGTATGTCCATGTAGGAGACAGATGTCAACATCAGATGCCTTCTCAAATCTCTTCTGCCTCATAGATCTGAACCAGATCAACTATCAGGTGAAGCTGTCAGCCAGCAAGCCCGAGGGAGCTGTGCCTTCCCCGACATGAACCTCCCTCCACACCTGACTGTGTAGGAACTAAAGATCTGAACTTGGGTCCTCATGCTTTCATGTTAAAGCCGCTTTTTTACAAGCATGTAGCCCCTGGCAAGTTGACCACACCCAAGTGGAAGGCCACATATCCAAAAATATTTGGGCAGCACAAATTCCTTTGATTTTTTTTTTTTTGTAGGTACACAGATCTGGGTGGGAAGAGAAGAGGAGACAGACCTGGGAAGAGTGGGGGAAGGAGGACTATGATCAAAACACGTGTGAAATTCTCAGATCTTAAAAAAAAAAATAAAAAAAAGAATGGCAGAGCAAGGGCAATGGGCTTTCAGAGGGAAACCATTACACACACACCTCCCCAGGAGAGCAGCACTGATTGTCCGCGCGGGGATTAGGTGTGGGGCAGATATGCCCGTCAAAGACACTTGCAAACGGAATTTGGAAGCATCTTGAAGGTATGGAGGAGTTGCGTATTTTTTTCCCAAGCTAGTCCTGTACCTTCTGAACATGTAGCTCTTCACCAAGGGGAAGCCCCTGCGTTGTCGTTGCTGAAACCTCCCAGAATCCCCTGCTCCTAAGTTATCACAATTCCCCAGAGGCTGCTAAACTCCTTCAGACAAATGCTGAGGTGCAGTCTACAGTGGGATCCCCACTGTCCAGCTAGCCACCCTCACTGGCTATGGAGGTGAAGTGACCACTCAGGCACTGTGTTAGCACAACAGAGTGGGGATATATTGCCATTTCCTTGAGAGACTAGTTGGGGGTAGGTGCAGGTGTGAGAGAAGGGTGAAGATGGGATTTGATTTGCAATATATTCAGATCCAGGCTAACATGGGGTAATGAAGCAGGGTTCTGGAAAAAAAAAACTACAGATGAGATGGAAGCATTGATTAACAGCTCAGCTCCTGACATGGTAAAATACAACCCAGGTAACCCTCCTAACTCCAGACAATTGGCATAAGGTGAGGCATCCACCCACTTTAAAAAATGGGGCTCAGCTAGAGTGTGGGTATGCCAAGACAGACCCCTCCCTATTCTGTTGGCTGCTTTATTCAGTGTCCATCCAAATGTCCAGCGCATCGGACATCGAACTCGTGATGGAATGACTGTAGCCCCCTCGTCAGTGGTTAGGAGCACAGGATGGAGTGTTGAAGACACCCACTGACTAAGTAGGAGAAACCCATGGGGTCCCCTCCACACTGTCATGTCCACCAAGACAGTGGAGCATGAATTTCAGCTTTATTGGCAAGTAAAGAAAACGCAATAACAAGGTTTTGTTTTAAGTCCTCACATCCAGCTGCAACACTAAACCAATCAACCTACACTTTCGGTTTTCAAACCCTGCCCATGAGGTGGGCTTGAGCAGAGCTGAGGATCCAAGTCAGCTGAGCCCAGACCCCTCTGGAAGTGGCTGCCTCTGTTACTTAAGCATTGGAATTCAGACCCCAAAGTGTTTACTCCCAACCACGATTATTGCCTCCTCTCTCGCTCTCTCTCTGTGTGTGTGTGTGTGTGTGTGTTTGTCTCACTCTGTGTATGTGTCTGTGTGTGTGTAGTATGTGGTGGTGTGTCTGTCTCTGTCTCTCGTGTGTGTGTGTGTGTGTGTGTGTGTGTGTTTGTCTCACTCTGTGTATGTGTCTGTGTGTGTGTAGTATGTGGTGGTGTGTCTGTCTCTGTCTCTCGTGTGTGTGTGTGTGTGTGTGTGTGTGTGTGTGTGTGTGTGTGTGTGTGAAGCAACCTTGGGAAGGCACTGGGATATGGGTAACATGAAATCAGAAGGAGGTTTATGAGGTGAGAGGAAGAGACTACAGGAGAGGAGCCAGGATGAATAAGAACAGAGTACACATGAAAATGCCAGGATGAAACCAATAGCTTCATATACTAACTTAAAACATTAATTTTTAAATACAATTTTCTCTTTTTTACTAGCAGAAAGCAAATCCAGCAGGCTACACCCAACAATTCCATGTAACAATGACTGTCACTGGGACACACGACACTGACTGTCACTGGGACACAGGACACAGGTCACTGACTGTCACTGGGACACAGGACACAGGTCACTGACTGTCACTGGGACACAGGACACTGACTGTCACTGTCACCGGGACACAGGACGCTGACTGTCACTGGTGGCCCCTGCTTTTCTCATCCTGTTTCCAGTTGGGTTATTCAATGCCCTCTCCTGGTTTTCCCCAGTTGTCTTCAATACAAACTTCTGAGATTTCCTCAATCCCTCTCAAGTGGGGGTGGAAATATTGTTAGGAAACGTGTTCATATTGACACACTCTAACCTGAAACTGTGTGTTTCGTAAATTGGCATCAAATCCCTCAGCTGCTTCCTGCTTCCCTGTAAGATGTGGCTCTCAATCCTGCATTCATCTAATTTTGGAGCCACATTTATCTAATTCTGTGTATTACTCCACACATGGACAGCACCTGGCTTCAGCAGAATGCCGGCTTCTCACCAAGTTCAGTCGGGTTATCATCCTGCCAAGTTACTTTAGCCTAGAATATGAAAGCCCACCTATGCAACGCACAGTTCCTGGTACCCTCCCAGCTCACCTGCAGGAGCAGCAGCAGCAGCAGCAGCGGCAGCCAGGTGCAGCCTCTTATGTCCATGTCTGGGTGGGTACTGGACAGTCTTTGGGATCTGTTGGCCTCACCAGGAGCCAGGCATCTGCTTCACAGCCAGTGACATCTGTTCTAGTGACTCTTGAGTACTTGGACCCTGACACTTAGTCCCACTCTTCTGTCCTCTCTGCCCTGCTTGCATTTCTTGGAGCAGGTGGGCTGATGGGTAAGGGGTGACCTCATCTGTGGCCAGCAGAGTCTAGGGAAGCAAGTGCTCAGATACCAAACACCAGTCCTGTGTGTACACAGAAACCTCAGGGATTATAGCTCAGCCAGAGGAAAGACAGCCCACGCCTACAGGAAAACGGGGTTTGTTTTCCTGTTTCTTGGGTTGGTTTTCAGTTTCTAAATAGAAGTCCAATAATCCCTCTATAGCAGGGTGATTAACAGTTCTTATAATCACTCAAAACTGGAAAAACAACCCCAGGAAACTGTAGAGAGTGTGCTCGTGTGAGTACGCATACACACACACACACACACACACTCTGTGTGTATGCGGTGTGGACTGTGGTGATCTATTGTTTATGACTTATTAAAGCCACTGGAGATCAAAACAGCAAAGTAGCTAGTCATATTAGTTAGCTATGGAAACTTAGGTGGTGGTGGTACATACATCTTTAATCCCAGGACTCAGGATTAAGAGGTAGATGGATCTGTGTTAGTTCAAGGCCATAGTAACTACACAAAATTGATCCAGTCCTGAAAGAAATGGCTCACACAAAGGAGACCTCAGCACCTGGGATCCCATGCCTTTCATCCCAGCACTAGGGAGGTGGAGGCAGGAGTGATATGGCTGGGCGGAGTAAGGATATAAGGAGGAGGAGGAGACAGGAATTCAGAGCTTTTGCTTCTGAGGATTTCTGGAGACGGGATTGCCATTTCAGCTGGGCAGAGATAAGATCTGCTTTGCTTCTCCTCCAGGTTGAACCCCAATATCTGTCTCTGGGTCTTTTATTTTTTTGTGTGTTACAGTGTGCTGCTAGTGTTCCTGTGGAGGGAGGGAGGGGGGGGCAGAGAGAGAGAGAGAGAGAGAGAGAGAGGGTAACAATGGTTGAGCTGAGTTTGTGATCACTTCAGAGTACATGGGCTGTTCTGTACATGGCCCGTGAGACCTCCAGGCAGAGCCACTGGTTTGGAGTTTGTCAAGTCTCATGAGCCATGCCTGGGCGAGTGCTGTGCAGGCCCCATAGGAGAATGAGGCTTGGTTATGGGTTACAGTGCTCTGGGAGGGGATCCAAGGATACTGGGAATGGCTCTACTTTACATTTGTTCTGAGTTAGGGAAAAAAAAAGGCATTTTAATCAATTAGGAGAGACCCAATTTTCAGTGCTCTTAAACATTTAAACATTTGTGGGCCTGGGCACAGTGCCATTTGGGCATTAGGCAGCCCTTCTCCCTTGGGCTGTGGCAGTGTCAGGCTCCAGCCATGCCAGCTGCACCCTGATGTGAACTAGGAAATGAGTGCCCTCTATGACAGCCAGCCAGTGCACCTTGCTGGGCTTGGAAGCACAGTATTAGCTTAGCCGCCACTTGGTGGCTGCTCTCAGCTCCCCAGAAGCTCCTCTGGGATGAAGAGAAGGAAGGTGAGAGCTACTGTTGGCCCCCGTAACTCAACATGCTCACCTCAGGTGCTCAGGGGAGCATAGCTCTCCCCAGACGTTTCAACGCTTGTTTAATGACGACAACCAACGCTTCTTCCCAGAGGAATAATTCTGCCCCAGACAGTCCGTGCAAGCCCACTTCTGAGAGTGTCGCTCACTGGGTTTATCTTTAGGGCTATTGGACAAGGTGGCTTGGACACAGTCATTTGTGGTCTCCACTTTCTTAGGAGTTGGAGACAAGAACCAATGAGAATAAAGAAGCATCAAATGTACAATGTATCACATCCTGGGAGCCAGCAACAACGGGAGGGGTGGAGGGGAGGGGGGTGGAGGGGAGCTACACGGGGATGGACTAAATACCTTAGGGCTTCAGAACTGACCCTGCCAGGTCCCCGCCTGCTTCTCAGCCCAGCCTCAGATCTCCCCACCTCTGCTGCCCCAGGCAGGAGCGAAGGAAGAGGTGTTGCTTTCTGACATGCAATTTCAGGGCTCCACCCTGGGCCCCAGATGAGAGGCCTGGATGTCCTTATGCAAGAGCCAGATGGGAGCATCTGGGATTTGCTGTTGAAGAATGGGTGTGGGTGCACAAGAACCATTTACCTTATTAGTGTTAGTAGCAGTGGTAGTGGCATTTGAGACACAGTTTCGCTGTGTAGCTCTGGCTATCCTGGAACTCATTGTGTAGACCCAGGCTGGTCTTGAACTCACAGAGATCTGCCTGCCTGTCTATGGATTACTGGGATTACAGGTGTGTGCTGTCATGCCCTGTCTACCTTATTTCTCATTGGCCTGGAGTACACTGATGATCCTAGGCTGTCTGGCCAGCAAGCCCCGGAGATCCTTCTGTCTCCTATTCCCAGCACTAGGATGACGGGCTCCAAATTGCTTAAATTACAATTATCTATGTGTTTATTTATTGTATGTGTTCATTTGTAGGCACACATGTGCCCACCATGCACATGTGGAGGTCAGATGGCAACCTGTGAGAGTTGGTTCTCTCTTTCTACTATCTAATTCTCAGGAATCAAATTCAGGTCTCTGGGCTTGACAGAAAGTGCCTTCACCCATTGAACTTCCCCTCACTGGCCCATGCATGAACATTTATGTGGGTTTGTGGGTACAAACTCAGGTCCTCATCCTTGTGTGGTAAACAACATATTGACCGCTCTGTCTCCCCGGATCAGGAATTGACAAACAAAACAAAGCAAAAACACACACAAAGGTTAAGGAGACTCTGCTTTCCCTAACAGAGGTGCAGCACTGTAAATATGAGCCTAGATGCACAATGACCACCACGAAGAGAAGGTTATGGGTCCCCAAGGTGGAGACATTCCTGGGTGATAACTGTGCCCCTGGAGCCCCTAGGGAATCAGCAGTTGGAGGCTACAGCCAGGAGGGGACAGAGCAGATGAGGTGGCCTGCTGGCCATGGGGTGTACACAGGGAGCCTGTGGGTGCTTGCTGTACACATTCCAACTTTCCTGTAGGCTCGAAAATGCTCATTGTGCAGTCCTGCCGAGCACTCAGGGATGGACCTCACTCTAGTAATATGTTCACCCACACCTAGCTAGCTGGACAGACAGTCAGCTTCGAGGGCCCACCCACCTCTGTCCCCAAGCCCCACCAAGACCCGGGTTTGCAAGTGTGCCCCGTCATGCCTGGCTTTCTACAGAGGTGCTGGGGGGGGGGGAGCCAAACGTAGGCCCAAGGGCTTCATCAACTAAGCTATCACCCATCGCCTGGCCCACTTTCTCACCTTTGGCCTTTATACTTCTATACTAACAATACCATTGGTAAACTCTTTAGTCGTTTGTCAGAGAAAGTTCTTGAAGGGTTTCAGAGGGGGCAGTAGAAGGCTAACAGGAAGGAAGGGGTTTTAAGAGGCTTCCAGTTGACTTCCCTGTATCGAGTTCTGCATGAAAATATATTTCTTTAAAAAAAGATTTACTATTTTAATTGTATGTGGATGGGGATGTCCTTCTGTGTGCTGTGAATATGTGTTTCTCTTACTGGTTGATGAGTGAATGCTGATTGACCATTAGCCCCGCAAGAAGTAGAGGCGGGGCCACAAGAGTAGGAGGATTCTGGGAAGAGGAGACAGAGAGCAAGTCACAGGGAGATGCCATATAGCTGCCGCCCTCGGCAAGAGGGCCGGGTATCCCCCGGTAAGACACAGATTATTAGAAATGGGTTAATAATTAAGAGCTAGCCAATAAGAAGCCTGAGCCATTGGCCAAACAATTTATAATTAATATAAGCCTCTATGTATTTATTTGGGACTAAAGGGCTGGGAGACCTGGTGGGACAGAAACTCCATCTTCAGATGGGTGTCTGCCTGCCTGCATGTGTATGTGGATGGGAGTCTGCCTGCATGCACCTGTATATGGATGGGAGTCTGCCTACATGCATGTGTATGTGCATGGGTGTTTGCCTGCATGCGTGTGTATGTGGATGGGTGATTGCCTGCATGCATGTGTATGTGGATGGGAGTCTGCCTGCATGCATGTGTATGTGGATGGGTGTCTGACTGCATGCACATGTATGTGGATGGGTGTCTGCATGCATGCAGCACCCAGGGAGACTAGAAGGGCTGGTTCCCTTGGAACTGGAGTTACAGATAATAGTGAGCCACCACCTGGGTGCTAGGATCAGAACCCAGACCCTCTGCAAGAGCAGCAAGGCAAACCTGTGCACCAGGAAGGTGGGCTTCTCCAGCTCCAGTGTGTGGGGCTTTTATTAAAATGCAGGCAGTAGTCCCAAAGGTCTGGGGAGGGTCACAGCATGAGCGACATGAAACCCGGGCTTAACGGTAGCCACTGTGAAGCGTTGGTTACTGTTTTCCCCACGGAGGCAAAATGTGTGATCCCATGGTCACCCAGTGAGGGTCAGGACATACACACGAAACAAAAGACCCCGGGACCCAGTGGAAGGAAGCCCGTGTATGCTGTTATGCGGAAGTGCTTGCGTGAGGACGACCCGGGTCTGTCTTTGATGCCTAAGGACAGGAGACATCGTCTCTGGGTTGGTTCCTGCAGTTCTAGTTTTCATGGCTCACCTGGAGGGTGGGGAGAAGGTGGGGGGAGAGGAGGTCAGAAAGGTCTTGCCTAGGAACCCCTTTCCCTTACAGGACGGTTAGCACACAGTTCAGGGAGTCGCTTCCTAAGGCCACGAGTTTACACTCTTCAGGCTTCCCAATTGCTTTCACAGTGATCCATTTGAACATTTCCCACAGGTTTATGGTGCTGTTACTGCAAATTACTGAGTGGATAAGGGTGGGCACATCCAATGATATTGTATGGAAGTGGGTTCTCTGTGAAGACTTTACAAACGGCTTATGTTACTTCACATCTGCTGGGCGGGGCCTGTGATCAGGGAACATTCCGGAACACCAGGGACTCCTCCACTGTACACCTAACAGTTCATTTACTCTCTGGCGGCAGAGGTGAGTGAAGAACCTGCTTGTGTCAGAAACCAAGCAGTCCCTTTCTCTCCCATTCCTTTTGATCTTAGTTCAAAGGTCTGCTCCATCAGGAGACCCTAACAAGATAAATCCACCAGGGTCTCAAAAGGTTTGGTCGCCACCTAGTGGATGATTGGGCAGCAGCCGCTAAAATAACGGCCATGCAAGGTATTTTAAATCTAAGCCTGGATTTTATATCCCCAACTTGGTTAACTTGGCTAATACCAGAGAACCGTTTCTAAGCCACCACCACGACTGCATCCTCAGAGTCACACACTTCACTGTCAGAAGTGAGCTTAGGAAGAGGTGCAAAGGCCTCTGGGAAGGCTTCCAGCAGGCCCTGCCCTCTCCTAGGACTTCCCTCCAAAGCTGACTCCCTTCCAGATGGACCGGCTAAGCTCATTGTGCCACACTGCTGCTAAAGTTTCATCCCGAAAGTCCCAACGATAAACCTAGATAGGATGCCACCAGCGTTCACTGAGGAGGACCAACGAGTTCACTAGGCTTCCTTACAGGGCGATGTTGGTTGCAGGCAATAGTGTTGGTGGCCTTAAAGCAGCTCCATTGAAAGGGTCTTCACCCAGCATGGGCTACCCTCCCACCAAGGTGGTACAGATGGAGCCCTTTCCCCGATCCTTCCCAAACTATGGTTAGGATTGTCTGGCTCCTCCAGTGAGGGTCCCGTCAGCCTCCTCAGGCTCCTTCTGTGAGGGAAAGTCAAGAGCCAACCAGCCCAGCTGTAGTGATTCTTTGTAAGCAGGCGCAGCTGGGTTCGTGAGGATGGCAGCAGGGAGTTTAGTCCTGTACAAAGCACACGGTGAATCTGCACCCTGCTCCCCACCTGCCCACCCCATCAACATTCACAGCCTGAAGCAACAACAGTCCGTGCCTGCTCCTCAACAGTGATGGCATGAAGGTCAGGGTAACAGAATCCCATCCTCAGCAGAGAAAGGAAAGACAAACTGGAAAAAAAACGCATTTAAAAAAAAACAACAGATATCACACGGAGCCAGGAAAAAATCCAGATAGGTGTTCTGTTTAATTAGTCTCCAGGAAAGAAAAGTCCGAGTCCACAAAAACATACAAAACCAAACATACGGCATTACAACAGCAAATGAACACGCTGAATAGATTCAGGCCACATCACACAGGACGATAAATACACTGTCACCTTCAATGCCGTACCACCAGGGGTTCGAACTTCTACGAAACTGTCCAAGTATGTGAATGAAAACCAAATGTGTAGGCCATGTAAGAAGCCGTTCATAGGTCTTTCTAGAACATGAGCCCAAGAGGACAAAGGATCAGAGCAAACCCTCCTTTTCCACGAAGACAGTGCTGTCCCTCCTTTTCCATGAAGACCAGTGCCGTTTCTCGTCTCCCCCACGGCCTGGGGCAGCCAGGAACTCCATAGCCTTCAAGTCAGGTCTTCAGCCCTTTGGTCATCCGGGAGAGTCCAAAGTCCTGCCATCAGAGACTACCTAGAGTTCCTTGTGGTCTTTCTCCTCTCGCTGGGGTCACCAGGCCCGAGAGACTGTTTTCCTAATGCTATTCTTGGGTTTGACTGGATCTGAGGGCTATATAAACACCTCCCAAATGAGAGGTGCTTCCGGAAGTGCTCTGATTTGTCACTGTAGCCGGATAGTCTGGTTTGGCCTTGATGTGAATGAGTCTGAAGGTCAGCGTCTGACGACACCCACTTGTCTGCGTGAGATAGGTCCTTAGAGATCACAGAGAAAGCTATGCTTGATTAACTGCAGGCAATATAACAAACTGCCTCATTCAATAGAACCCGGTCCTATCCAATAACACTGTTTAACGGGGGGGGGTTCATCAACTTGGGCAAAGAGGCGAAGGAAGTCACCTCTTTGGGCTGCTAGAGCTGCCTACATGCAGAACAGGAATTCCACTCCCCAGACCTCGAGTCAACTTCCATTAAGTATGATGGGAACAAAGGCATGAGGCGTATGTGTATGCAAGTCATGCTTCCTAAAGAGCTGCATAAAAATCTGGAGAAAGAGTAAGAGAGGAACCAGTTATGGCTCAAATCATCTGTGCTCCAAGGAAAGTGAACACACCGTACACAGGGCCTCACGCAGGGGTGGGAAGAGGGTGAGGAACGGGGCCGTTCCCCCAAAACAAGGTGCGCACCACGGGGCAAATGCGGACAGTGGCTCTGTGGGCTGCCTGCAAACTGTACATATTTTGGTCACGGAAAAAGGCATGAGACACGCTGGGCAGTGGTTGAGCATGACTTTAATCCCAGCGCTCAGGACAAAAAAAGCCCTGTCTCAAAAAAAAAAAAAAAAAAACAAGAAAACAAACAAACACAAAAGCCATGAGACTGCCATGTAAGGATGTGCTTTCTCCAGGAGGGCAGTGCAAAGAGAATCAGAAAATAAAGTCCTGAAAGAAAAAGGCTGGAGGGGAAAAAAAAATCCCCGTGTTGTTTGTCATGGCTGCCACCAGGCCTTCCAGAGAGAGCCTGACATTTGACCTCAGCAGCTGGTTTTAAGACTAGCCTGGTCTCAACCTTCTGCTGATATTGATGGCACCTGTGGCTGTTTGGAAGTTCCAGCTGCCCTTTGACCCCAAAGGTGGGGAAAAAAAAAAACAATGGAGTCATGGACGCCCCAAAACAAGTCCAATAGTTCTTTCACTGCCTGAGAAGCAGACAGAGCCAAGAAGAGGTTTGCAGAAACACAGGGACGGCAGGCAGATAAGACTCAAGCACAGCTGAGTCAGGACAGCCAGGAAGCCACAGCAGATAAGAACACTCTGGGAAGTATCCAGATGCACACACCCGCACACAGGCACAGCCAGACACACGTGCACACAGGCACGCACTCGCTCACAGCAAATGAGTCTACTCCCTCTCCAGGCGTGATTAGAAACCCTGCTCCTGCAAACAGAAATAGACCATTAGTTTTGGCCCAGAACAACAGGATAAGGGCCACTAGTCAGTACCTTTGACAACTTACATTGGAGTATTCCCATACATTGTTCATGTTACCCAAAAGTCTAAGGTGTCAGGGCATTCTTTCTGGCCTTACCAGGCAGCAGCAACCACGGCTGGGCCTGCTGACATTCCCTCTGGAAAACCCACAAGTGATTTGAACTTCAGTGAAGAGAACTCAGAAATGGGCTACAGCACTATCCCTGGACTTAAAAAAAAAAAAAGCCGTTTAAAATGCACCAGATAGGCAATCTAGACGCGTTTGCCTCTGGCAAGGAACTGACTCAGATAAATGACACTCAAAATAGAAACTCAAGTGATCCCTGACTGCAGAGGAACTGAGGCTGGGGAGGGTGGACAGACACAAGAGACAAAGACTCAACTACAGAAACTCCGCTTGAGGGTCTATGCAAAACCAAGAGGCAGTGAGCCAGCAGGGCCTTTCTTCTCTGAGACACCAGGGTTTTCCTCACATAAAGCAGGCGGTACATGCTGTTTCCCATGCTCCAGAGGCAGGGACACTGGGGCCAGTTCTAAGCTGGCGGACTGGCACCGCCGTTTCAATCCTTTGTGTCACAGACACAAGTTTTTATTTTTATTTTATTTTTTACCGTTAGGTCCCTCAAGGCTGTGCATACCAAGAACAGCTTATTGGGCCTTACTGAGACCTCTGAAAAGAAGCCTTGAGGCGCCGGGGTGGGGGGGGTGGAGGGGGGCGGGGTAGAGGGTGAGGGTGGGGTGGGGGGGTGGAGTAACTGGAGAGTCGGTTATCACAACTGGATTACAATTCACCACCACTCTGGGGCCAGCCCCCCACTTTTAGACACCTGCGGGTCTTTGGCATTCTTGACCCCAGGGGTCACTTTAACTTATGCGAGCTTTGCTTCCCTCCATTGGTTTTGGGTTTTTTCTCGCCGGATGTAGAGGCGAGACCACAGTTATGTGCATTTCCCTTTTTCTCCAGGTCCAGGAGTGCTTGTGTCCTGGAGGCCCCACAGGAGTCCAGTGGGCCCGGCACTGTGGACTTCTTTGGAATTCGGATGTTCCCACTGGTTTCCAACGCGGGGCTGCCCTCAGCGCAGGGTGCAGCACGGAGGTGAAGCTTGGGGACCTTGCTCGATTTCTTCCTCTTTTCAACCCTCACCCCAGGGGCTTGTTTCTGAGAACACAGCCTGGGGCGACCGGGCCTGTCCACATCCAATCTGGGTGAGGTCTCAAACGTGTAATAGGATGGGTGGGCTTCTTCGTGGTGAAAACCTTTCTTTCTAGAAAGGACTCCTGGCGTTGGAATCCCTTCAGGGGACAATAATGGCTTGGACAGCACACTGGTGAGGAGTTTGCCCCGCCTGGGGCTTTTCAGCATCCCAGAGGCGCCAGGGGGCCTTGCCTTGGCAGCTCGGGCCTTCTCACACTGCACGGTTTGGATCTGCAGCCACTCCAGCTGAAGAAGCCTGTGTATGTACTTCCCGAGGAACCCCGTGGCCCGAGGCGGGGCCTCACTCCTGCTCTCTGAGTTCAGGGCCACAGCCATGTCCCGGAGGTCCCAGGAGCTGAACGGGGGTGGAAGAAAGTCAGGGTAGCGGTGTTCAGGTTCTGCCCGGCTCGGGTCTGGGTGAAGATTGAAGGAAACTGGGTCTATCTCTTCAGCTCGAAGGTTGAGGTCAGGGGGCGTGAATGGAGAAGGAGGAATGGCCACTCTCTCTGAGTCCGACAGGTCACTTGTACTGTCCTCGTCGTTGGCACCGTCCTTAATGAGTTTCATGGACTGAAAGTCAAGGAACAGCTTGCTTCCAGAGGCAGCCTGACACCTGGGGCTGAGCAGGGTCCTCCGTTCCTGGTCCTGTCTTCCCTCCATGGAAATGGTTCCCATGAGCTTATCTGGTGCAGGATGGGAGATGTCAAGGAGGCTGCTTCCCAGGTGGGAAGAGACCTGGGGTCCTCGGGATCTACCCTGCCTTTTTCCCGAAGACGTCTTTGAGTGTTGTACCTGATTCCAAGATGGGCCAGCGTTCACACTGCCGAAAAATAGAAATAAAACAGTGGTCTAGTCACTGAGGATTAGAGAAACAGGAGTCTCCCCTGCAGACACTTTAGCTATTACTAATATGAGGCTTCCAGGTGCTTTACAGAAGCAGGATTTGCAAACCAGTCTCCACCCTGTACTCTAGTCAGAGGCCTCAGAGAATGCATGCCCCAAATGTGGATACACATATTCTACTTAATGACAAAAGTGAGCATTTAAAGAGTTAGCCATTTCCAATGTGTTCTGTCTCGTAATTTTAGAGAAATTGTGTATACCTTTAAAAAAATCACTCTTAAAAATCTTCTGTAGGCCAGGCATTGGTGCTGCAAGCCTTTAACCCCAGCACTCGGGAGGCAGAGGCAGACGGATCTCTGTGAGTTCCAGGCCAGCCTGGTCTACAGAGCGAGTTTCAGGACAGCCTTCAAAACAATACAGAGAAGCCCTGTCTCGGAAAAACCAGGAAAAACATCTGTAAGATATCCTATTAGTGATCAACAGTGTTTGAAAATATTTAGAAAAGCAGCTGGGCTTGGAAGCACACACCTTTAATGCTCACACTCTAGAGACAGAAGGTAAGCAGATCCCTGTGAATTCAAGGCCAGCCAGAGCTACTTTGTCTCAAAACAAAACAAAAATCTGCTTGGGAAATGCTCAGAAAAGCCTCCTTTTGTAGACGCATTTTTAGGGGAAGTGTAGACACGCTGTCAACTCGAGTTTAGTGGCTGGGATGCAGATCACTGAGTGACTGTGTTGCACATGCAAAGCCCAGGCTTGATCCCCGGTACTAAAAACACCTTGACAATGGCTCAATGCTGCTTTTTTGTTGTTGTTGGTGCTGGTGGTTTTGTTTTTTGTTTTTTTTAATGTGCGGGCATGTACATGTCTTCCCGTGTGTGTTCAATGTGTGCGCACATGCATGTGAAAGCCCAGAAGTGGTGTCATGAATCATTCTTGATCACTCCTCCACCTAACCCACTGGGTCACTGTCCCTCAATCAAACCCAGAGCTCATCCATATGGCTAGTCTTCCTTTAAAATTAGTTTTTATTATTTTTAATTATATGTATGTGTATGGTGGGTGAGTGGTTATGTGCATGATTTACGACTGAAGGAGCCCGAGGAGGCCAGAGACATCAGATCCCTCAGCTGGAGCTATGGAACATTGTGAGTCACCTGATATGGGTGCTGGGAAGCAAACTTAGGTCCTCTGCAAGAGTAGTGTGCACCCGTAACTACTGAGCCCCTCTCTCCAGACAGACGTGCCTAGTCCTGCCAGTCAGCTTGCTCTGGGTTCCTGCTTCTGCCTTCCAAGGCTGGAATTGCAGGAGGGCTGACACATGGACCTGGTATTTACCTGAGTTTCTGGGGAACTCCTGTCCTCATACCTGCCCAGCAAATACTTACACCATTAAGCCATCCCTAGCCTGGGTTGATTTCACTGTTAAATCACCAACCTGCAGGAGACTCTGAAACAACTACAAAAATTTGCACACCAAAGTATGTAAAAGTATGCAAACGGATATGTGTACTTTAGTCCTTACATACTGAAGTAATGAAGTTTCTCACTGTTCTTTCCAAATGTTTGTTGCTATCTTTTCAAGCAGGAGGCCCACCGAAGTTTCATCCCTGAGACCCACATGGCGGAAGGAGAGGATCAACTCCTTTAACATATTTTCTCAACACACATGGACTGTGGAATGTATGCATGCACACGCACACACGCAATAAGGTGAGAAATAAAGTCACATGGCACCCAGATAATTAATTCAACGACGGAAAGCAGGATGGATGCTGTCTTGGGATCGGCAGGCGAAGAAAAAAGAAGGGACACCTGCCCTGCCCTGTCTAGAGTACTTGAAACTGAGGTGGTTCTCACGGGAGTTGAAATACCTTCTTTTTGCTTTCCCAAGCACACATGATTTAACTAATGTTAATAGTTCTTCCTTATGATAGAGTCGGAAGGGGAATAAGAAGTGGGTACTTGGGCTGGAGAGGTGGCTCAGAGGTTAAGAGCACTGACTGCTCTTCCAGAGGTCCTAAGTTCAATTCCCAGCAAAAACATGGTGGCTCACAACCATCTACAATTCAATCTGGTGCCCTCTTCTGACAGAACATTGTATATGTAATAAATCTTAAAAAAAAAAGTGGGTACTTTCTAGGAAGCAGGGAGGTTCATCTGTGCAGTGTTCTCTAGATTAGTCAGCGATGACTTATTTGAAAAGGCATCATGCTTGCCTAACACACACAGAGGACGTCAGGTCAGCGTAAGCAGGCAGTGCAGACAAATGAGAAGTCTGCCGTTAGGAACTGTCTGCAGATTGGAGAGGTGGTTTGGCAGTTTACAGCACTGGCCGTCCTTGCAGAGGACTCAGGTTCTGTCCCAGCACTCACAGGGCAGCTCAGGGACACTTTACTCCAGTTCCTCCAGGGGATCCAATGCCTGCTTCCGGCCTCCCAGGTGCCAGGCATGGAGGTGCATGCATGCAAAATACACATACGCATTAAAAATAAACAAGGCTTAAAAGAGTACAGTTCATAGCCAGCTGCACACCACACACACCAGCCTTCGGTAGCCTCCCTGCCTCCTGTCCAGAAGGAAGCTGGGAGATCAACTAATGTCAACTAACGATGCTTAAAGACATTTCTGCTGTGGACTAAGCGCGAATGAAGTCCAATGAGGAAAAGCAGAAGGATCTGCCTTTTGCATGAGGAGACAGGATCTGGAAACTAGTTACCTGCTTTTCTGATGACAGTCACTCATCCTATTCCTTTTCTTGAACAGGTCACAGGGCTGCTCATCATCGGAGGTTTGATGGGTTGTCTTAAAAAAAAAACAACAGGGTATTGATCAGAAAGTGCTGTGAACTCACATGCCTGTGCAAGAACACACACACACACACACGTACACACACACACACACACACACACACACACACACTAGCAGACCTACCCCCATGGCATGACTGTTACTGTCTTGAGTCAGAACACCTCACCATCCACAGGAGATGTTTGCAAGGTCAGGCCTATTTCCCTAGTAGAAAGAAGTCACAGGGGCTGGAGAGATGGCTCAGCTGTTAAAGGCTAGGCTCACAACCAAAAATATAAGAAAGAAGTCACAGGACACCCTTAAGAGACAGGGCCTATCATCACTTCCCCCACTGAAGGAGCTGGGGAGGAAAGTCATCGGACTTGCACTTGAGAGTCCCCCTCCCCTCCTGCCCTTGCCAGCCAACAGCATGTCATACCTTCTTCTCCAACAGCATGTGTGGCCTCAGAAGAGGCAGAGCACCTAGGAGGTGGAAGGCTGACTGGGGTTGGGCGGACCAGTGAAGCTACTTTTCTGAGTCGTCCCTCATGCTGGAGTGGGACTGCTGGCCTCCCATGTCCCTTTAAGTGACCCCCAATAAATTCACTGGTTCACCAGAACGGACTCGACGGAAACTATTTGTTTGGTACATTACTAACGCCCCCTTCTAATGGTTTGTAGAACAATAATAATTTAGACATTGCATAAATAATACAAATAGTGCAACAGAACGCACACGCACACCCTCGCACACTGGAAACGTACAAACAGGAGGGTACTGAGACAAATCTAAGTAGGATTTCCTCTCAAAGTTACATCACCTTCTCTGCAGCGCTCAGAACAGCCTTGCTCAATCTGCTGCCAGATGATGACAGCTGGGGGGGTGACTTCTTTATTCCCCTTATCTTTGGAGAGGACGCCCGGCCACCGGAACTGGAAAAGACAGAACACTGACAGTAAGTACTGATGGCAACTGACTGCCTTTCCATGTGTCTTTGGTCTTTGTATTTGTACCACAGGGAACCCTCGCTGTGGTGGCCCTGCGGTGGCTCGGAACTCTACTACACAATGAGGAATGGGGGTAGGGGTGGGGGGGGATGTACTGTTGTATGTTTACTGTTTGATAGCTTTAACATTTATCATACATTATATGTGTGTGATGGGGGGATGTTCACAAGCAAGTGTGAATGACCTTAGATGAGGGTATCAGCCCCCCTCCCCGAGCTAGAGTTAACAGGCAGTTGTGAGCTAGCTGCCCAACATGGGTGCTGAGAACTCTTACCTCCTATTAAGCATAAGACCACAGAATTACAAGTGCTGTGAATGGACCCTGAAGTCCCACCTACACACACACTCTAGAAATGACGCCAATTAAATTCACCTCTTACCCTAATGCTCCCGAGTCCATTCATTCACTAATCCAGCGACACAAGACAGCCTAAAACACACAAAGACTGCACACAAGACCCTCATCCCACAGAGACAAAACCTCAGTGGGGGGGGGGTCCGAATTCCTCTAACTTCTCCATCATAGGAAACCACGAACAGATCATCGGTGGGCGCCAGGAGCGATGGCGCAGGGGTCAAGAACGCTACTGATTCTCCAGTGCACCCCAGTTAAGGCTCCAGCACTATGTGGGTGGCTCCCAGGGGCCTGCAACTCCAGTTCCAGGCAGACACCCTCCCCTGGCTCCCAGAGAGCCTGTATACATGTGTGTGTGAGCGGGCACATACATGCATTTTTTTAATGTAAAAGACCATCCGTTAACTCCCACTATGGGTTATAAGCTGCCTCACTGTGAAGTCGGGTCCCCACACCACAGACACTCATAATCACCATTACATTGAGGAGCATGCTGAGAATGTTTCTCTCTCATAATACCCCAGCCTCTACCAAATGGAGAAGAGGCGGGCTTGTGGGAGGTTTCCTGAACTACCACCATCACGAAAAACTTCTAGGTTTGCATGTGAAGACAACAAAAATCGTATCGTGGTCTTTTATGGTTAATGATTCCTTTTAGACGCAGAAAGTGTGCGTCGGCCACCCTCTTTCTTTACTCTGTCCTTTCTGTTGTGGAGTGGAAGAGAACCCAAGAAGGTCTGCTGTGACCGACCCGAGCACTCACTTTTAGAATGTGCGGTGCCATTCTGGCTCCCCATTTACCTGACACACAGGAGTTGTGTGTGTCTATGTGAAGTTCATCGGAGAAATAAAAGCCTGTGGTGTAATCAGGACGCAGGGGTGAGGGGTGGGGAGCGGTCAGAGAGACGAAGGGGGGGCAGAGAACGCATGTTTTCAGCTTGAATAGCAGCAAAACTAAAGGTCAAGACATTCTGGCTACAAAAATGCTCCTCAAGAGCCAGACGCTGGATTCCGGCAGCTGCACAATCCATCTTGGGCATTAGCCCCTGTTCCCAGTGCCTTCCTCTCGGCTGCGAGCCCGGCAAACGGAAGCAACGTCCTCCACCTCCCTCCCCCAGGGAACTGGCTGCCTGGCCAATGGGGAGGCATAGCATGGTTGAGGAGGTGTGGGCATGATGCTCCCCTCCGCCGCAAAGCTTTCCCCAGTCTGGCCGCTCGCTGGTCCAGGTTGCTGGAAATAGGTGGCCAGGGCTGGCTGGCTGGACGCTTACCATAGTCTTAGGGACAGGCTCGCCGCCAGGCCAACCTAGGCTGGCCTCTGTCCCGCCCCCACCCGGCACTCCTCCAGCCCAAGGCCCCGCGCAGCAAGCACCCAGCGCGTCCTCAGCTGCGGCAGAAACCATCGCTGATGGATGGGTGCAGCGCGCGGGCACACGCACCAAGGAAGCCGATCAGACCTGCTCCGCGGCCAGAGCGCACGTGACGGGGATCCCGGAGGTGGGGGTGGGTGTGTGACTCCTGCGCGAGGCGGTGGCGGCGGCGGGGCGGTGCAGGCGGCGGCGGGGCTGGCGCGGACAGCGGGGTTCCGCCAGCGTGGGGCGACGCGGGGCGGCCGGGGAAAGCTAGCGGGACGCGCCCGCGGGCGGCGTCACGAGGGGCGGGGCGCGCCGGGGGCGCGCCGGGAAGTTGCGCCTGGAGAAGTTGCGGGCAGCTGAGTCTCAGAGCGGTGGAGCTCCTCTGCCTTTTCGTCAACGCTAGGAAGAGCAAGGACAAGCAGACGCCGCCTCGCAGGGCTCAAGGCTCCGGGGAAGCCGTCCTGGAGCGTGCGATCGGCCCTGCAAGATCGCCAGCTGCTGAGACCCGAGCCAGGCCGCGAGCACACAGCCTCCCCGCAGGGTGCGGCGCCTCGGGGCTCCGGAAGGCTGTGCAGCCCAGACGCCCAAGGACTAGGTTGTGTCGCCCGCCCTGCCCCCCGGCTGGGCCATGTCTAGAGGCCCTGGCTCTACCCTGCTGCCCCCGACCCCGGGGTTACGGAAACCCGCGCCACGGAGCCTCAGCTGCCTCTCGGACCTGGATCCACGACCCTGCAGACCCCCGGGTTGCGAACCTCGGCTGCAGCCCATCATCCACCGGCGCACGCGCTCGCTGCCCAGTTCCCCCGAGCGCCGTGCCAAGGCTGCAGGAGCCCCCGGCGCTGCGTGCCGAGCCGGCTGCAACCGGCAGCTCCGTGTGCGCTTCGCTGACGCGTTGGGCCTGGAGCTGACTCAGGTCAAGGTGTTCAACGCAGGAGACGACCCGTCTGTGCCGCTGCACGTGCTGTCGCGTCTGGCCATCAACTCGGACCTGTGCTGCAGCAGCCAGGACCTGGAGTTCACGCTGCAGTGCCTGGTTCCCGACTTCCCGCCTCCCATCGAAGCCCCGGACTTCGGAGATCGCCTGGCACGGCAGCTGGTGTGCCTGGAACGTGTCACCTGCTCGGACCTGGGCATCAGCGGCACAGTGCGCGTGCGCAACGTGGCCTTCGAGAAACAGGTGGCGGTGCGCTACACCTTCTCAGGCTGGCGCAGTGCGCACGAGGCAGTGGCACGCTGGAGAGGGTCTGCGGGTACGGAGGGGACCGAGGACATCTTTGCTTTCGGCTTTCCAGTGCCACCCTTCCTGCTGGAGCTCGGCTCCCGAGTACTCTTCGCCCTGCGCTACCGTGTGGCTGGTGCTGAGTACTGGGACAACAACGACGGCCGTGACTATGGCCTCACTTGTCGCCGCCATGCCCTGCACATGCCACGCGGGGAGTGCGAAGAGAGCTGGATCCACTTCATCTGAGAGTCTGGCTGCGAACCGGGCGTGCTTCCGTCTCAGCAGAACTGCGGTCGATGTCTGGAGACATCACTCCTCCTTCCCGGTAGTCTGGCCTGGTTTCTGGCTGTGCAGCCCTGCAGCCGTGGCCTGGTCTGCCTTCTAGCGCGTTGTCTGGAGAGCTTGGTGGCCAGAGGGTCAGGAGCCTGTGTAGTGCATTTGTGTGTGTGTGTGGGGGGGAGCGTGTGGGAGGGCGGTCGCATGGGGCTGTGGTCCTTAAATACAGGAGGACCCAGGTCGGTGTGTTGTAAGGGAGGGCCTTCTGCATGTCACACTTAAGTTTGTCTAAACACGAGTAGCTGTTATTTATTGTTTTCTCAGGAGTACTCTAGGTTTGTTTAGTAAGCTTAAAAGAAAGCCTGTCGGCTGTTTGCACCCACAGGGTGGCCTGTGTTATGGTCCCTCGAGGCATTTCTGCCCTAGGTCGGTAAAAACCTGAGACTGTGCTTGCCTGCCAATGTTTGGAGCCTTCCAACAGTGGAGACTATTAATAGTCAAGAAACATACTGCTCGTCTGTCATCATGCAACCCTTTCTGGGCTTCGGGGCTGCCCTGGTTAGGCGATGCCTCTCACATCAACAGCCCGGAAGGAGTGGCCTGCAAAGCTTCCAGCCCTGCAGTTTAGCCCAAACAGTGCTTTCTTTGGGGACTACCTGTTCACGCAATTGTCTTCTCCTGGTCTGGTACTGGGTCTGCACGTTAACAGGCCACATTCTGTTTATGTTTGGAACTACCTGAACCTTTGAAAAGATCTTGCCTTAAGTTATTTCCGTTTTCAAAGTGGCCACGGGGATCCGGGCAGGGGTGCCCTTCCCAGTGACCCTTTTCCACGAAAGAGATGACTTTTTTATTTCTAAGTATGGGAAGGTTCCAGCCTTCTTATTTTGGAAGTCAGCTTTCCGGTGAACCTGGATGGTGTTTTCAGAAACAGCCGGGACACTGGAGGAAAAACAGTTCGCAGATTTTTATATACCTAATGGGTTTTAAATTGTACAGTTATGTCAGGCCTCACAACTACCCACCTCTTTATTCTTTGTGCCTTCAGTTAGGAAAGTTGCTAACATTTTATGGGCCCCCGGCCCCCCAGTTTTAAAATGTTAAATGCTTTTTTAAAACAAAACAACAACCAAGACCTCCGACTTAGTCCAGACCACTTACTGTTCCTTGCAGGATGTCCCTGCTGCTTAAAACCCCCATGGAGGGGCTGGCATTCTTTCCGGTGCTGAGCTGTGGTCTCTCTGATAGTAGGTGCTAGTACGGAGGCAAAACCAAGGGAGGTGAGCAATGCCTCCCAGATGTGACCTTTGCATTTGAGACAGTGGATGTCCTATGATGGACTTGGTGTGACACCTGTCTCCGGTTAGTTTTTGAATGTTGGTGTTTGTTAAATCAGCATGGAAAAGATGCATCTTACCCTTTAACCTGTTTGGTTTTGATACTTGAAACTTCTGCCTTTTAAAATTCCAAGAACAGTGTTGGCTTTCTGGTACCTCCTGGACTAAGACACGTTTTGATTTAAAACACCATGATAAAAAAACGACACAGCCTTTGGCTGTTGGGACTCTGCACTACATTTACATTCAAGAGTGAGACATCCCAGAGGCATTTTTTTTTTCTGCTGCTTAATGAACTGTCCAATTGGGTCAGCAAACCCCAGGGGTCATGGCTGCTCTGTCCTTGTCCCCTGTTCAGAATGTAAGATAATGGCCCAGACTCTCCAGGTAAAGGTTAGGACTGCTCAGAGTAGTGTTGCTTCAAGGAACACAGAGAGTTTTATAGTCCGTGGGAAAGCCAATCATTTGTCCAAGGGTCTAGTTACAGAAAAGCAAATGATATATCATCAAAATTGAGAGAACCCTAAGGTGCCTTTTTAAGACTTACCAACAATTTGAAATCTACAGCTTAAAGACAATTTTGCTTGATTTAAAAAAAAAATAATAAAAGCTGTAAGACAATTCTGGGTGAACTTTCTGACCCTGAGACGCACCTAGACTGCTGAGATGTTAAAATTGTATGGATTGTGCACTTGTTGGGCTGTGTCCCCAAAATGTATTTAACTGCCTGTCACTTAAAATTATTTTACTCAAGCCTAAATATTAAAGTACACTGCAAAAGTATCCCTTTGTTAAGCTGGTGTGTGTCCTGTAGAAGACAAAGTTTTGGAACATCTTGCTGTTTGGACCATTTCATGTGGAAGTCTCATCCTTCCCCAGCCATGGATGAGTACTGGGCCTTCTCGGGAGGGACTCCTGTGTCCACAGTGGAGTTGTACGTGTGCTGCTAAATTTCCTTGTCTGGGGAGACTTAAAGTCCACCCCTCCTCCTACCTCAGTAAAAAGGCAAGGTGCAGTTTTGCCAGAGTTCTGGGGCTGTGACAGGAGCAGGGGTGACCTTGGAGTAACCATACTGGGTGATTTGCACACAGCAGTGATGAAGATGACTCCAAGCTGTGCTGTGGGGATAGAGTGCCCTCCCACAGTCCTTCCCCACCCTTAACCTGTGGCCCAGTGGGTCTCATCCTTCCCAACGCTTCGACCCCTTAATACAGTTCCTCATGTCATAATGAAAATACCGGATATGCAGGAATATCCAGTATGTGACCTCTGTGGGAGTCTCCACTCAGAGGTCAAGAGCCACTGCTCTAGCCCTTCCCAGAGACTCAGAGGCCATTGCAATTGGGGCTGAATTGCAAGCAGCTGGCTGGGAGGGCTTAGGACTGGCTTCCAGGATCCTATCACCCTCCCTGCCCCTCCCCCTTCCCAGAAGAACAAACCCAGCTGTGGTGATTTTTTTTTGGCAAGCAGGCTCAACCACACTCATGAAGATAGCAACAGCTTGGCCTGGAGGACAGTCCTGTACATCGGTGTGTGTTTATAAAATGAAAACATTTTACTCTATACGCCAGAGTTCAGGGGCTGTGATAATTGTATTTTTCTTATATTCCTCTGTGACTTCTGTGCAGCAGCCCCCCCCCCCGTGGCTTGCTGAGCCGGCTTTCTTATGGAACCCAGAAGCATCTGTTCTGGGCTGGCACTGCTCTTTGAACTAGGTTCGCCCACATCAATTGTTAGTTAAGACAATGCCCCACAGACTTGTCTACAGGACAATCTTATGAAGACATTTCCTCAAGTAAGATTCCATCTTCCCATCTAGGTTTGTGTTGAATTGACAAAAAACCTCCGGACAGGAGTAACATACTTTTGTCCTTCATGTTACTGTTTAAAGACACATTTGTGTCTCTACTAGCAAGCTACTAACAAGCTGCTAGTTGGGAAACCACTAGATTGCATCATGGATGATGGTAAGTCTGTTACAAGAAAGCAGAGTGTGAAAATAATGATGCAAGTCTCAGGTCATGAGGCAGACACACTCTGATCTTACGTTTTTGTATAATAATATACTCCTAGTACTTGTGTGTAACTAATTCAATGGAAGCTAAATGTCTTGAGTACCCAATAAAAGCCTGTCAACTGAGAATGTTGATTTTTTTTTTTTAAGTTAGGATCTCCCAGGGCCTGTAATTTCAGCCATTTGGGAAGCTGAGACAGAAGGATCTCAAACTCAAGTTACATACCCGGGCAACTTAGATCCTGTGTCAGAAAGTACAAAGAGGAATGGAAGTAAAACTCAATGGTAAATTACTTTTCTGGCATGCATGAGGTCCGGGGTTCAGGGAGGAATTAGCTCAACATTCAGTTTAACAAGTCACAAAGTTGTGATGATGTCTGTAATTCTAGCTAAGCCAAAATTAGAAACACCGAGGTTTTTCTGTGTGATTTGAACGGCTTGGTCCACAGTGTGTGTGTGTGTGTGTGTGTGTGTGTGTGTGTGTGTATTTTCCAAGCGTTTTCCAAAGCACATTTAAGTCAGGATCATGTGTGCTGTTCACTTGATGTGGAAGGCTACCCTCCGAGCATAACAGCCATCACCTTCGCGAGAATAGCTGTTACTACTGGGAAGACCCAAGAACGTCTGACCTGCAGGCTGCTGACTGGGTAGGATGGTTCACTGGAGCCCTCGCCCGGGAATCCAGTCGCTCCCTTTGCACGCCCCTCTCCAGCTATATGTAATTCAGCTCTAATTACACGCGGTCTCGTGGGCTTGGGTGGTGCTCGATTATATAAGGAGTGGAGGGTTGCCCCCAAGTAGTGCGTCTCTGGTGCTGCGGCTATGGGGAAGCTGTCATCAATTGTCCATGCTAGGCTCAGGCTATTCGGTGACGCTGCTGCTTCGAGGTCACTTGCATCCTGTAAGCCCAGAAAGCTCTGCTATGTAAGCTAGATGTGGGTGGAACCCTGCCTTCGGTCTCTGTCACTGGAGCCCTATCTGGGGTGAGTAGACATTCGATCTCATCCCCCAGGAAAAGTTAAGAAGACACCGCTGAAGCCTGGGTCTGCTGCATACTGACCCCGGCTGAGGTGCACCCTAGCCCAGTCATCATATAGATAATTAAAAAGAAAAAAAAAGACAAGCATAGTTTTTGTTTTGTTTTGTTTTTTTGTTTTTTAGATAGGAAATCAAGATGTTACTGAAAGTACCATTTAATCTCTGATTTGCTGCCCTCTGATTTGCTGCAGAGCATCCACCGGGTCTCAGAAATAACCCAAGTGTTGAATGAATAAGGCAGCGTTTCACGGGTGTGCAAAGCATGCCCGTGCAACCTGTCAAAAGGCTGGGCCACCCTACATCTAGGGCGCAGAGAAAATGGACGAGTCCCAGCGCTGTCCCTTTGGAAAGAACATAGGGCTGCTTCACTGAGGGTGGTGGTGGAGGCCTCCAGGGCGTGCAGGTTCTGTCTCCTAACGGCCGGTGTTTCTTCTCTTTAGGTGGGACATGGCCGGCGCCCGCACAGCGCCCCCTGTCGGCGGGCGGCCCCGCAGCGCGGCATCACCGCATGGGGTGAGGGCCAGAGTGTCTCAGGAGTAGGAAAGCAGCTTCACAGACCCTACTTCCGTCACTTCCGGCCGGCCCGCGGCGGACAGGGCAGGGGTCATCGGAAGTGGGATGGGATTCTCCCCCGAGGGCAGGGGGCGTGGCCTGGCTGGCTGGGCGGCCGCTGATTGGACGAGCGGTTCCCGCTTTCCGTTGGGAGCCGGGGCGGCTGAGGAGGAGCCGGAGCGGAGCCGAGCGGAGCCCACACTCGACGTCCGGAGCCCGTGGGCGGAGGCGGCCGCCAGGCTGGGGTGTGCGAGGGCGGCGTGGGGTCCCCGGGGCCGCGCGACGTGGCGGGGGTCGTGCTGGGAGGGACAGGGGCGTGGCGGGCGTGGCGGGGGGGACAGAGGGGCGGCCTGGCCCCGTGGGCACGGCCCTCCGTCCCGTCCCGGGAGTTTGTGAGCCGCGAGGGCTGTGGGAAGGAGCCAGACGGCGTGGGTGGGTGGCGGGGGCCGGGTGACAGGTGACACGGGAGGGAGGGGAGCACGGGGCTGGCTGGCCTCTGGCGGGGTGGTGGCAGGTCTTGCCTGTCCGAGGACTTCCTGTCTGAGCGCTTCCTGCCACGTGGGTCCCTCAGCCCTCGTGAGACCTGGGCCTCCCTTAGCCTCGTCAAGAGTGTGTACGCGAGCGTGCGCTCCTACACACACACACACACACACACACACGAGGGTGAGCTTGCGTCCACGTGCTTGAGTACACACACACACACACGCGAGGGTGAGCTTCCTCCCATGTGCGCGCACACACACACACACACACACACACACACACGAGGGTGAGCTTGCGCCCACGTGCTTGAGTACACACACACACGAGGGTGAGCTTGCGCCCACGTGCTTGAGTACACACACACTCGCGAGGGTGAGCTTCCTCCCATGTGCTTGAGTACACACACACACACACACACGAGGGTGAGCTTGCTCCCACGTGCTTGAGCATGCACGTGAACACACACACACGCGAGGGTGAGCTTCCTCCCATGTGCTTGAGTACACACACACACACGAGGGTGAGCTTGCTCCCACATGCTTGAGCATGCACATGAACACACACACACACATACACGCGAGGGTGAGCTTCCTCCCATGTGCTTGAGCGTACGCACACACACACACACACACACACACGAGGGTGAGCTTGCGCCCACATGCTTGAGTACACACACACGCGCGAGAGGGTGAGCTTCCTCCCATGTGCTTGAGTACACACACACACACACACAAACACACACACACGAGGGTGAGCTTGCTCCCACATGCTTGAGCATGCACGTGAACACACACACACGCGAGGGTGAGCTTGCTCCCATGTGCTTGAGCGCATGCACACACACACACACACGAGGGTGAGCTTGCTCCCATGTGCTTGAGCGCGCGCACACACACACACACACGAGGGTGAGCTTGTGCCCACATGCTTGTGCATGCACGCGCACACACACGAGGGTGAGCTTGCGCCCACGTGCTTGAGCGCTGCCTTAACCCTTTGCTCTGCACGCCCACCCCCTTTGTCCCTCAGTGTTTCGGGGGTTGCTTCGACATGGGCCGTGCAAAGCCTGCTGACTGGGCCCAGCCCCGTGCGTGGAGATTTGTTCCGCGCCTGCTTCCCCGGCGGCTCTTTTACAAGTTTCATAAAGATCTTTTAAACGTTTTGCCTCTCGGGGGACAAAGCTCTAATTACTTTGCTTAGCGTTCTCTTTGATGGAAGACAGTTGGCTTGCTTGACGTTGTGGCTCATAGAACTCGTCTTGGCTTTGCTGCCGCCAGTATTATTTCAGTGGTAGTGGGTGTGTGACTGGGCTACTTTTCCTTCTTTTAAAAAAAAATCCACCTATGTAGATAGTAACTAAATGTCCTTTTTTTTTTGTTTGTTTGGCTCCTTTGCAAAAAATAAGACTAGAAAATGAAACCATCTGGCTAGCGCAATATGTCTTTTTGACATAATTCTTCTGTGCTGTGTGTGTTATGGCTTAGAGCACTTTTGGGAAAATGCATTACTTCCAGTTGTTTGTGAAACATGACAGGGCTGCTGACAGCTGCTGGTCCTTAGGAAACAGTACACAACTAGTTTCTATCATATATTTTAACGAATGTTTTAAATTACATTTTCAAATTGGAAATGAAATAAAATCTTTCAGTCTTCAGTTTCACAGATACATTTTTAACTGTAGTAAAATGGAAGAGGGGATGTAGAGGTATTTTTATGATTATTGGCAAAATACTCGTTCTAACTGAATGCATTCATTATGGATATTTGATGTGCTGGTGATTTTGGAAAGATAACAAAGACCTACTTAATTTATAAACTAGTATATTTTATATGTTCTTATTTTCTAACATCACCATCATCTAACAATCACTTTTTGGCAATCATTAGGATTGAAACAATACTTATGTTCAAAGTACATTAAATGAATATCTTTTCATAAAAGTAGATGCATTTTAAAATATTTTTGGTATATTGAATTTTTCTTAGAATTAACTATTGACCTTATATATTAGTCTTAAAAATGTCTTAGCAACCGACATTTTTGAATAAATGTTACTGTATTATGGTACTCTGTTTTATAGAGCTTACCCAATAGTCTAATAGTTACTTGCTAGCTAACTGCTACCAACTAACATTTTTGATGGAAGTAATTTAAGGTAAAAGAGTCGTTATTAAAAAGAAAAAAAAAGCTTAAGATCTGAGAAAAGGAAGCTTGAGAATAAAATGAAAGGAGAGGTTGGCTCATTTAGAGGAAGCTTTGCCCCATCCCCAAACCCTTTTTGTTTTGTCTTTCTTTTGTTCAGTTTTATTCCTGATCCTTTCATTCTTAACACATACACAGATGTACTTCACAGAATATAGCTTGATCGTGTATGAAGTTTAAAATTTTCATAAATACTCTCTAGAGGGACCATCTATTCTTGTTTCACTTTTGTTTTTACCCTGTTTTGATATGGGCTTCATTCTGAGATAAAGACCAGTTGACTAAGCTACACAATTAAGCGTTCAGTTGCATTGCTTTTTATTTACCTACTTTGTCCCCACCATGCCAGCAAAGGCAGGCTTTCCATCCCCCCCCTTGCTGTTAGAGGCCGGGCCCCAATAAAAATTAATTCTCTTTTTTTATACTTCTATGGTCCTGTAAAACTAGAAATAGAGCTACATGTTATGAAACATAGACAAAATTTTTTTGTTTGCACTTTGAAAAAAAGTAGATATTATTGATACCCATCATTTCCTATTTTCCACATTATCAGAATTTTTAACTTTTTGCCATCCTAGTGAATGTTGCAGGTGTTTATCTTTTTATTAGAAATTCTGTTATAGAGGTAACATCTTTCCCTTTTTATTAGCCACTTGAGTTTTTGAGTTTCTCCTTTTCTGAATGACTTGTTCTTAATCTTTTCCACTTTCATGTTAAATTTTCTCTTTGATACCTCAGTTCTTCAAAATTATTTTAATCTGTGTCTTAGGAACACAACTAAACTCGTATCTGTGACAGGATATATAATCTAAAGTATATAACAAATATCCAGAAGTGAATTTTAAGAAACTAGTATGGTATATTTGGTATGAGAACAATTACTATCATATATTTAAGATCTTTAAACTGTAAACATATAGAATTATGGTACATAAAATGTTCTCTTTCATAGGTGTTTGTCTTCTGCTGTTTTCAAATGAAGTAAACATGCCTGTGAGACCAGACTTCCAAGTATGTAGTCCCTAGACCACAAGCAATCATTTTAATCACTAAAATACCTTTGTGTACTTACATCTTAATCTGTTGCTACATCTTTAGTAATGACAAACTTATAAAATACTAGAGTAACTTAAATACGGTTTCTTTATTAAAGTGTTTTAAAGTATAGTAAGAACATAATATGTGAAATGTATTATTTATGTACTTTCAATATTGAAAATAGTCATTCACTGATTATTATACCTAGATAATCAGATCAAAGTTTTAAATTGTATGATCCTTACATTTATATACATGTAGTTTATTACTAGGTCTGTTTAAGTGATCAGATTACAGTCTGGAAGATTTCTTATGCTGTACTATAATAGTGGGGATATATTGGTGTTATATTTAAGTTGAAATAATGGGTATAATTTTTAAAAGGGTAATTCTTGATGCAGTTTTATTTTTAAATATTATGAAGTTTGTAATTAGATATGCTAGGATTTTGTCTATGATATTAAGTATAGTTACTATAATGTTGATTTGATTTTTCATTAAGTTTGTGATTTGAGCCAGTGAAGATAAAAATTGGAAACTTTAATGAAATATTTTCTATCTGAAATTGTTACTAAAGAAAATCTCTAATTCAGTTACTCTGAATAGTAATAGACTTTTTAAAGGTATTTTATGAACTGTTTTCGTTCAAAACCATTCTTTGGTAACTCAATTGCATAAAATAAACTAGTCCTGTTAGACTATCTGTGCTGTTAACTTTCTCTCTCCAGCAGTTGGAAAAGTGTATTGATGATGCCTTGAGAAAAAATGACTTCAACCCTTTGATGATACTTTTACAAATTGATATTTATGAAGATGTGAAGATTAAATGCAGCAAGCAATTCCTCCACAAGTTGGATGACTTAATATGCAGGGTAAACACTCACTCTTGTTTAATGGTTCTTAAAATTATTACATATGAATTTGGTTTCTAGGAAGTACCCCATTCACAAAAATATGAAGATTACTTACAATTATTTAAATATTTTTATCTCACCATTTGTTATTTGAGTATCACAACACATTGAACTTTTTTCTAAAGTAAAATAAAAAAAAAACTGTTCCAAAGACTATTCTTATTAATCTGAGGGGAAAGGTTACCTATAAACAACTTTACTTTTAAAAACCCATCAGCATATTTATGACAGTATATAGTACTTGGTGATTTAAAAAATAAACACCAAAAGAGAAAGAAAAAAAAAGCCAAGCAGTGGTGGCACATGCTTTTAATTCCAGCACTTGGGAGGCCGAAGCAGGTGCAGGTGGATCTCTGTAAGTTCATGGCCAGCCTGGTCTATAAGAGCTAGGACAATTAGGGCTACACAGTGAAGCCCTGTCTCGAAAAACCAAAAAAATAAAGACAAAACAATCCAAGATCTTGGATTTGATTTAGCATTTCTGAAATAAATTTCTATTAAGAAAAAGACAACTACAAATTGGCCTAAGGTATCTAAGGTTGGGGATGAATCGTTGGTAGAATTTCCAATCTACTTGTGGTAGCTCATGCCTGTAATGTAGCAGGAGGGGTGTCACAAGTTTCAGGCCTTTCTCAGCTATAAAGTAATATCTTGTCTCAAAGTCAGTCAGTCTTGAGTTTAACTTTTTTAATTAGAAGGGACAACTGCTTCCATGGAGTTTTCAAGGATTGTGCCCTGCCTTGTCCAGCAGGGCATAATGGCTTCGAGCCCACGGGAACCTGGAATGAAATGAACAAGAGACAAGAGAAGATGACAGCGAGACAGATTTTCCCATCAAACTGTCATTTAATGAGAGCTCTGTACAGGCTTAAATAGGGGAAATGAGGTAGGGGGGATATAGGACAATAAGGGAGGGATCAGTGCCTAGTAATCTGCTGGGGAGTGTTCTTGGTCACCTATGAGGGAGTGTTGAGAGTCTCAGAAAAGGCTGAAGATAAGAGGTGTTAATAGGTAGGTGCTAAGTAACCTAATTGCAGGAAGGAAAGTTGAGTAACCTAACTGTAGATTGCTATCAGCTATCTACAGCCCAGGTTCTATTCATTAGGAAGCTGGGGAGGGGACGGACTATTTAAAAAGACTGACAATATTTACAAGAGGTTCTAAATAACAATGATCACTCACAACAGTGCAGATGACTACTCAGTTTGCCATTAGCTGGGTGGTTTGGGACAAGTTGCTTTATTAAGCTATTCTCATCCTTTCCATTATAAAGATAAGAATGACTCCCTTTTAGGATTCATAAGATTATAAAGTGCTGCTCCTCCTGGAACAATGTCTACCTCATACTGCTTTTATTTGCAACACTTTAAATATGTACTTTTTGTTTTAGGAACTTAACAAAAGGGATATCCAAACCATTTCAGACATCTTGACATGTGTTGGAAGATGCAGCAAGAATATCTTTATATTGGGACAAGCTGGACTTCTGGCCATGATAAAACAAGGATTAGTTCAAAAGATAAGTACATATTCATAGAAGGGAAATCTGATAATGATACAAAGGTACAATGTCTACTAAAAAAGCAGTCCAAACTGCTGAAAATAAATAAAAAGAATTTGACGTAGAACTTTTGAGAGTCAATATTTATATGATGTGGGTAGTTGCTATAAGGATAAAGGTCAGAAGGAAACTGCACAAGTTCCTTGACAACTATGTGAATTTGATGCCAGTGGGTCTTTATTTGAATTATTTTCTGTTGACTAAGTCAGTTTGTTTATTGTCTGACCCCCCTATAAAATATAAGACCGATTTTTGCATTTTTACTGACATATAGCCAGCACATTGATTAAAAGCTCAGACACATTATGTACTCATATCTGAATCAAAATAAGGTAGTGTATCTGTAGTAGGAATTTAAAGAGGGAAGTGGTAAGGGTCTTTGTAATGGAATTAATATTAACTTCATTCCTATTTTAAATAGCAAGAAAGTAGAGAGTAAGTTAAAAAAATACAAGACATTTTAAAATATAAAAGTTCTTTGATTCAATACTAAAGTTTTTATTTTAATGTCATTTTATTCTTAGGTTTACTGACTAAACAAGTAGATAAAAGTTGTTAAAATGGAATTCAAAGTAACTAATATATGTGTTCATCTTTACATGGTTTCCTGGTTTGAAAAGTCCAAGGAGATTATTGTGAGCCAAGGACAATCAAAAGATGAAGCTGTTATGAACATGATAGAAGACTTATTTGATCTTTTGATGGTAAATGACGTTGATTGTCATAGAGCATGTGATTATTAGAAAGCCATTTGTTTTGGTTCTAAGAATCATTAATAGACTAGTTAGTGACTTGGATTACTCTGTCTAGACTATATAAAGCATTTAAGCTGGCTAGTGTTAAGTAATTTATTAATAAGTTAAAATTAGCTATGCTGTGAATTAAAACTTATTTTAATAGCTTTTGTAATGATTTATAATAAAATTATAATAAAATATTTCCTATTTTTTTAGGTTGTGTATGACATCAATGATGAAGGTAAAATATCTTATTTCCATCAAAACAACTTACTGGGAACTTTTACTATAATTTTGTAACATAATACTGCCCTAGGAATTCATGATCTAATTAAAGAATCAAACTTTTCTGTAAAAGACCAGGTAGCAAAAGTTTAAACTTTGTTGTAGGCCAAGAGAAAAAAGTGCAGACTTTAGAAGTAGGCATTTCATATAAGTAAACAAATTTCAAAATCGATTTATGGGTACAATTGAGAATGTTTTTGTATTACAGATTTGCTAATGAGGCAGAAATGAGTCCTTTTGTATCTTATGGATCACAGTTTTTTTTTGTTTTAAAAATTGTTTACAATGAAATTTTATAGATATATAGAAATGGCTGGTATTGGCCTTCAGGAAAATCTGTCAGTTAAGGAATATTTTAATTGAAAATGTCAATCACATAGAGGTATTAATAGAATTCTGATACTTGCTGCCATGTTTCTGTTTAGAATGTCTGCTCTTCAGAGTATCATTACAGTAAAGTCATCCCTTCCTGCTAAGGTGATGTGGTAAAATGGACTCTTGAGTGTAGCAGTTTTCCTTTGTAATAAAATCGGGCTCCAAAAATATTGCTGGACCTCAAGTTGGAGCTTGGAAAAGCCCATAATGCCCTTTGCATATTTGTGAAGGAATGGAGACAGATATATACGTCACCTTTGAGCCAGAATCCCACATAGAGCCAGGGCACTCTTCATTATGTAGCTGAGAGGCCTTGAGTTCCTGATCCTCTTGCTGCCACCTGCTGAGTGCTAGAATTACCAGCATGTGCCCAAAATGCCCGGCTGAGATATTTTCATGTGCTCACTATGTCAGAAACATAGACAAACATGAAATGTCTTTTCAGTGTGTCAGATTTGTTGAATAACCATACTTTCACAAAAATAGAGTGTCCTCAATGGCATTGCTTTGCCAGATAATCCACGTACTTGGTAGCATGGTCAAGGTGAATTGTAGTGCATTTTCATTGGGTCCTCCAGCCCACAAATAATGACATGGAAAATTATTGATTATAAAAGCTCAGCCTTAGCTTAAGCTTGTTCCTATTTTTTATGACTTAACCCATATTTTTTAAATTGACTTTCTTTCATGAGACACCTTATCTCATCTCCATACTGCCCATCCTGCTTCCTCCTTGTCTGGTTGGCAACCCTGCCTTTTTCCCAAGAGTTCTCTCTCTGCCTGGAAGTCCTGCCTATACTCTCCTGTCTAGCTATTAGCCATTCATGTTTTTTATTACACCAATCACAGCAATACATCTTTACATACTTTACAAATACCCCACAATAGTGAATGCAGTGTTTTTTTAAATTCCTTTCTTAATTACTATTTACTCTCATATCACCTAATGTATAATAAATATATCTTTATCTATGCATATGTGTTTTACAGAATGAATACAGCAGAATTCCACAGATTTTAGCACTGGACTCTGAGAAAATGTAGTAGTCTCTGTGTTAAAAGATAACTCAAACCACCACCAGGAAAAACACTGTTGTCTTCAAAATCAGGCCATGGGAGAGTCAGGATTAAGAGAAAAGATACAGCCATCTGCAGAGACAAGAACAGGACACAGGGTCCAGAGCAGAAGCAGTAGGGGTCAGGTCCAGATTGAATGAACTAAGTGGATCAGACAGCAGTGAAACAGGCCACCCCAGCAGTGGGATGCTGAGCCAAAGTCCTAAGGACAGCTGAGAGTTCTCTGCCTGTTGGTATTTGACCCATATGCCAGGTGTCAGATGACAGTTTGGTTGTCAGGCTATTGCTATAACAGTGCTAAATTTCTCCCACTTGATGGAGGCCAGGTGAGGGAATTTTGCACCCTCTCCCTAGTCTGATTGGCTAGTAAGTTCTTGGGCCTGTTTTCCTATGTGATTTGACTACATATATGTGCCCATTCAGCCTTGAATTCCCTTGAAAAATAGTCGTTTATGGTGCTGTTCATGTATTTGCCTAGGCAATCAGTTATCTTGCACCCTCAAAATGGAGTCAAAAGCTGCTTTATAAATTGAGCCTAAAAAAACAGGTTTTGTTGTTGTTACAATGTGTAGTAACTTAAGAGAGTAGGACATAGCCTGATGTCTACAGGTTGCTTCTCATTTTAAACTTTTGGTAGTATGGGAAATGTGTAAAGCAGTGTGGTGGTTGTGAGCTTGTACATTTGTCTTCCCACATTATCACAATTTGTTGGATAATAAATTTGTGGTATGGTAGATTCATTGACAACAATCTGTAAGTAATTCTGCTTATTTTGATAGCCCTGAATAAGGCAAATATAGGTCATTTTATTTCAATCTTTGTTACTGATACTTAAACCCTCATATAATACTCTACCATCACATACATAAGCACACACATATAGGTATATTCATATACGTGTAGGTTACCATTATTATTATTAAACTGTAAAGGGTCATAGAGGATGCAACAAAGTATAAAGAGTTTCAGAAAGTCCTGAGAGTTCAAGACAGACTGATAGGAATGTAGAAGAGAGTCTCTGTAAGAATGAGGTCGTGAACCCAGGCTTGGAAGGCTGGTGGGATTCTGCTGCTGCCATAGATATAGGAACAAGGTATGATGGAATTTATAGAGACAAGGGACAAGACCCAGGTCCAGATGAATAGATAGGTGGACAGCATGAGTATGCATGGGTGGCAGTTTAAGTAGGCAATGTCAACTGTGGAGGATAGAGCCAAAGTGAGACCCCTGGGGCAGTCAGGAAGAGTTCTTTCTCAGTCCTTTGACACACACACACCACACACACCAGGTGATCAGATGACAGACAGGTGGAGGAATTCTCATCAGAATATGAGGTGTGCTCTTTATTAGATATAGTCTGCTGTGCCCACTCAGTGTTCAGGCCTGGTTTTTGTGATCTGACTTTAATGCATGCATCTACTTCGACAGTCCCAATTTACTTGGATAAATTTATAGAGTGCCACTCTTTTTGCTTTGGGGAATAAGTTCTGTTCATACTTTATGGGTGGTGCTGGAAAGATGGTGGTGTTGGGTACCCACCAGATGTAGAGTCATCCTCTGCCCTCAAAAGGGAGGCAAATGTTAGTAAACCAGTTTCTCAGGGCAGCCTTGTTGTACAACATGAATAACTTAGACAACCTGACCTTGACAATAGTGTACTAAGTGCCATTCAATAACACAAGTTATCAAAACAGCTTTACTGCACTCTAGAGTTATAAGCACTGTGCCGTCTTATAAGTGGAAGTTAAATTTACTAACCAACATTTCTCAGTTCTAGCAAAAGTTGGTAACAAGGTTGAGGATGGCTCTTTTTGAGAATACTTTTTAGTTTGGATTTTAGTAGTAAAGATTAAAGTTTGCTAGTGCTGGGACATTTGTCTGCTGTGTGGTTGGCAAGTAGGAGTCTCAGTTACTATTTGTGATAAAAATGTGCATAGTTGGTAGAATGAACAAAGCTTGTCTTTGGTATTACTTCTTTAGTTAATGGGATAGATGTAGATACTTTCCACAGAGTACTTGCTGAAAAAAAGTTCTGCCTTACAAGATAAACAGAGTTGGCTTTGTATGCTATAGTTTGTCAGTTTTCTTTTTAAATTGAGGCAAACAAAAGTTGTTAATCTTTAAAACTTTTTAAAATATATGTTTCATTTATTTTACATAGTGTGTCACCTTTTGAGCTAATGAAACAAAATTTTCAGTGGTAAAAGAATGAAGAATATATTATAGTTTGTCACCATTTATTTATAGACAGCAAGTATATTATGCTAAGAGACCAGGTCCAAGTTACTTATTATTTCTTCTCCCTGGAGACTTCCTCATGATTGGTAACTGAAGCTGGTGAATCACTTACACACATAGCTCTATTTATTGTTCTGAAAGGCAAAATGTGTTAGGCATGTTAATTATTTAAATAATAGTTACTGCTACCTTTCCATTAGCATTGCAATGTAAATTCTAAGGAAAGAACAGTCCTAAGAGTGCAAACATTGTAATGTGAGCCCCCTCCTACTGTTAAGTAAATCATAGAGCTTTTCATCTGAGTTGTTTTTGTTGAGTATGGTTACTTAAAAAGCTGTAATTTTACTTTTGCAGTATTTCCATTGCTTAAACTTTTCAAATCGGTTTTAAGGGGGGCATGTAGACAATTCTTCTGAATATATTTTGTACTGATAATCCATTTGCAAAAGATTAGGTCTTAAATTGTTTTAATTTTTTTTCAAATCTTGATCATGTTTTCCTATCCATCAACTCCTCCCAGATCTCCCCACTTCACTGTCCACCCAACTTCATGAATTTCTTTTCTCTTTCCCTCCCTCAAGAAAAAAAAAACAACAAAAAATGAAAATCAAAGTAGTAATAGAAAACAAAAGGTGCCTCCCCAACAAAACATAAGGTCCATTTTATGTTGGCCACCTACTCTTGGGCTTGGTGCCTGCCTGGAGTGTGGTTAATAATACCCAGTAACATTCCTTTGGGGGATAAAAAACGAGTTCTCAGCAGGTATCAACAACAAATAGCTAAAAGTTGAGGGTTCTGTCCCACCTGGTCCCACAGCTGTTTAGCCCCAAATAAACACACAGAGGCTTATATTAATTATCAACTATTTTGCCGATGGCTTAGGCTTTTTACTAGCTAGCTCTCTCTTAATTAACTCATAGCTACTAGTCTATGTATATCTACATAAGGATCTTATTGGAGAATGCCTGGCGTCCTATCTTTCCAGCTGCTACATGGCGTCTTTCCCTGCTGGCTTTTCTTGGGGTTCTCTTCCTAGCCTTCCTTTCTGATAGCCCTGCCTATACTTCCTGCCTGGCTACTGGCTAATCAGTGTTTTATTCATCAACCAATAAAAGAAACATACACAAGGACATTCTCCCATCACAAGCAAAAAACTCTCAAGTCACTTAAGAGATTCATGAGAGATATGTTGATTTCTTTCATAAAATGCTTGAGTATGATTAAAAGTTAATGAATCCAGTTTTCATAAACACCTCAGATAACAAGTGACTTATAAATTGATTTAAAATTAACATCTGCCAATAAATGTATCATTTTATTCAGGTAAAAAGCAAGTATTGGAAAGTTTCATACCTCGCATCTGTGCCCTGGTTATTGATCCAAGAGTGAATATTTGCATTCAGCAGGAGGTAACTCTCTTTTAAAACCTAAAACTGAGAAAGTGAATGATAAAAGTAAAAAAAAATTAGACTAAGTTTCTTAAATTGATGTCATGGGGTATATTTCTGTTGTTTGACTAATTTATTGTCTGGTGATGTATATTCTAAATATTCATTAAAATCTATAATTGAATGGATTTATGTATGTGTATTACTAATGTGTGAACCTATACTGCCTAAGTCCTAGGAGTTCTCTAGTATGTAAATACCAAATAGCATGTAGTTTTGTATATGTACATGCATATGTATAACAAAAAGAACAAAAAGTTGGTAACCTTTTACTTGTTTTAAGATCTAAGGATCTTAGAGTAGTTCATGTGTTCACACGGTGTGTGTGAGAACTTCAGTAAGTTGCATTTTAGACTAGATGTCCTTCCCTTCACCTGATTTACATCCCTTACTTATAGAGCATGAGTAAGAGAAAACCTAGGCTTTTGAACTCATATGCCTGCTTCTCCAAATGCTTCTTGGAAAACAAAGTTACTTTCTTTTCTTTCCTAGGCTTTAAAAAAAATGAATTTGATGCTTGACAGAATACCTCAAGATTCCAACAAAATACTTTCTAATCAAGAAACATTAACTCTCATGTAATGATTTTTTTAATACCTTGTTTTGATCAGTTGTTCGATTTAGTAGTTGTAAGAAACATGGCAAACACAAGTTTGAATTAATCAAGACCGACAGTCTTACAATTTTGGGTATAATAGTGTTTATATTTTCTTCTAAAGTCAGTTATACTAGCTAATTGTAAATTTTACGGGTTTTCCCCTCAAATATAATGGGCTTTCTATCTAATATTAATTTAGTATATAATTTCTTATTTTAATTCACAGGAGTAATATGGGAGAAAGGATTATAGATGTAGGAGGTAAGTATCTCTAAGATATGAAATCATTTCAAACGTATGAATATTATATACCTTTGACCATGTTATTAACCTTCATGTTACCAGAATAATAATACATCAAAGGAATTATAATTTGTTTATATAAACTGAAGGAAAAATTTTAGATTAGTAAAAATAAAGACATGTCTTGGAACAAATAATTTGTCATGACAAGAAAAATTAGATAAAATAAATGTGTCTGGCAATAGTTGTGTTGGTAGCTTAGTGTTCTAATTTATTAGAATTTCTTATGCTAAAAATTTTCTTAAATGGCAGTTATTGAAACTATAATGTCTAGTATTTTTGCAGTTGATAGACAGATTTTAAAGAATATATTTACTTTAAAGAAGTTTTCACTAGATTCCTATGAGTAAAATTTGATTTAGTGATTTATATGTAAAGTATGGCTTTAATATATACCATGGGATAACTGTAAACATCATAACAAAAATTTTGTATGTTGTAGAAATTGTTTTTCAATTTACATTATAATGAAGTGGTAAAGTCTTAGAAGATTTAGCGGTTTCTTTAAAACATTAACTTTTATTTATAAAAAGCGAACAATTTAGTAAATTAAATATTTTCTTTTTCTCTTGGTTTTGTGCCTTACAAAATCAAGTTGTTTTCTTTTTGTTTGTTTTTTGTTTTGTTTTGTTTTGTTTTTCGAGACAGGGTTTCTCTGTGGCTTTGGAGACTGTCCTGGAACTCGCTCTTGCAGACCAGGCTAGCCTCGAAATCACAGAGATCTGCCGGTCTCTGCCTCCTGAGTGCTGGGATTAAAGGTGTGTGCCACCGCCACCCAGCCAAAATTAAGTTTTATAAGCTGAACTTCTAAGAGTTTTGACCTCTCCATTGACTAACAATTGTTTTAAGATTATGAGTTACAGGTAGGCATTGTGGAAGCTTTGTGTAGAATGACTACAGAAAAACGGAGACGAGAACTGGCGTGTCAGTGGTTTTCAATGGATTTTATTGCTAATGCATTTAAAGCAATTAAAGACTGTGAATTCGAAACAGTAAGTAGTATGTATAAAAATAACAAGTCTAGTAAAGACTTTTGTATGATTCTGATTTTTAAAACCATTTTTCTCTTTTGAAAACTAGGATTGCAGGGTATTTCTCAACTTGGTAAATGGTGTGCTTGGAGATAAGAGAAGGTAAGCCAGATATAGCACATAGTTATCTGTTCAGGAAGTAACGCTGAGCCCAGCTATGGGTGTCTATAAATACAGTTTTATTGCACTGCAAAATTTATTCAAGACACTATTTATGTAGCATACAGTAAATTAGCACACTGCTCACCTGAAATACTCTGATGCCTTTATTTGGGTTTTTGCTTGGAAGGAAAAATGCATTTTATTTAATTCATATTAGTAACTGTCCATATTTGGTTTACTTTTCTTCGGAATTACATGTATATTATTATTGGTATTTGAGGAATGATAAAAATCTGGCTATACATCTACAATCTGGAGTGAAAATATATAGTAAACAAATTCTCCTTATATATAAGTAACATAAGTAGAATTTTTAGTACTTAATACCAGAAACAAGCACAAATTGATAGAAAATATAAATTTTACCATTAAAATGTATTTGTAGGGTGTTTTTACCTACAAGTATTGCCTGTGCTCCACATACATGCAGTTCTAAAACAGCCAGGAGAGTTGGATCACCTAGAAATGGAGTTAACAGAAGATTTTAAGAAACCCATGTGGGTGTTGGGAATTGAACTCTGGTACTCTGGAAGGAAGAGAAAGCTCTCTTAAACTGCTGACCTATCTCTCCAGCCCAGTGCAATAGCATTGTAATACCTGGTCCCGATGGATGATGCTCTTGAATAAATCATGTTTGCTTTATTTATTAAGGAAGTGAAAGATAGAGTTACGGCTAAGTCAGTGAGTTATATTCCCTGCATTTGAACCATAAGTTCACATCTCTTCTACTCTGTAAGTTATTTAACCTTACTATCTTCAGTTTTCTTAGCTGCATCATAAGAATACTAATAACACTTATTGCTTATGTTTGTTACTGAGACCAATAGAACACACTAAAGTACTTAAAATTGAATCTTTTGCCATGAAAATGTTCAAGAACTTAACCACTTTTGTTATCAATGACTCAAATCTACTTTTTAACCCATCCAAGTCCTGTGGGATCATCTATTGTATTAATATACATTGAATTTGGAAACCCTTGTTCATGTTTGAAAGAATATTTTTAATTGGTATAATTCCTTTAGTCAAAGTGGTAAGTGTCTTTAAAGTAATAAGGCTTTTCTTTACCTTAACAAATTCAGATATATATTTGTTTAAAAATAGTAATGGCCTGGTCTGGCGTGGTGGTTTCACCTATTACCTCAGTTACTTGCAAGTTTGCAGTAGGGGCATCAGATTTTAGGCTAGTCCAGACAACAGACCCTATCTCAAAATTGCATTAAAGAGGTTATTTTATTTAAATTTTATAACCTATTTCTGATTTCTCTTTTATTCTAGACATTGTTTTTATGACTGAACAAGTTAATTCTGGAAAGGTAGATTTATTTTTTTCCTAAACTGTTTTGTGTTTTAGGGTATATACGTTTCCTTGCTTGTCAGCATTTCTTGATAAATATGAGGTAAGTTTTAATTTTATCAAAACTTGAGTTATTGGATAATTTTATGTAAAATTAAATGGACTATGTAATGGTTTAAAATATTAAAAATTCTAGATTTAGATGTGATGGTACAGCTAACTGGTCCTATATATTATAGTGACACCAGGACAAATATGAACCAGCTCACCTTAGCCAAGAAAGAAAACAGCAAAGTTGTAGTTCTCCACATTTTCTTCTCTGCTTTTAAAGGCATTTCTGATTATCATAAGTATATTCAAGCTATTTTCAGTTTCTATTAATACTTAAAATTTTTTATTTTCATATGTCTGTGTAAAGCATTTAAGTAACATTTGTTACTAAACTACCTAAGAGTACATTTCTTCTGTCTTCATCTACTTAACACTTTGTCTCTTAAAAGTATTCAGGGACTGTTCTACTTTATGTAAGTGATGCTAGATTCTAGAATTAAAAAACGTCAAATAATTCAGTCATGGCTGTAACCTGATGACAATTTTCCATGTATGTAAGCAAAATATATACTAGTTTTATGTATTATTTTAGCTGCAGATTCCATCAGATGAAAAACTAGAGGAATTTTGGATCGATTTTAATCTTGGAAGCCAGACTCTGTCGTTCTACATTGCTGGAGATGATGATGTAAGCTCTTGCTCCTTTGTTATTTCCATGCCCATGAAGAACATTCTTGAAATTTACTTTCAGAATTCATATTTGTATACTTTTTAATCCACTCTTTTGGTATATTTGCAGCACTAGCTTTTTATTTTAAGGCTGTACAAATCACTCTGTCAAGGCAATTAAATGAAAATTATTTGACTTCATTATAGAAACAAAATCAGTGCTAAATTTTAATATTAATTTTAACAAAAACCATTTCAGAAATGAGTATTAAAAATATTCAATTTTTTGGTCACATGGACAAAACGAATCAGCATTAGAAAAGAAGCATGAAGGTTGCTCAGTGATATAGTACTGAGCAGGCACCAGGCATTGGACCACTCAGGTGTTCCATGAGAAGAACATTGACAGGTGACAACATTTGATCTTACTCAGTCTTGAAACCTCCTGGGAAGAAATAAGGAAATTGCTGCTTAGAGTGGCATGTAGAAATGAATTTTAGTTCTATGTTGTATCATAGCCATATGTAAACTTTTGAAAGTGGAACATTTCTTTTTTTGTGTGTTATCTGGGGAAAGGTATTAGAGTTAATTGTTTCCTAGCTGTCTCTTTATTTTTGGTACAGTGGTGTACATCTGGCTCAAACTGTGTAGTCACTCCCAAACTCTGGCAGTTGATTATCGGCACATTCTAATCACACCAACAGAAATTCAGATAGGCCAGCTTCTTCCAATGTAGGGTTTGGTAAAAAATTTTATCTACTTAAAAATGGGTTCTCTGGTCACTCAATATATAAAGTAGCTTGACCACCAAGTCATGTATCCATTGTCCGGTGTTTTTTCCTTATGGTAATTACTGAAAATAATTTTGTTTTTCTATTTTATAAAAGAGCAAAGGTGTGCTTCTTTCTTGTTTATACCTGGTTAAGGTATAGGATATTGGGGCTTGTTATTTTAGAATGAATAAATGGAGTATTGAAAGAGCAGAAAGATGCATGTTTAGTGGTGGAAGGTTCAGGAGATAGGAGAAAGGTAAGTCACAAGTCACATGTTAGTTTAGCTTAAATTGATATTGAAAGAAGCTTTAAATCAGGAATAAATTTATACTTAAGATCTTTATTTTCCTCTAAATTTAAGGATCATCAATGGGAGGCAGTCACTGTGCCTGAAGAAAAAGTTCAGATGTACAGCATCGAAGGTATTAAACTTGAAGTTTGTTTCTTGTAATTCTCTACTTGGTTCCTTTCATAAAAATTGATAACGGGGCCATTTGGGGCTAGGAAGAAACCTGGTGCCAGGGAAACCCTCAGGAACCCTTAAGGATGAGGGCAACTAAGACTCCTAGCAATGGTGGAGAGGGTGCCTGAACTGGCCATCTACTGTAAGCAGATTGGTGACTTCCAAAATTCCCATCAGAGATACTCTATGTGGTAACTGATGGAAGCAGAGGCAGAGATCCACAGACAAGCACTGCACTGTTCCAATACTCTTGTGGAAGAAAGGAAGGAGGGGTTGTACTAGTGGTGGGGGGATGGCAATGTCATGATGGGGGAATCCACAGAGACAGCTGACCCAACAAGCAGGGGAGCCTGCATGGGACTGACCTAGGCCCTCTTCATGTGTGTGACAGTCCTGTAGCTTGGTCTCTTAGTAAGGCTTCTAACAGTGAGATCAGGACCTCTCCCTGGTGCTTAACTGATTTTTGGGAACCTGTTTCCTATACTGGATTATCTGGCCCCACCTTGGCATGAGGGGAGTAGCTTGTTCCCACCTCAACTTGATGTGCCATGTTTTGTGCAAGCCTTGGGAGGCCTGTCCTTTTCTGAATGGAGATGGAGGATGAGTGGATGGGGAAGGAGGTAAATGGGAAAGAGGGGGAGGGGGATTGGGAGGAGAGGAGGGAGAGGAAACTGGTTGGTATGTAAAATAAATGAAAAAAGTTATTTAAATAAAAAAACTGTTCGAAAAAATAGAAACTGCTAGATAATATGACTACAGAAAAATCTCGTAGACACTCACATTCATAAAGTCATCACATTTTCAACCCCAGGTTTCTTCATCTAAAACCACAATATTTGGACTGACCAGTCTCATGTTAACGTTTTCAAGGTTCTTGGAATTCTATCCCACTTGTTTTATTTAATTGAAACACGCATTTCTCAATTCCTATAAGAGGAGTTAGACTGGAGGACACATTTATGAAATCTAGCAGACTGATTAAAAAGTCTTATTAAGGCATATTTTAGTCATTATATATATGTTTGTGTGTGTGTTTATCTCATGGTTTTAATTTGCATTTTACTAATGAGCACTGATGGTAAGTACTTTTTACGCATGAGCTCTCTGACTGGCTGCGTGCTCTCCTCTGTAGAGCATCTGCTTGAACATATGAGCTGTTTATTCAATTTTGAAGTTGTTGTGTATCCTAGACTACCAACCCTTTAACAGATAAATTCTGAGAACATAATTATTTGTCTGTATCATGTTTCATTTTTTGTGAGCAGGTAGGGGGTGTGCCAGGTACAGCAAAGAAAGGCTTTTAAATTTGAATTTTAGTTTATCAGGTTTGTTTTGATTTTCCATGTATAGTTGTTGCTTTGTGTAACATAAATAATCTCGTTTTATTTATTAGTCACAGAGATTTTCTGTTTGGCTTTGGCTTTAGCTTTTGTACCTTAATGTGGTGAACTAAATCAAATTAAGTTTTGTCTGGGTTGTCAGAAATTATAGATGATTGGGTGAACTTATAGCTATTCTAAGATTATTTGCTGAAATGGCTTTAATTTCTCTGAGTTTCTTTGTTTCCTTGATCACGTGCTATACCATTGACTATCCACCCCACCCTCCATGGTTCCTCGGTTAAGTCATCTGGCTCTGTAAGAGTAGTTTTGTTTCTTGTTGCTGTTATGTATTCCTTAGATCTGTTTACATGCTGTGTACCAGTACCACGGTGTTTTTAGCGTTTATGTTCATTCTTAACAAACATAGCTAATTTATTTTCTGACATTGTCAGGTTTTCAGAAACATGACCTTTGGATTATCTATATACATTTAAAAGGTTTTGTTAAGTATTCCAGAAAACTTCCTGGAATTGTGACTGTAGATCATCAGTGTGGGAATACTAGAACTAGAACTCAAATCATAGAGATGCAGTTCTTTTTTATTTGGGTTCTGGACTTCTCTAAACAATGTTTTATATTTTTCAATATATGTCTTATAGATATTTTGATGAATTTATTCCAAAATAATTGATTTTTGCCTTTTATGATGATAAACATCATTTTTAGTTTCAGATATTTTCTACTGGTACATGAAAAAATAGTTTTAAAAAGATACTTTCCTTGTATCCTACAACCTTGCCAAGTTAACTGTTAAATTATGATGTCTATGTAGGTTCCTGAGGGTGTTTTCTGATAAGCGATAGTGTTGTTATACTCTCTCCTCAATTTCCTTCCCCCTTTCTTCTTTATGGAAATGGAAAAATATGGTGATGTATTGTTTATAATTTAATAAAGCCACTGGAGATCAAAATGCAAAGCTAGCCACAGCCACAGAACCAGGAGGTAGTGATACACACCTTAAATTCCAGCAGCCATACTGGTTAGCTATAAAAGCCAGGCAATGGTGGTATACAACTTTAACCTCAGGACAAAGGCAGATGGATCTGTGTGAGTTCAAGGCTTCCCAGGGTTACATTAGAGCGAATCAGTCTAAAAGAGAAACAGCTCACACAAAGGACATCTCAGCACTTGGGATCCCACACCTTTAATCCCAGCACTGGGGAGGTGGAGACAAGAGTGATGATATGACTGGGTGGAGAGAGGAGTATAAGGTGGGAGGAGATGAGCTGAGAGGATTGCAGTCTGAGGATTCGTGGAGAGAGGATCACCCTTTCAGTCTGAGGTAGAGGTAAGAGCTAGTGACTAGCCGCTTTGCTTTTCTGATCCTCAGCTTGAACCCCAATATCTGTCTCTGGGTCTTTTTATTTGTGCTACAGAGAAAGCTTCCACTACAATTTTGAATGAGTGAGTGTGGTAAAAAAGTGGATATCTTGCTGACTTCTTGAATGTGGCTTGGGAAAAGGTGATACATTAACTTACTATAAAAGTGCTGTGTTAGCTGAATGCCCTGGTGGATACTCTGCATCAAGCTGAGCAGGCTGTGAGAAATCATGTGGTTTTGCATATGAAACCATCATGGGTAATTGAAGTTAGCAAACGTTCATCCTCCACTTTGTACTTGTCCATTAAAAAGCTTTCTTCTGCTACTTGGGTCTTAGACAGTTACCACTGCTTCTTCAACGTACATGAATTCTAGAAAACATACATTTACCTATGTAGAATCATACACTATATAACAATTTTCTGTTTGTAATTTTCAAACTTTTGGTTTAGCTACAATGTTGTGGCATGTATCTTTTTATTGCTGGGTTGTATTCTACTAAATGGCTATACCTCAATTTATTAATCCATATCCAGTGAACCTTTGGGATTTGGAATGTTCCAGTGGTTAGCTCTTATGAAACGCTGTTATGAATATTAATGTATACTCTGTATATATGTAAGTTATTACTTTGGGGGCAATTGCTAAGGGGTACAGTGCTTGTGTACCACAGAGATACATCCTTATCCAAGTTTAGAAACCTCCAAAGTGTTGGGTAAAGTAATCTCACCAGTTTAGGTTTTAATCTGTTTTTAAGAGATCCAGTTTCTGGGCCAGCAAGAAGGTTCAGTGGCTAAAGGCACTTGCCATCAAGTGAGTTTGATTCCCTGGGACTTAACATGATGGAAAGAGAAAAGTACCCCTGGGACTTGTCCTCTGACCTCTACACACATACCATGCATTTGTGCCTATATAACCCACACATGTATTCACATTCAGGCATATGCGTACACTCATGTACATCCATCCACACACACAGACACACATCTAATAACTTTAAGAAAGTAATTTCAATTTTGTTGAGTCCTTCCTTCTCTTGCCTTACTGTTCTAGCAATAAGAACTACCATTGCATTGCTAATAGAAATTAGGAAAATAAACATTTTGCCTTATTTCTGGTGTTTGGAGAGTGGCAAAAACATTTTTTTTTCTTACCACAAAGTACTTTATATAGTCTTGGTCTGTTTCTTATTGCTGTAACAAAATACCTGTGACTGAATGTAATAAATAACCTAAGAAAAAATTAATTTTGGCTGATAGTAGTGGAATCTGGGAGTCTCATGATTAAGTTGCGGCGGTACCTGGTTAATTCCTGGAAAATAGGCCATCATATGGCAAGAGTAATTTGAGGAACCTGAGATCACATTTTAAATAACTGTCTATAGTAGCTCCATAAAAGTTGAGGAGAAATTAATCTGGCTTATGAACAAACATCTGCCACTGGGTGCAATCATTAGCGCTGCCAGAATGAGGAATTTTCTGCTGTGGAATATGTATTCCTCTCATGGTGTAATAATAAAAGCTGTTTGACCAGTAGCCAGACAGGATAAGCCTAGGTGGAACAGTCAAATTGAGAACTCTGATGAGGAGGAGCAGAGTCTCGAGAGATGCCAACCAGCCATGGAACAAACAGGGAGTATTAAAAATGAGGTAAAAAGCCTTGAGCCACATGGAAAAGCACATGTAGACATATAGGTTAATTTAAATGTAAGAGTTAGCTAGTAATAAGCTTGAGCAATTGGTGGAGCATTAATAATATAAGCCTCTGAGTGATTATTTAGAAGCAGCTACGGGATGGGGGGCAGGACAGAGAAACCTCTGTTTATAATTTTGAACATGAGTTTTACTAACAATGAAACCATATTCATACCATAGAACATTTTGGCAGTTTTTCATTAATATCTTAGATAATTTATTTTACAGAATTAACTCTTGGAATTATCTTTTTAAGTTTAAATGCCTATTAAGCTATCCAATCTTAATTGTCTTTGACCTTTTTCTAAAGTCTTTTGTTTCTTTAGTATCAGTGGTATATTAGTACTTATTTCCTGTCAACTTACTTTATGATTGACATTGTATTTAGAGCTATAGAAAATTTTTGCTCAGCTCACCAGCCATTCATTCAGTCCAAACTCTAGCATATATTTTAAGTGGAAGAACTGAACATGTATTTAAGACTGACCTGTTTCAGAAATTATTTTGCATTTAAGCTAGTGAGGTAGTTGGAGAATTAACTCTACTTTTAAATAATTTAAATGATTCTTTTAATTGTACATAATCAAGAGGTGCAACATATTTCTGTGCATGTGCACCCAGGGAAGTCCTAGCCAGAGAAATCGGGTACAGAAAACCTACAAGGGCTCAATAGCCATTTTTGTGTGTCTCCTTGTGTAGCCCCAAAATAGTCTAGATCCATTAAAGTCCACATTTTTGTTAACTCTGAATCTTACTGATAACTTCATATTTGGTATCTTATTTGTTCTAGCAGTTTCTCTTCCTAAACCAACAATCAGAATAACAGGGTGTCTCTAGGGAGCTCAGGGCTGGGTATCATGTATATGCACAGAACTCTGATACCTTTAGACAGATGGATTTAATTTTTTCTTCTGATCTAGCAAAATACTGTCCTGAAATAAAATACTGCATCTTATGCAGATGTGGACCCCTCTGAATTAAGGCTCTGGCTCCCTGCTATTGATAATATTCTCCATGTCTATGGCTTGCAGATAGGACTAAGGTCTTTGTGCTTCCTTTCCCACAATGAATTTCACTGAAGGGAGTTATCTATTTCCCTAGCTGCTTAGTACTCTCAGTAGCAGACATGTTAGTCTTTATTACTATCCTCAGGATTGTTTTTCTCTTTTTTATAGTATTATATAATAATTCACAAAACATGAATTTTCAGCCAAGAATGGCTATACATTTTCAGCTTTTCACACCTTCATCCCCAAGTATCTTTTCACCATTTCCTATTTCTGGAAATTATAGAGATGTGTCTCCCTCCCCTGGTACCTGGGTTCATCTCTCATGTTCTCCAAATATTTACTCCATCAATTCATATAGTCTCTCATATCTTTTCTCAGAATATAAATTATGTCACAAAAAAGTCAGCTTGGATTGGTGATGGGGGAAGTCCTGTGTATATGTCAATAAAGCACTGTTGGCCAATAGGGAACCAAGAAAGGTGGGACTAGGAGTCCAGGAGGACTCTGGGTAGGAGAAACACAGGGAGTCGAGATGTAACCGCCATGGGGAAGGAAGCCTGGAAATTTCTCCGGTAAGAGAAATACTTAGATTAACAATTATGGGGTAAATACTTAAGTCAGAGATAGCCAGTAAGAAACAAGCAAGGCCAACAGCTTCATAATTAATATAGCCTCCTGTGTGTTTATTTGGGACTGATGCGGCTCTGGAACCAGGCTGGCGGGAAGGCTTCTCTTTACATAATGGTGTCAGAAGTGGGATTGTAAGGTATACCAGTTACATGTTTTATATTATAATATTTGAAAAATTGTTCCAATTTACTGGAGACATATGCTGGAGCATTGTCAGTTTTTATTGTTTTAGGTATACCCATAACAGCCATTACCTCTAAGAGATGTGTAATAACAGTCAGCCTTTTCAGAGCTGAGGGCAGTAGCCCATTGGAAGCCTGAGAACGTGTCTATGGTATGGTGTACATATTTCAAACTGCCAAATTCTGGGAAGTGAAATACATCCATTTGCAAAAGTTCATTTCAGTGAATACCTTTAGGATTACAACCTGCTGGTAATGGAGTTTAATTGTAAAATGAGCAACTGGGGCAATTTCTTACTATTTCTTTGGCTTGTTGCCAGGTGATAGAAAAATCCTTTAAGCCTTTGCTGTCATGGTGTTTCTTATGAAATTCTGAAGCTTCCAACACATTACCTACTAATAAAGGATCAATTTCATCATTGCCTTGTGCCAGAGGACCTGGCAGACCTGTATGGGATCTGACAACTCTTTCTGCATACTGAGAATGCGTGACTATATTGAGAGGCTCTGTAAAGTCTCTAAGTACCATGAGAATGGCAAATAACTCTGCCTTTTGTATGGAGTTTTAAGGGCTTTGAACTAATTTACTTATAGTTCCTGATTTATACCCTGCCTTACCTGATTTGTTTGCATCCATGTAGAAGGTAAGAACTCCAGAAATAGGTGTTTGCCTCACAATACATGGAAGAATCCAAATTGTTTTCCTTATGAATTTGATTCTCTCTGTTTTGGGATAGTTATTACTAATAGTTCCCAAAAGTCACTGCAAGCTATTTGCCAATACTCCTATGGTTTCTTCTAGTCTTTCACTGTTCATAGCCATTTTTGAAAAAAATAGTTATTAAATTTTTCTTTCCCTTATTAATTTCTGTTACATTCTGTTGTACATCTCTAAAGTTTTTTCTGTCAAGATTCTTAACTCCTCTAATTAATCTCTCTCTCTCTCTCTCTCTCTCTCTCTCTCTCTCTCTGTGTGTGTGTGTGTGTGTCATTTTAAAAATTTTCTCAGCTAAGCTCCAAATATAGACTGAGCACTGCTGTTATTATAATTTTATCCTAAAGAGCTCCTTCTTTATTTTTTTATTTTTGGTATTTATGAGACAGGGTTTCTCTGTATTGTTTTGGAGGCTGTCTGTCCAGCCTGGCCTCGAACTCACAGAGATCCGCCTGCCTCTGCCTCCTGAGTGCTGGGATTAAAGGCGTGCGCCACCACCGCCCGGCTTCCTTCTTTATTTTCTAACAAATGGGATATGATAAAAGAAAAGACTGCTTGGTTAACTCCAAATAAAGAAGCTGTTCTTATTTTGAAGATCTCTTCTTCAGGGAATTTTATTGTGTGTTTAACAGTAGCAGGGGGTCAGTGGGGGTAAACGTGATTGTCATGGTGCACATGGAAGTCAGAGGACAATTTTTGGGAGTTGGTTCTCTCTTTCCACTAGGTGAGTATTGAGGCTTTTGAGTTTCAGGGTTGTCAGGCTGTGGCAGCAATCATCTGATGTAGCTTTTCAAGCCTAAAGGCCATTGACTGTTTCCTCCCCACTGCCTTACCGCCTTCCTCCTCCTCTTAGGTCTAGCTCCCCTTTCTTTGTTCCTTGTTTGATTACCATGACATGGTGATTAATGGGAAAACTAAATATTTGTTTTTGTGTGTATATGGATTTAAAAGTCATTTTAAGTGATTTTTCAGATAAAGCACATCATTACATTCATACTGTCTTGATATATTATAAAACCAGTCATATTGCTATTCAAGCAAGAAACCAAACAAGAAGTTTTAAAAAAAATCTTAATAAGATTACTAATTTTAAAAGGCCAAGTAAATTATGATATAGTTTAGGACATGAGGACAAATGTCAGAAGTCTCAACAAAGTAAGCAATAACGTAAAACAAACATAGTTGTATTACTGTATAGATGATTGCAGCTCATATAAATGAATCTTTGCACAAAGAATTACTTAAATTTATAATTATGATACTTTTGGTTTGTAGTGGAAAAATACTGCATTTACTAGATAGTAAAGTACAGAGGAAAAAGTCAAATGGAGATTAATGGCATGAAACAATTATTAGTAAAAACTCAAAGATTATAAATGCATTGCTATTTTTTATAAAAACATGAAATAATATCTTTAGGTCTACATGAGTTTTTACCTATGAAATGTGAAATTTTAAGAATCGTCTCACATGGTTTTAAAATTCTTAGTTGTACTGTTTTAGTGAGAAACACAGCAGCACTTTCATTAGTTACTATTGCTTAGTACCATCTAAGTTCATTACTATGGTAAATGTCACATTATGTACAGAAGAACAAATGCATTTTTTATTTGGGCAAGGCTTGTAAGAATTTTAAAAATCTATTTTTGGTAAAAATATTTGCCCCTTAGGGCAGATCACGGAGTCACTCGCATTTGCATCCTTGTAGAGATAAGAGTCCCTAGTTTTAGTGGTCTATTTTCCTTTGGCCCAAGAGTATTCTGTGGGAGACAGGTGTGAAGGCTTCTCAGTTGATAATAGGAGCCTCACCAGAGGCAAGCAGGGAGTGCTGTGGTTCCTGGTGTTGGCGATTTACTCTGTAACACAGGCAAACTAATTAGTTGCTAGGTGATTTTGTATATTTTTTGGACACCTCATAACAAGTGGGACTTAAAGTATCATGATGTTATTCATGATTTATTAAAGCTTGACTGAGGATTCAGAAAACAAAGTCAGCCTCCAGCTATAGAGATCAGGCAGTGGTGGTACACTCCTTTAATCCCAGCAGCCAGAAGCTAGGAGGTAGTGGTACACACTTTAATCCTAGTATTTAGGATTAAGAGATAGATGGATCTCTCTGAGTTCAAGGTCACATAGGAATACATGAGATTGAATCAGTCTAAAAGAGTAACAGATCACATGCTTTTAATCCCAGCACTAGAGAGGTATAAAAGATAGGAGCAGGGACTTCAGTACTCAGTATCAGTCATTCATTGTCCTCCTACATTGAGGATAGAGGCATTCATTCTCCAGCTATGCTGAGGAGAGGTTATGATTTGAGGCTTGGCATGAGAATCCATGGAGACAAGATTAGATTAGCCTGTTTAGCCTGAGGCAGAAGTAAGAAGCTAGTAATCAGTTGCTTTGCTTCTCTGATTTTTCAACTTGAAGTTTGAACCCCAATATCAGTCTCTGGGTCTTTTATCTATTTGAGTTACAAAGAATGATGTGTTGAGGATAAGGTCTGCATCCTTTTCCATAATACTCTAGATTTTTAAAAAAAATGTTATTAACAATATGTTGATTTAACAGAGATCTTTGTATACTGATAACGAGTTAATAATTACATTATTTCTAGCTATTTTCTTTAGGAAAGCAGCCTTTTCAGACATGTTCGTGGAGTATTTTAAGAATTGGTTAGGACTTAGAAACTGTTCTAGGAACCTATCTCAGTGGTTAGGGCATTATTATATAACATAGATGAGGACACTGAGACTGAAGTATAAGTTGACTGATTTGTTTGTATAGTTAGTAGTTGAATAAACAACATCCAATTTTAAATCTTTGAATTTTGATTCAGCTTGCTGCATATTTTATTTATAGTATAGTTATATACTGGTATCATAGAGATTAATATATTATCATTAATGTTGTTTTCTGTATACAGTGAGAGAATCAAAGAAGCTATTGACTATAACTCTGAAAAATATAGTAAAAATTAGTAAAAAAGAAGGAAAACAGTTACTTTTGTATTTTGATGCATCATTAGAAATTACCTGTGTGGCTAAAAAAATTTTTGGTGGAAACAAGTACAAGGTAAGCTTTTAAAATCTCCTTCAACAAATAGTATTATCGTAGTTTTACAAAGTGTTTGGGGCTACAATTTTCATTGCTTTTCCATTATCAAAATCTTAAAATGGCATGGATTATTGCTTTTTAAAATTATAGCGTGAAGGGCTGGCAAGATGGCTCAGTGGATAAAGGCCCTTTGCTCCCAAGCCTGAAGACCCAGGTTTGATCCCAGTTTCCACCTTTGTTGGGATGAAAGAACTGGTTTCTTAAGTTGTCCTCTGACTGCTACATGTGCACCATGGCACATGTGCATGATCACACAACAAATAGTAGAATTTTAAGCTTAATGCGGAATGCTTATTGGCTATTAGGTTGTATCCTTTGTAAAGTATCTCAGATGGCAGAATCAGCAGCTGCTTAGACCATTTGATGAGTTACTGCCATGTATTAAAAGACTGAACTAAAATATTTTCAAAGTATTAAACATTCTGAGAATTATAGAAGTGTGATAGAAGTAAATAGTTAACCTATGGGAAAAATTGTATCAACTGGAGAAATGTTCATTAAGAGTTATAGTGCAAATGGAGATGGGACTTGAAATAACTTATGGACGGATAGTATTCTAGAAGGCTATACAAGCCAGCCAGCACTGTGTATCTGAAAATATAAGATGACAGTTATAGAACATTTTAGGGATAATGTAAAAAATTTATGTCAGGTCAGGCTTGGTGATGCACACCAATGTTAATAAGACAGAGGCAGGTAGATCTTTGAGTTCAAGGCCAGTCTGGACTACCCTAAAAAGACCTTGTCTCAAAAAATCTGTAAAAGATATATATTCATAAGGGACCCTTATATAGGCAGCAACATGGAAAACTTGAGAGTGGATAGAACTAAGTTATTGAAGTGTTCTTAAGTTAGACCACTTACAATGCATAGTAACAATTTGGGGATAATTGTCAATTGTGGAAGGAAATGGGTAGGAAATAAATGCATTAGAAAGAAAATGGCATCACTTTGAATTAATTGAATTTTAGGACTTTACCAGAAAACAAGGTATTTCAGTTGCCAAAACATCTATTCATATACTTTTTGATGCAAGCGGATCACAGGTATGTCTCTGACTTACTTGATTTTTAGTCAACACTAAATAAAAATACAGTCATAAAGCTAATTTTAGAGGGTGATTATATGAAAGCAATGGTATCAATATAAATAGTTCTGTAATATAATATTTTGGTTAATAATAGTTTCATTATAGAAGTAAATTATTATTGAAAACTGCAGTTTATTAATTAAAAAAATGAGAACTGTGAGTGGCAGAGTTTATTTGGAAAGGTGACTCTTTTGTTGGGTCATTTGTGACACTGAGGAAATCCAGAGAATCATCAGGGCATACTTTGAAAATCTGTACTCCACAAAATTTGAAAATTTAAAGGAAATGGACAATATCCCAGATAGATATCACTTGCCAAAACTAAATCAAGAACAGATAAACAATCTAAAAAGACCTATAACCCTTAATGAAATAGAAGCAGTCATCAAAAGTCTCCCAATGAAAAAAAGCCCAGGCCCAGATGGGTTCAGTGCAGAATTCTACCAGAAATTCAAAGAAGAGCTAATTCCAATACTCCTCAAAGTATTCCACATAATAGAAGCAGGAGGCTCACTGCCAAACTCTTTTCACGAGGCTACAATTACCTCGATACCCAAGCTACACAAAGACACAACTAAGAAAGAGAACTACAGACCAATTTCCCTCATGAACATCGATGCAAAAATACTCATAAAATACTAGCAAACCGGATTCAAGAACACATCAGAAAAATCATCCACCATGATCAAGTAGGCTTCATCCTAGGAATTCAGGGATGGTTCAACAGAAAATCTATCAATGCAATCCACCATATAAACAAACTGCAAAAGAAAAACCACATGATCATCTCACTAGATGCTGAAAAAGCCTTTGACAAAATCCAGCACCCCTTTATGATAAAGGTCCTAGAGAGATCGGGGATAACAGGAACATACCTGAGCATAATAAAAGCAATATACAGTAAACTAACAGCTAACATGAAACTAAATGGAGAGAAACTCAATGCAATTCCTCTAAAATCAGGAACAAGACAAGGCTGTCCACTCCCTCTATATCTCTTCAAGATTGTACTTGAAATTCTAGCTACAGCAATAAGATAGTAAAAGGAGATCAAGGGGATAAAATAGGAAAAGAAGAAGTCAAGCTTTACTATTTGCAAATGATATGATAGTTTACATAAGTGACCCGAAAAACTCCACAAGGGAACTCCTAGAGCTGATGAATACCTTCAGCAAAGTGGCAGGATACAAGGTAAACTCAAAAAAATCAGTGGCCCTATTATATAAAGATGATGAAGTGGCTGAGAAAGAAATCAAAGGAACATCACCCTTTACAATAGCCATAAGCAGCATCAAATATCTGGGGATAATGTTAACCAAGGAAGTGAAAGACCTGCATATCAAGAACTTTGAGTCTTTAAGGAAAGAAATCAAAGAGGGTATCAGAAAATGGAAAGATCTCCCATGCTCTTGGATTGGTAGGATCAACATAATAAAAATGGCAATCTTGCCAAAAGCAGTCTACAGATTCAGTGCAATACCTATCAAAATTCCGGCACAATTCTTCACAGACCTAGAAAGAACAATAATCAACTTTATATGGAAAAACAAAAGGCCCAGGATAGCCAAAACAACCCTATACAATAAAGGAACTTCAGGAGGCATCACCATACCTGACTTCAAGCTCTGTTATAAAGCTATAGTCCTGAAAACAGCTTGGTATTGGCACAAACATAGACAGGTAGACCAATGGAACCGAATTGAAAACCCTGATTTTAACCCACACACCTATGAACACTTGATTTTTGACAAGGAAGCTAAAACTATACAATGGAAAAAAGAAAGCATCTTCAACAAATGGTGCTGGCTTAACTGGGTATTGGTATGCAGAAGACTGCAGATAGATCCATGTTTATTGCCTTGGACAAAACTTAAGTCCAAATGGATCAAAGATCTCAACATAAATCCAACCACACTGAAACTCTTAGAAGAGAAAGTGGGAGATACTCTTCAATGAGTTGGTACAGGAGACCACTTCCTGAACATAACACCAGTGGCACAGACACTGAGATCGACAATTAACAAATGGGACCTCCTGAAACTGAGAAGCTTCTGTAAGGCAAAGGACACAGTCAACAAGACAAAAAGGCAGCCCACAGAATGGGAAAAGATATTCACTAACCCCACATCTGACAGAGGGCTAATCTCCAAAATTTACAAAGAACTCAAGAAGTAAGTCTCCAAAACACCAAAGGATCCAATTAAAAAGTGGGCTACAGAACTAAATAGAGAATTCTCAATAGAGGAGTCTAAAATGGCTGAGAGACACTTAAGAAAGTACTTAGCCATCAGGGAAATGTAAATCGAAACAACTCTGAGATACCATCTTACACCTGTCAGAATGGCTAAAATAAAAAACACCAAAGACAATTTATGCTGGAGAGGATGTGGAGAGAGAGGAACACTCCTCCACTGCTGGTGGGACTGCCAACTCGTACAGCCACTTTGGAAATCAGTATGGAGATTCCTCAAAAAAGTGGGAATAAGCCTACCACAAAACCCAGCAACTCCACTCTTCAGCATATATCCAAAAGAGGCAAATTCATACAACAAGGACGTCTGCTCCACTATGTTCATAGCAGCATTATTTGTAATAGCCAGAACCTGGAAGCAACCTAGATGCGCCCCTCAACTGAAGAGTGGATAGAGAAAATGTGGTACATTTACACAATGGAGTACTATTCAGCAGAAAAAAACAATGGAATCTTGAAATTTGCAGGTAAATGGATGGCACTAGAAGAAACCATCCTGAGTGAGGTAAACTAGTCACAAAAAGACAAACATGGTATGTACTCACTTATATATGGATTTTAGACATGAATCAGGGAGTGCCAGTCTGCAATTCCACTGACAGAGAGTCTGGGAAACAGGAAAGAACCTAAGAGATATGCATGGTACCCCAGAGAAGAGGAGTGATGCAAGATCTTCTGAACAGATGGGGAACACGGCGAGGGGTGGGGGGAGTGGGAGCTGGGAAGGAGTGAGGGGGAGAAGAGGAAGAGAGCATAGGTCATGGGGTAACAGGAAGGTTGAGTAGGAGGGTACAATGGGGGGAAGAAGGAATCAGCTTAGAAGACAGATCAGGCACCAGTGAGACCTCTAGTGATCTAAAGGGATAACACCAACCTGCAAGCTAAGCAATAGTGGAGAGAACAAGAGAACACCTCGAATGCCCATTCCTGATAATGAACTTCATGTCCATAACCATCCTGGAGCCTTCATCCAGTGATTGAGGGAAGCAGAGGCAAACACCCACAGTTAAACACTGAACTGAACCCAAGGAATCCAGTGACAGAGAGAGAGAGGAGTGATGAGCAAATTGGCAAAGAATGGGCTGGCAAAACCAGCAGAGACAGCTGATCTGAACAGGGGAGAGCTCTTAGACCCCAGACCGACAGCTGGGGAGGCCAGCATGGGACTAATCCAGACCCCCTGAGTGTGAGAGTCAGTGAGGAGGCCTGGGCAACCTATGGGGCCCTGGGCAATGGATCAGTGTTTATCCCTGGCATACAAACAGACATCGTGTGTCCATAACACAAAGGGGGTTGCTCTCTCAGCCTGTCTTGAGTAAAATGACAGGCTCTTAGATATCCCCTATGTGGAAGGAAATGGCGATAGGGTGGGAGGCTTGGGGGGATGGTTGGGGGTGTGGAAGGAAGGGATTGACATGTAAAACAAGCTATTTAAAATTAAAATAAATAATAAAGTGCCTAGTAAGGGAAGATGGTATGAATATAAGAGGGACAGAAGCTTTGTAAGAATACGTTTTTTGAGAAATTCATATATTTTGTAGTATTTTTAAGTAGATTTTTCTGCATTCTAAATTCAATAGATTCTAGTGCCAGAAAGTCAACCATCTCTAGTCAAAGAAGACCTTGTTCATCTAAAAGAGAAATCTAACCTTCAAAGGAAACGGGCAAATCCTCCAAAACAAGACAACAGTAGCAACCAGGAAGATCTAGCAAGCAGCCAGGATGAGGTAAATATAGTGTTCATATAGTTACTCTATTAGATTACTACAGATCAGTCACTGCTGAAGGAAACAGCAAAGGTACTTAGAATGGATACAGTATTTCTTTGACCTAGCCTTTCAGTTTTGTCCCATCTTTTACAAATGTAAATAGAAGCAAGTATTTTATTTGACAAGTCATGTTTGTTGTACACTTTTATATTCTAAATTTGAAATACATACCATAGAATAGTCACTTTTTCCTCCTATTTATGCTTCTTACTTTTGCTTTTGTTCTAACATGAAGTGCAACCTTAAACTGGCATAGTTTTTAGATTCTTTTGTTTTTCATATATTGAGTCATTTATGTGACACTCTCTGAAACTGTGTCACCTGTATTCCCTACTTGCACTTACCAGTTTCTGTTACTTTTAGTGATATGGGGGTAATTCAAACCTTTATTAGAATTGGTGAATCTGAATTCCTATAATTACTTTAAATGACAATGAAGGAAAATAGTGAAAAATGCTTAACATTTTAAAAGCATTCAGAATAGTTTTAAATACCTATACATGTAAACATCATCTTTATAAAATATTAGAAATCACAAGGTATTAATTAGCTAAATATCTATAAAATATTTTCAGGTAGTATGTATATATATATATACTATATTATATAAACCCACTGTAATCTATATTTTAAAACAGTATTTTTGTTTGTCATTACCAAGCATGAGGATAAAACCATTTAAGTAAGTTAGCCTAAAACACAGGAATTTGTGGGATATTGTATTTACTTTAAAATACTTAACCTTTTGCATGTAGTCAAGGCATAACATTGAATAAAATTGTAGGATATTTAATGTTTAAACAGAATCATTTTATTGTGTTATTTTTCCTCATGATTTAAGATAACTACACCTAGCAGAAAGAAAATGTCTGAAGCATCAATGATTGTTCCAGATACAGACAGATACACTGTGCGGAGTCCAATACTCTTAGTCAACACATGTAAGTGTTATACAATCTTGAAAGATTTTTAGCAAGTATTTTAGGAGAGGAATTTTTAGTTCAGAGAAACTCTGGATATAAAATTGATAAAATATGAATCATAGTTATCTTTTAATTAAAAAAGATAGACTTAAACAATTATTTTTCAAAATATTAATATTCTGTGTTAATTTTATCATAATTTAAGTAGGGGATATTGTAACATTGATTAGAAACAGTGTTGGAGTCATCAGGTTTCTTGAGTTTAGTTCTTTACTACCAACTTTTTATTTGTCAAAGAATATCCTCTAGCTAAATTAAGAATCAATATATTTTCCAACCCATGGAACCAAAATACCTTATTAGTTTAACAGCCCTGTGCCTGACTGATTTCTCAATTCAGTAGTTTCAGGTTTGAATCATTCTTTGTATCCTTCCTGATGGTTTTCTCCTCTTGTTAAATGGCATAGTATCCACTTAGTCATTTAAGCCAGAGACTTGGGAAATGTCCGGAGAACCTCCATGTGTTACTTCATCACCTGAAAGCTGTCTCTGCAACAACAGGGGTAATAACTGCTATCTTTGGTGTTTTAGCAACGCCCAGAAGAAGAAGTAGGGCACCACTGCAAGCAATAAATTCTGCCCAAAGAGCTGATGTTTCTAAAACATCAGAAAGTGGAATGGATTATGCTGTATCATTCAAATCTAGACAATCTGATGGAAGAAATATATGGAATAATAGAGACAAAGTAAGGATACTTTGTGTTAAAGTAAATTTTAACAAGTTATTTTAGAAATTCATACTGAGCTGCCTTCTTTTCCAAGTACAATATTTGTTTAGAAAATGACATGTTCTTGTAATACCAGTCATCTCTGAAAGGGTCCTTCTGGCACGTGACTCACTGTGCTTACATTAAAATTCTGAAGTACTGTTTCACTCAACCTGAAACTTACGCATTACTAAGAGGAAGGAACTTTTTTTTTTTTTTGGTTTTACGAGACAGGGTTTCTCTGTATTGTTTTGGAGGCTGTCTGTCCAGCCTGGCCTCGAACTCACAGAGATCCTCCTGCCTCTGCCTCCCGAGTGCTGGGATTAAAGGCGTGCACCACCACCACCCGGCTGAGGAAGGAACTTTTTTGTCATTCTTTATTATACAAACATGTAATCTGCTTTGAGAAGACTAATACAGAATGTGAGATCAGAGAGGGGAATATGTCTTTAAGTGTCTCGAAGTCTAGCATAGTATATATTACTAAGATTGTCATACTGTTAGAGCATAAACATCCTCAGATACACACACAGGGTGTAGTAAGAACCTAGTGAAGAAGCAGGAGCCTAATCCCAAAGATTAAAAGCTAACTTAGTGTGTGCAGAAAGATAAGTGGCATAAGATTTAATTATTGCAAGCTATAGTCAAAGTAATGGTTTCAATAGTGCAGCATAAGTGTGTGTTAATAAAGTCACCGTTTCTGAATTTTTGGCATGGTTCTGAGTATTGTATGATGACTGACATCCTAAAGAGGACAACTAACGGTAAGATAAAATATCTGCATCTAAACAATGTGCTTTGCTGACAGTGATGGCAGGTTTTGTTTGTTTTTAATCTGGATCTAAGATGAATCCATGGTTATAGAAAGAAATTCAGGATAAGAATTACCTGGAAAGTGGTCAGACTTTTTAATGACTTAATACTTCATAGGTTTTAGCTTTCTGAACTTTAGTAAAAGAGGATAGGGCATGAAGTCAACAGCAACAGGAGAGTTGTACATGGAGATTCTAGAGATCATAATTAGCCTTAAGAGTAGTAGCTCTGGGACAAGATTAGAAAATTTGTGGGCTTTTCTGTCTTCTTGTCTTCAGTGAAAGTTATTTTTTGTGTGTTTCAAGATGAGGCAATGAATGGTCTAGAATATATGCATAATGTTCCTGAAATGTGAATATAGTCTAATTTCATACAAAGACAAACTTTATATCTTCATGCCTTAATGGTATTTGAAAAACTGAATTCATATATGTATGTAAATATAAATTAAGTCATTATATTTCCTCTGTTGATAGAACAAAACAACTAAAGTTGTAGAAAACAAAGAAAATGAGAATAATGAATTCCCAGACCAAAATTCCAGTAAGTACTTCTGTGGATTAATTGAAGATTAATTTTAGTCACTGGGAGTGCACCTGTAAAAGTGTGTGTGTGTAGTGCACACATATGCATGTGTGAATGCACAAGTTTGTACCTGCAAGCATGTGTACATGTAATTGTTATATGTATGTGTCTGTATATTTACATGGGTGCATGTGTGTACATGCAAATGGGTTCGAGAGAAAAAGAACAAGTGAGCCGTTTCTAACCTTATTTTTAGCCCCAGTGGTTTTCATTAATTTGGAAATAATAAGTTTGTAATAACTGTGCTGGCATTATGTAAAGAAATGTTTGTGTAATAAGAAAATAGACTGTGTATAGCCACTGCTCCTGGGAAGTTTGAGTCAGAGAGGGAGGAGGGAAAAATCAATGTTCTCATCCTTAAATGTCTACCTCTATAGGATTATATTCTCACTTTCTTCCAACCACATGAAAAACTGAACGCACTATGGTTTTGTTTTATTTAGATGAGACTGAGGACATTTTTTCTGATGTATGTGCAATGGGAAAAGTAGATGAGCCTGCGTGAGTATGAGAGAATCTTTCAGACCACTTAGAGTTTAAATTTAACAGATTTGTAAAAAGGACTTATTAGTATGCAATGTCAATAACAGCATTTATAATCATTTGATAGTTATTATGTAAGGAATGGACTATCCTTTTATTTCCATATGAAGCAGCCGTAGATCTTTATAATACTAGTGTGGAAATTTTTCCTTGGCTTAGATTCATTATAAGATATGTTAGGATTTGCAGTGTAGTATGAGTAATGGTACATTTCTAGTATTTTTAATCGTATCAATTATATAATTTTTACATGCTGTATAAAAGTTTTTCTATGTTTAACAATGTTCTCAAGAAACATTGACTATATTTAAACATTTCTTAAAGAGTCATGCTGGCTAGGCAGTAGTGGCACATGCCTTTAATCCCAGCACTTGGGAGGGAGAAGCAGGTGAATCTCTCTGAATTCGAGACCAGCCTGGTCTATAAGAGCTAGTTCATGACAGCCTCCAAAGCAACAGAGAAACCTGTCTCAACCCCCCTCCCCAAAGAGTCATTGTTTGATAATATATAAAGAGTCAATGTTTGATAATATATTGAACAAATACATTTTTCTAGATTATCTGGTGTTATAGACATCTCTAAAAATAAAGCACACTCCAAATGGGCATGTTGGACACCTGTAACAACTATCAAACTCTGCAATAACCAGAGAGACCGCACTTTACCAGGACACACTTTTACCGAAGGTGAAAATAGTCTTACCTGTTTAATACAGTAGTGTTTAGGAAAACACACTTCTCCTAAGTATCAAACAAGTAATTTTTGTTACAATAGCATTTGATATTACCAATATACTCATTCTAAAAGACTTTTTCATTCTTCCACTAGATACTGGTGTCAACAAAAAATGCATTAAGCAAAAATCAGTAACTGATAATGATTCTAAAGAAACACAAAGGGCAAAATACAGGAAAGATGTAGTTAAGTATAACAAGTCAGATGAAGAAATTTCTGAAAGAAGCAAGCAAGAACAAAATCATCCTAAATATTCACTAAAGAAAAATACTGAAAACGCTAAACAGAGTGATTGGCATATTGAATCTGAAACTACTTATAAATCAGTACTCCTAAATAAGACAACTGAAGAATCACTCATCTATAAGAAGACATGTGTACTGTCAAAAGATGTGAATACTACTGTCTGTGATAAAAGCCCTTCTAGAAAATGCATAAGGAGTCATACAAAATCAAGGAAAGAAATGACTTCTGAACTGAATTCATGTGCACTAAAAGAAATACCAGTGGTGAGTGTTGGATATATTCATTTCTTACACACCCTTACAGTGCTTACTATTAAGAGAGGCTTGACTGATTGCTAGAGACTTGACATGAACAATACTTTGTCCTTTAGTTCAATTCCTAGATACTTCCTTTAGCTCCCCATTCACTGCCCTAACACAGTCCTGTGGAACAATAGTTGGTATAATTAAGAATGTAAATAGGTATGAATAAACCAACCCTATATTTCTTATTCATTTTTCTCTATCCTTCTGAAAGTGTAAATTGAACTGGTATTGCCTTTCATAATGCTTCTTTTCTATGAGTGGCCTTTGTGTGTGCTGTTACTTTATAAGTATAACCTGCAACTATCCTTGTTGGCTTTCTATTGCTATGATACATACCAAAAGCAACTTGGGGAGGAAAGAGTTTGTTTCAGGTTACAGATTACAGTCTATTATAAAGGAAAGTCAGAGTTTATTCTCCATGGCTCACTCAGCCTGTATTCTTTTTCCCCATCATTTTTATTTATTTATTTTACATAGCAACCACAGTTTATCCTCCCTCCTCTTCTCCCATCTACTTCTCCCTTCTACTCTCCCATACACTCCTCCTCCATCTCCATTCAGATGGGGTAAGGCCTCCCATGGAAATCAACAAAGATGGCATATCAAGTTGAGGTAGGATAAAGCTCCTCTCCCTGCATCAAGGCTGAACAAGGCATCCCACCATAGGGAGTAAGTTCCAAAGAGCCAGCTCATGCATCAGGGACAGATCCTGGTCCCATTGCTAGAGGCCCCACAAAAGACCAAGATACACAGCGCTCACCCAGAGGGCCTATGCTGGCTTCCTAACTCTCCATCCAGATTCCTGAGCTCCCAAGAGTTTGGGTCAGCTGTCTCTGTGGGTTTCCCCATCATGATCTTGACCCAACCTTGCTCATATAATTCCTCTACCTTCTCTTCAACTGGATTCTGGGGCTCCATCTAGTACTTGGATATGGATCTCTGCATCTGCTTCCATCAGTTACTAGATGAAGGCTCTGTGGTGACAACTAGGGCAGTCACCAATATGATTGCAGGAGAAGGCTAGTTCAGGTACCCTCTCTACTAATGCTAGGAGTCTTACTTGGGGGTCATCTTTGTGGGTTCCTGGAGGTTTCCCTGGCAACAGGTTTCTCCCTAACCCCATATTGGCTCCCTCTATCAAGATATCTCTCTCTTTACTCCCCCCTCTATCCCTCCCACAACTCGAACATCCTGATCCTTCAATGTTCCCATCCCCCCATCCTTTCCCCTCTACTCCACCCCCAAAGTTTACCCAGGGCATCTTACCTAGTCCTCTTCCAAGGGAGACCATCCATTCCTCTTAGGGTCTTCCTATTTTCCCTGGAGCTGTTGATTGTAGTCTGGTTATCCTTTGCTTTATGTCTAATCCATTTATGAGTGAGTACATACTGTCTTTCTGAGTCTGGGTTACCTCACTCTGGATGCTTTTTTTTTCTAGTTCCATCAGTTTGCCTACAAATTTCATGATGTCATTGTTTTTACCTGCTGAGTAATAGTCCATTGTGTAGATATACCACATTTTCTTTATCATTCTTTGGTTGAGGGGCATCTAGGTTGTTTCCAGGTTCTGGGTATTATGAGAATAATGATGCTAATGAACATAGTTGAGCAAGCGTCCTTATGGTATGTTTGAACACTCTTTGGGTATATTTCCAGGAGTGGTATTGCTGGATCTTGAGGTAGATTGATTCCCAATTTTGTGAGAAACCAATACTGATTTCCAAAGTGACTGTATAAGCCTGCACTGCCACCAGCAGTGGACAGTGTTCCCCTTACTCCACAACCTCTCCAGCATGAGCTGCCATTAGTGTTTTTTATCATAGCCATTCTTACAGTTGTAAGATGGTACCTGAGTCATTTTGATTTGCATTTTCCTGATAGCTGAGGATGTTGAACACTTCTTTGTGTATCTTGGCCATTCAAGATTCTTCTGTTGAGAATTCTGTTTAAACCAATATCCTATTTTTAATGAGATTATCTGGTATTTTAATGTCTAGTTTCTTGTTCTTTATATATTTTGGAGATCAGCCCTGTCAGATGTGGAGGTTGGCAAAGATTTTTTTCCATTCTGTAGGCTGCTGTTTTGTCTTAATGACAATATCTTTTGTTTTACAGAAGCTTCTTAGTTTCAACAGGTCCCATATATTGTTGACCTCAGTGTCTGTGCTACTGGTGTTGTATTCTGGAACTTGTCTCCTGTGCCAATACATTCAAGGCTACTTTCCACTTTTTCTTCTAACATCTTCAGTGTAACTGGATGTATGTTGAAGTCTTTGATCCACGTGGACTTGAGTTTTATTCAGGGCGATAGATATGGATCTATTCTTGCACATGTCAAAATCCAGTTATGCTACTGCCATTTCTTGGAGATGCTTTCTTTCGTCTAATGTATACTTTTTGGCTTCTTTATCAAAATTGGGTGTTCATACATGTGTGGGTTTTTGTCAGGATCTTCAATTCAATTCCATTGGTCCACCTGTCTATTTTTATGCCAATACCAAGCTGTTTTTATAACTATAGTTCTAATAGTAGAGTTTGAGTCAGGGATGATGATACCTTCAGAAGTTCCTTTATTGTACAGTATTGTTCTGGCTATCTTGGGTGTTTTGTTTCTCTATATGAAATTGAGTATTGTTCTTTCAAGGTCTGTGAAGAATTGTGTTGGGATTTTGGTGGGGATTGCATTGAGTTGTAGATTGCTTTTGGTAGGATGGCCATTTTTTTATTGTTAATCCTATCAATCCATGAGCATAGGCGATATTTCCATTTTCTGATCTCTTCCCCAATTTCTTCCTTCAAAGTTTAAAAATTCTTGTGGCTGTTTTAAAAGGTATAATTCTGATAGGTCTGCCTTTATATGTTACTTGGCCTTATTCCTTTGCAGCTCTTAAAATTCTTTATTCTGTGTGTTTAGTGTATTGAGAGGACTTTTTTTTAGTCCAGCCCATTTGGTGTTCTGTAAGCTTTTTGTGCCTTTATAGGCATGTCTTCTTTAGGTTGGGAAAGAGAAAGTTTTCTTGTATGATTTTGTTGAGTAGGTTTTGTGTACTTTTGAGCTGGGATTCTTCTTCTTCTATCCACGTTATTCTTAGGTTTGGTCTTTCTATGGTGTCCCTGATGGATGTTTTGTGTTAGGAATTGATTGGAATTAACATTTTCTTTGACTGATATTTCCTCTATTGTATCTTCAGTGCCTGAGATTCTGTCTTCCATCTCTTGTATTCTGTTGGTGATGCTTACATCTCTAGTTCCTGTTTACTTCCCCAGATTTTCCATTTCCAGAATTCTGTTTGTGTTTTCAGGGTTCTTTATATTTATGTTTTCAATCCTTGAACTATTCCCTTCACCTGTTTGTTTTGTCTTGCTGTCTCTGCTTTCTTTTAAGTGGTTTATTGATTCCTTCCTATTTTTGTCTTTTCCTTGACCTTTTAAAAGGAATTTTTCATCTCCTCTTTAAGAGCCTCTATCATCTTCACAAATTAATTTTTAAGATTGTTTTCTTGTGTTTCAACTGCATTGCAATGTTCAGGTTTTGCTGCTGTAGGATCACTGGGTTCTGGTGGTACCATATTGCTCTTTTGGTTGTTGAATATATTCTTAAACCAGCACTTACTCATCTTTTCTTTGAATTGGTGTGGCTTGTGCCTGTCCTTTCAACTGATGTGGTTTGTGCCTGTACCTATGTAGTCTTCTGGGGTTGCGGGGGGAGGACTGGCCATGGGGAAGATGTTTAGGTGTGTGGGGTTGGGTGGCATAGTGGGTCTTGGCTGGACAGTGTTCAGTGGGGGTACAGCCTTATAGGCAGGTGTCTCACCTGCCTGTTTGCTAGTGGGGACTGCACCAGAGTAGTGTAGCTCCACCAACCAGTCTGCATTCTTACACAGACCCAGGACCTACCAGTCCAAGGCTGGCACTACCCATAGTGGTCTGGGCCCTTTGATTATCACTCATTAATCAAGAATTGCTCCTACAGGCAATGCAATGGAGGCAACCCTCTCTATGGAGGTTCTCTCTTTCCTGTTGACTACATCTGTTTCTAGAAGATAAATAACTATAACCAGCGCAAACAGTAAATAAATTAAGTTGTGTTGTTGTTGGCTTCATTTTTTTATGTAGAAGAAAGGCTAAGACTGCTTCACAGAACTTCATGTACTATGTACTAGTCATTCTTTTTTTTCTTGTTGTACAGAAACCCAACTGAACATCTGTTAGGATTTGTGTGTAGTGTAGTATCCCCCAATGGCTGTGTCTTGAAGGCTTGTTCCCAGCTAGTGAACCCAATCTTCAAGAGTTGATTATATCATAAGAATGGCATTTTCACCAATACATTATGCCATTGATTCATCCATACTGCATGGACTATTAGAAGGGCTTGGTTTGAGAGAACAGATCACTGGGGACATGTGTTTGAAGAGTATATTTTACCCTGGCCTCTTCCTTCTGTTTATCTTGCTTGTCTTGTAGTTGCTGTGAAATAAACAGACTCTTCTGCCACACTGTTGCCACCGTGATTTTCAGCCTGGCCTCATGCCTAAAGTGACAAGGCCAAAGGGACTGTGAAATAGTCTCTAAATGAAAAAACAAAACAAAACAAAAAGCCACACAGCTTTTATTCTTTTAAGTTCTCTCAAGTATTTATCATAACATCTTTTCTAAGTTAGGTTTCTTTAAATCAACTTAATTATTTTTCCCTAATAGTGTTATTCTTGCATCATTACACAGAATTTCCTGCCCTTAGTGCAGTGGATCAGTCTCCTATAGTCATCAGTCTGACTGTGCAGTGGATCAGTCTCCTATAGTCATCTGTCTGACTGTGCAGTGGATCAGTCTCCTATAGTCATCTGTCTGACTGTGCAGTGGATCAGTCTCCTATAGTCATCTGTCTGACTGTGCAGTGGATCAGTCTCCTATAGTCATCTGTCTGACTGTGCCTTTTGTTTTTTAGATCAACACAGAACACTAGCACCTTTGTAGCTCAGTGACTCAGGGCTCTCCTGTTGTTGTTTTCAGGGAGATTCATTTTTGTCACATTAAGCCAGTAACACATCTTCTGTCATGAAGTGATAGTGATAACTTTCATTATTTATAAAGACAGACTTTAAAATGATTAACATACTACTTTCTGTTAGTTTAAAATTCATAGGCTTGACCCTAGGAAAAAATATAAAATCAAGAAACCTTATATATTTAAGTATTATTAGAATTTTAAAAACTGAGTTATAATGGTAATAATTCTTCATAGTCCTTTAATTTTTCAGGAATTTTCCTAGACTTTTTTAAAAGAAGTTTTATAGTTACAAAATGTAAGAGCTAGAGATTTCTTATAGACTCTTGTTTCCATTTTCCATTAATAACATCTTAAATGGTACATTTTTAGAGGCATATTATTACTAAAACATGATTATTAATGTCTATAGTTTATATTAAGATTTATATTATATATTTTTGTGCTTTTATACCACTAAGAGTTTGAATTTTTTCCATTGTCACAGTATTCTTCCTATTCTGAATACTGGATCACATAATTTGCGTCAAGTTTTGTCAAAAAGATTAAAAAAATGGTCTTCTAAAGCTGAGATATCATTTTGTATCCACATCAGCAATGGGAGTTAAGCCAGTACGTAGGGTTTTCGATTTTAGCCATTCTAGTTAGTGTGGAGTGGCGTTTTCAGTTGAAATTTCTTTGTCATATGATGTTGAGAAGCTTTCATTTTTTGCCATCCCATCTGTTTGGCAAGTTAAGATCCTTTTATCATTTAAAAGTGTGCTTGTTTTTCTATTGTGTTTTAAAGGTTCTTAAGTGTTTTGGATACAAAGCCATTATCAAATACAGTTGCCAATTGTTTTTTAAGAAAAATATTTTATAATTTTAAAAGTACTTGCTTACCTTTATTAACATAGTTTGCGGTTTTGTTTGTTTGTTTAAATCTCCTATATGAAAAGGTACTGTCAAACACACTCCACCTAGATTATCTTATATGTTATCTTCAAGTTTTATTGTTTTGTGGTTTACGTTTAGGTCTGCGATCTATTTTAAACTGTTTGTGAAGAGCAAATATCTATTTGCTTTATGCTTGTTCAGTGTATTCTAGCACTACATTTGTATACAGTGAGGACATGACTGATTTATCTAAGGCATGGTTGAGGGGAAGTTTTTATTGTAGATACAAGGGAGAGTACAGCCAAAGGCATCTGGAAAAGAGCAGGGAGAGAAAGTGGTAGAGCAAACATGGCTGTGAGAGAGGAAGAAAAAGAGAGGAATAAAGAGAGGAGGGCCAGGAGAGTGAATTGTCTTAAAATTCAGTGTTTCAGGATAGGGGGTGGGGTAAGAAAAGCTGAGAACAGCCACAAGTACTGAGTGAGCATTGAGGCCAGCATGGGCTTTGGTATGCCAGTAGCACCCCAATTAGGCAGTTTGTTTTGGACCTGACACAAATGAAGAGACTGCCTAATTCTCTGAACTATTTTGTGGTCTTTAGTTCATTGTATTTGTGTGTTGAGGGGAATCTAATTCTAGGTTCTTGATTCTGTGGTGTTGATCTTTTGCCTGTGTTGGCATTCCAATTCTGTCTTGAAAGCAATGTCAGTTCTTCCTGTTGCCTATTGGCTATCATTAGCTTTTGAGGTTGCTGGGATTGCATTAAAACCATAAAGTTAAGTCTCAACTTTGACAATACTCTATAATGTATGTGGAACGTGTTTTGAATTTCCTTGGCTTTGTTTTATTAGAGTTGTGTAGTTTCTCTCTTGTGTAGATTTATACAATCATTTCATTTTTGGGTTGCTAGTGAAAATTAATGGTTCATGTGAAATTGATTGACTTTTGTCTTTTAATTTTGCATCTTGAAACCTTACCATTTTTATGCTTTTTATTGTATACTTTTAGGAGTTTTATAAATATTATCTATGAAGTTTTTACTCTTTCCTTGCTTATTATTATCTAGACTTCCAACATGAATTTTAAAACAAGTGAAGGGAGTTAAAATGTTTCTCATCTTATTAAAAAAGGATCTAGTTTCTCACCATTAAGTATGATGCTAGTTATAACTTTTTTGTAATTTTGAAGTTTTTAAAAAATGAGTATAAGTGTTTTTCCTGCATGTATGTATGCGACCACATACATGCACTGTCCTTGGAGATAAGAAAAAGGTGTTATAGTCCCTGGAACTAGAACTATAGATGGTTGTGAGCTGTCTTGTGCCTACTTCACACTAAACCCCAGGTTCTCAGAGTAGCTAGTGCTCTTAACTACTGAGTCATCTCTCAGCTTCAATAATTATTTAAAATAGTTGTTAGTTTTTCTATCACTGTGATCCAAATACCTGAGAAAAAGACTTGTAGAGGCTTATTTTACTTCACAGTTTAAAAGATTCAGTCTGCGACATCTTAGCAAGGGAGCACATGGTGGTACAAAGCTAATCACCTCATAGTGTCCAAGTAGAAGAGAGAAAAGGAGGGGGTAGGTGGTTTTTGTTTCCTGCCCACCAGTTCCCAAATAATTGATACAGAGACTTAGTTAATAGCTTGGCCAATAGCTCAGGCTTATTACTAACTAGCTCATAGCCCATTTCTATTAATCTATGTATTGCCACGTGGCTTGTGGCTTTACCTGTCCTCCAGTATGTCTTGCTCCCTCTGCATCTCTTGGCACTCTCCTCTCAGTCTGCCCTTCTTTCCAGCATTCTTTCTGTCCTGAAAATCCTGCATAGTTATTGGTCAGTCAGTTGTTTATTAACAAAGAGAGCAATACATATTTATAGTGTACAAATATTATTCCACTGCAAGAGCACAAAAGGTGGATAAAGGAGGCTGAGTACAAGTTATATCCATGAAAGGCTTATCCTTAGGTGACATACTTTTTCCATCAAGATATTCTCTACCCCTGAACCCATTCAACTGAATTTACCAATAAAATAATCCATTTATGAGATTAACACTATCACAATACAGGAGGATGTTTCATGTGTACATTATAGTGCGTGTGAGTGTGTGTGTGTGTCTGTGTGTCTCTGTGTGTGTGGTGTTGTGTGTGTGTGTTTTATCTGGGTATGGAAATTCCTATTCTTAGTTTGCTGAGATTTTTTTAATCATCATCTTATAAAATGCTTCATGTGGTCTATTGATAGGACTTTTCTCCTTCAAGATATTTGAGGTAAGATATTACAGGCATTGAGTTTTAAAAGTTAACACAGCCTTATATAGCAGGAGTAAATACTACTTGGTTCTGGTAATACAATTCTTTTCTAACATTGGATTTGGTTTGTTATCTGTTCATAGCTACTGGCTAGTTTTCCTGTTTTGTGATTTTTTTAAATTTGTGCCTTCTATGGTATATTATAGAGAATTTTATATAATATCTTTCTTAAATGAGCTCACTAGTAAACCTACCTGGGTCTGGTGCCTTTTTTTTTTTTTTTTTGTAAAGTTAAGCATTGATTGTATCTATAAATACAGATGTTTTCAAATATCCCATTGCCCTTTGCCTGAGTTTTAAAAAAATGTGTTACTCAAGGAACTCTATCTTGTTACCAGAGTTATGGACATGGAGCTCAAAAATTTTCCTCAATTATTGTCCTAATGTGTTTGAGACTGAAAGTGATGGCTTCTTCATTACAGGTGTTAACATTTATGTCTTTTTTGTTTTATTCCTGAATTAACTTTCTGGAAGGCTGCCAGTTTTACTGATCTTTATAAAGAACTGTCTTTTCCCCTGAAGTTTTATTTTCATGTATAATAACTTTTAAACATATGTGCCAAACACTCAGCATAACTCTCTGTATATGGAGTGATTTTGATTGCTGTATAAAGACCAGACTAAATAATTTCTGACCTATTTTTTGTAGGTCTCTGTAGGAGCAGATTTCCTAAACTTTCAACCTGTATATTCCTTTGATTGTTACCTAGTAGTTTTAAAGTTACTTATAATTGTTTCAGAAAGAAAAGTCAAAAGGGAAAGAATTTACTGGTGCAGCAGAATCCTTGATAAGCCAAATTAATAAGAAATACAACACAAGTAATAGCATGAAGTCTACAAGAAAATTAAAGGAGTCTCTGAATGGCAGGTATATTTATAAATGGATACAGGAGTATTTTTGACAGCTAAAACTAAATTGGCTTACATAATATGGAAAAGGTTTTATGGGTATATTTGAATAATGTAACTTTCTAGTAGGAAATAATTGTGAATAATTTTTATCAGTGGTAGCTATTTAAATTATATGACAGAACTTTCCAGTATCATATTATGCTGTATAAATTGTCAAAAGTATGGAGGAGAGAAATCTGTAAGATATAAAATCTTAGGATTTTTATTTATGGAACTGAGTAATGGCTAAAACTAAGTGTGCTAAGAATTCATTGCTTGATGAAGGTACAGTTCTCAGTGAGCTGAAATAAGTATATTAATAATTCTTGTTTGTAATATTCTTAAAAGCTGACTCTTAGTATAAATATTCCTTTATAGGCTGTGAGATTGTTCGTTCACATTTAAATTCACTCTGGCCCTGTACAGTAAGGAGAAAAGTACTTTCCTGCAGAGCTATACCTTTTACAGTGTTTAGTACTTCCTCTTATATTGTTTGGTGCAGTTTTGATTTTTTTTTTTTTTTTTGGTTTTTGGAAACAGGGTTTCTCTGTGGTTTTGGAGGCTGTCCTGGAACTAGCTCTTATAGACCAGGCTGGTCTCGAACTCACAAAGATCCGCCTGTCTCTGCCTCCCGAGTGCTGGGATTAAAGGCGTGCACCACCAACGCCCAGTGGTGCAATTTTGATTTTAACAGTGTCAGTTACAATTTACTATGAAATTGTAAAACTATCAGACTAACTAGAGATTTAGTTTTAGGTTTGTGTAGGTGCCCACTTTTTGCATAGTTAATTTAGTGATCCAAACATGTTTTGGTATATGTTATAGTATTTATGAAAAGTATTTAACTGATATAAAGTGCTCCTTTAAGTACTGTTGCTATCTCTGTTATAGTGGATTTTCAAAGAAATCTGACCTACAGTTCAGTAAGGTAGGTACTGCTTAACTTTACCAAACTCTACATAGTCAGACTCAATACTTAATTGTAAGTACTAAAATAGTAATTAAAAATGTTATTGGATTTAAGGATATAGAGTACTGCTAACTGGATTATAATACTGACAAATTTAGTCATAAGTTCCTTAAATAGTTCTTAACCTTATATTTTTCAAAGAAAATGTTCTTTTTAAGATTGGCCACACATTGCACTCCTATAATTCCAGTTGCTCAGAAAGCTAAGGCAGGAGGACCGTAAGCTCAGGGCCTGCCTAGGTAACTTTTAGTGAGACCCTGCCTCAAAAGATGAAGGATGACTAAGGATATCATGTCAGCGGTGTTTAGCACTTGCCTACCATGCCTGAGGCACTAATTGTACCCCCTAACCCATGAAAATGATTTCAGATACAGATCCAGTGCTTTCTTCTTTGGGTCCGCGATTTAGCCTGCATTCAGCCTATCACAATCCCTTTTCAGTGGGTTTTGTTTCTGGTTGTTTGCTTATACCATCTATCCTGACAAATGCTAAATTTTTGATTTTCTTAAAATATTTAGTGTTCATCTAGGCTTAAAATATGTATCTCTTTGATTTACCATTTATAGTTTGTTTTGGTTTTGTTGTTGTTTACATATTTTGTTTGTCAAATTTTAAGGGTCTGCTCTCAGATTCTTAGCTTTTTGTTACACTAGATCTGTGTAATTTTCTTTGCACATTTGTGCTTGTCTCTTTGTTACATTTAAATACTAGCTTGTTTATTTTCCAAAATACACATGTTCTGCTCTTGTTCAGAAACCTGTTTTGGACTCTGCTAAGTAGAGACATAGAAAGGCTTTCCAGTTTCTTTACCAAAACAAAACAGTAGCAACAAAAACCTCTTTGCAAGACAGTGGGGTTTTTTTTTTTTTTTTTGCTGTTGCTGTTGTTTTGGAGGGGGTTGTTTGTTTTTTCAAGACAGGGTTTCCTTATAGCCTTGGAGCCTGTCCTGGAACTCACTTTGTATAGACCAGGCTGGCCTCGAACTCAAAGAGATCTGCCTGCTTCTGCCTCCCAAGTGCTGTGATTAAAGGCGTACACTTCCACTGCTCAGCAAGACAGTGGGTTTATTGAGAAATTTTTTTTTGCTCAGTTGACTCGTCTTCACTGAGAAAAATATTACAAATATTAGAGCTATATTAGTGAAAGCACAACTAGAAAATGTGTCACATTTTAATTGTACTTGTCCTGATGCAGCTGGTAATCTCATGTCTAAATGTTTTTATGTAAACCTCTTCTGTATTTTGGAAAAGGTTCAGAGAAAAAGTTACAGAAAACTCAAGACGACTTTTGTTAATGTTACTTCTGAATGTCCACTGTGAGTAAGTTTTATTACTTGTTTTTGAAGATACTGCATTTCCTTATGCAGTGGTTCTGACATTTGTCTTTGTCGTCCACAGGAATGATGTATATAACTTCAGCTTGAATGGCACTGATGAACCTATTATAAAACTTGGAGTAAGTTAGAAATCACTGATTTTGTACTTACTTTTTCTATAGTCATTTTGCAGCAATATACAGTTATGAATATAAGTTTGATATGCATTTTGATATAGATATACTTTACAGTGTTTAAAAATATTAAATGGTTTATTTTGATAAAAAGCATAGGTATATCTAGGTACTTTATTTCCCCAGATTTTCAAAATATATAAAACAAACGAGTAATATGGCTTTGCACTGTGGTAGACTTGCTCTTTAAAGAGATTGCTTTCAACCTGTATTTTTTCTGTCTTCAGCAAATGAATATTAGAGTATTTGGGAATTATTCTGAGTTAGGGGCATGGAAGGGTATATAATTTAAGATTATGGCTATGCATTAGTTGGATTGGAGAAGTTGGTTACATGGGAAATCTAAGTCAAGTAAGGTTGGTTGTTACATTGTTCTCTTAAAGGTCAGTGAAGCAGATAGGTTGAATACACTACAGGCTAACAGTCTTAAGTGACATAAAATGTGCATTAACTCTAGCCATGAGGTCAAGCAAAAATCCTAGTTTCTTACAATGTAAGAGATTTTTATCATAATGTGGTGTCACTGAAAACCACTGGTCCTCCTTGAGGTAAATTTATTCTGATTTGTTTTACTGTCAGCCTGCTTTCACTACTTGTTTTTGCTTTAAATAATACTATGGGAGCTGATTTTAATAACAATTCTTATTCTCTAAAGTGAAAGAAACTAGATTTGATATGTTCTTTTGTTTTCCTATTTCCCATTTTTTGACACAGTATTTTTTCTTCTGTTTATTTTCCAAATAGATCCAAGAATTTCAAGCTACAACTAGAGAAGCCAGTATGGATAATTCAATAAAATTGTAGGTTTAAAAAAACTATAATTCAGTAGGTTACATTAACATTTACCTTAAATAAAAATCTTCCCTAATCTGAGTTTTTGACATAGGAAAGGAGTGGATTAAAAATCCTACTGTTACAATTCCTCTGTGATTGTTACTTCAGCACTTATTTCTAAAGTCAATATGTAAAGGTTGGTAATTTACTATTATGACTTTGATCTTAGATTTGAAAAATTCTTTATTGAAACTCAGTTTTAAAAACTGAGATCAGAAAAGATAATTTGGCCTTAATTACACTGCTAGTGATAAATACAGTTAGTGAAAGAGTTAAATATTAAACCTTAGAAATAATTTCCCAGTGAGCTCTGTCTGAAGAAAACAAATGAGATACATGTTTAAAATTCATATTTTTGTTTCTCCAGGCTAGGTGTAAGGAATCATGATGAGCATGACCCTTCTTTCAAAACAAAAAATAAAAGAGTAAGTTATAGCGTTGATATACCAATATAAACCAGTATTTATTGGGCTAGAGAGGAAGCTCAGCTCAGTGACTAAGAGTGCTTGGTACTTTTCAGAGGACCTGAGTTTGGTTCTCAGCCTCAACATTGGGCATCTCACAAACAGTCTGTAACTCTAGTTCCATGAGATCTGACACTTTTCTGGCCTCTGCAGATATCTGAACATATGTACTTTAACACACATAACACATAAATAAAAATATATCTTTAAAAGAGTATTTCTTTTAATAACATTTTAATGCTGGAGATTATTGAACTAGAAAATATAATAAATATTGGTGTTTAAAAATAACACTCGGGCTGGAGGGATGACTCAGCAGTTGAGAAGAATGCTAGCTATTCTTCCAGAGGATCCATGCTGCATTCCTGACACCTATTATAAAGGCAGCTTAAAACCATTTGTAATTCTAACTTCACTTGCATGTGTTCAGAAAAGAACATTCACACTTAGATGTGAGATTTTGTTACTGTGTTTGGCTCATAAATTGGATATTTCATCTGGAGTGGGTAAGTACAACATTACATGTACATGGAATAATGAAGAAAGTTTTGCCCTTCAATCCAAAGAAAATGGCTAATTCTGGCGATAGCCATATGACAACTTCAAGACAGAAATATGGGTAGCTGTCAAATTGCCATGGGCTAAGGATCTTTATTGTATATTATTCCAGGGGATACAAAATAAAAAACTAAAACACAGGGATTATATAGAGAAAAATGTCTACCTGTGCAGTACTGTTGTTGGAATTAGAGCTTGCTGTGAGGTAAGACAAACCGATGGGTGTACATGTGAGCAGAAATGATACTGGAAAAATAGAGTAGAATAGTATGGTGGCATTTAGGCCATCATAACATTTACTCTATTCAGAAAAAAGCTCAAGGGATCCACGGGGGAAAAGCAGCATACTCAGTAAACTGGAGGAAATAGTAGAGTGTAAATTTGAGGCTATAAGGATTTTCTACCTTTAAATCAAGAAGATGAGTAAGGAACAAATCAGAACTTAACCTTTAGCTGTAGATGTTTGAGAATATCTTCCAAATCCAAAATCCAGAACATTAAAGCAATACCAAAAGTCTTAAGGAGTCTGAATTCTTGGTAGCAGGAAACCTCTTGTCACAGCCATGAAGATTGAACTAGTTTGATTTGTTAATAAAGGCTTAATCTCCCAACCCCTTCTGCTCCCTCTACACAACCTATATAGTAGAAAATCCAAACTAAAGAAAATAAAGCCAGAATTCTTTTTCTGTAGCATGAATTCTAGTTGCTCTTAATAATAAAAACTCTGAGTTAGATACTAGGGTTAATGCTGAAGGTCAGAAAGGCAAAGCAGCCAGCCACTAGAGAACTGGTGTTCAGACCCACAGGGGCAATCCTTTCCTCAGACTGCATCCTCAGACTGCTTAGACTACATTGTTCTTCAGATTTCACTGCTCCTCAGACTGCCTAAACTGCTTAGCCTGCATCTCTCTTGTCTCGTTCCAACTTATATTTCTCTCTCCATCTAGCTATCTCTCTTCTATCTCCACCTCCCTAGTACTGGGATTAAAGGCATGAGATTCCAAGGCTGGGATCACCTCTGTGTGGGCTCTGTTTTTCTTTTAAACAGATTCGATCTCATGTAGCTCAGGGTGGCCTTGAACTCACAGAAGATCCATCTGCCTCTGTCTCCTAGGTCCTTGGGATAAAAGATGTCAACCATCATTGCCTGGCCTCTATGGCTAACTAGTGTGGTTAGCTTTGTACTCTGATCTTCAGGCAAGCTTTATTATATCATAAACAAAATATGACCACATTTGCTTCTAAATCTGCATATGGTATTGACAACTTTATACTTTCAAAATCAACTGCCAAGAATATTGAGCTTATTGACAAATACAGTGAAAGATCGTAATCATTCAAATTTGTCTTTTCTTGTTGACAATCTTAACCAAACTAGTGTGAATGCACTTGAATGGGTATGGAAGCACTAAAAAGTAATAAAATAGAAGAGGAACTTAAAGATGGAAGCCATGCTGGCTCAAAGAATGGTGACTTATGTAATTTGCATAGCAGCAAGAACTATACAAAGAAAAAAAAACAACAAAATGAAATTACTAAGAGAGCAGCAATGCCTTGATGATTTTTCAAAATATCATCCAGTCTTTAACATCTCCACAAACTGATATTTATAGTTCACTTAATCAGAACACAGATTATTAAGGATATAGCAGACATATAATGAGACCTGTACTCCCTTAACTGGGAATAAAATGAAAGAATTCCAAGTTAATGAAAAGTTACAGAAAGTGATCTAAACTATTTTGGAAAGTGATCTGATCTGTGCCTTCAAGTTTAGAACTTGGGAAAATAGCACTTTGAAAACCATGATTGAGAAGGATGGCCTAGACAATCTTCTGGAGGCTTTCTGAGAGTTTTAGAAGTTTTCATATGATAATGTTTCTCATACAGTTTGATGTGAGTGCAAAGTGAAAAAAGTTATTTATGTCACTACGTATATACCCCATTAGAAGGTGACTTTAGAGCAAGACTTCAAGATGAGGAAAACCAAGACTGCTGTGTTGTGCTGTGCTGAGCATTCTCTTTCTATAGATGAATGCTGTGGAAATGAGGACTTTGATTAATCTGGCATTGACTTTGTTCACTTCATCATTCTTCTGACTAATCAAGGACAATGTGAGAAATAATATTCCATTTATTGACAAATCACATCATGCTTTAAAAAGTATACCTAAGGATATATACCACAGTGATAGAACTTTTGCCAGGCATGTACAAGGCCCTGAGTTTGAACCCTTACCAGTGCTAAAGAAACAACAAAAAATTTGGCAAAAGTCCACCAGCATTTAGCTTATTATTTGGAGTGTTTAGGCATTTACCTTACTATTTATGACATGTACTAAAGTGTGTTTGTGGATTTTTCTCCCTAGATGTCAACAAGTCATGAGAAAACTCTCTTTAGTGACACCGAAACAGAATGTGGATATGATGACAGCAAGACTGACATTAGCTGGCTAAAAAAACCAAAATCAAAAAGACTAATGGATTATAGTAGAAATAAAAACATGAAACAATACAAAAGTGGAAAAACAAGTGAGAAGTTACCTTTTAGAGAAATATTGCAAATAATTATATTCAGTATATAAAACTCTATTAATATACATAATAACTTGCTAATCCTATGATTTTCTTACATATTCTTGCTTGCTCGTTTCTCTTTTCATCACTGATACTGTTATTATTAACAGGTCCTTGTAAGCAGTACAAAAGAGCATACTAGTTGTTTTCATTGTTTTTCTAATATGGTTATATTTGTGTGGGTGAGTGAGAGAGACTAAGACAGACGGTGGGAAGGTGGAAAGGGACAGGAAGAACATGCCAGAGGTTGATGCTAGCTGTCCTCTTCAATTATTCTCTACCTTATTCTTTTGAGTCAAGGTTTCTCAGTTTGATGTTTGGCAATTCAGCCAGGCTGACAAATTGGTCAGCAAGACCCAGTGACCTTCCTATGCTTCGTTTGCCTGTGCTGTGATTATAATTGTACACTCCCTTACTTGGCTTTTATATTGTTGTTGAAGATCCAAACTCAGGTCTTTGTGCATGAGTGAAAAGCATTTTTATCAACTGTGAGATACCTCCCAAGCTTTCTTTTTAATAAGACCTCTAGGTACACAAAAACGTGACTTACCATAATTATTTGTTCATGACATGTTATCATTGCTTATTTTATTTATGGATTACTATTACTTGGTTATGTAGCTAAAGTTATTATAAATAAGCTACTAAACATTGGTGAACAACATTCTTAGAGGCAAGAATTGGACCCTGACACATCTATTTATTGCAATTTATACTCTGTGTGTTTATGTATCTTAATTTCTCTGACTTACCAACACATAAACTTTTTAGAAATTCATTTACATGCTAAACTTAGTATATAGAAAATGCAATAGTGTCTTCTGATGGAGGTTACCCTACTTGAGACATCCATGATGTATTTGCTAGAATGTGGCTATTCAGTTTTCTTTATGATAATAAATTTCTTAATATCCTTAAGAATTTTGCTTACAGGTTTTGACTAAAGATAATTACTGTTTTTGTGACTGAGCCTCAATGTCAAAGCTTGTTAGCAGACTTTATCTCACTTTTAAAGGAACACAAAGTATCTCTGGATTTGTAAATTAAATTTATGTATATTTCAAAGTAATTGACTTTTATTTCAAGATAAAAATGACCAGTTAAGATATGGAAGAGACAGCTGGCTTAGAAAGAAATTAAAACAATAGATGTGAATTTTGGTGTGTGTTTAGAAATATTAGGTGAGTGTTTAAGCCAGATGCATGATGAAACAGTATAGTATAATCAAGGGAATGCAGAATTGGGGTAATTAGAATATGATATTTATCACAAAATAGTGAAAAAAAGATCTTGTCCAAGTATGGACTTTGAAGCAATGTGTTAGAAGAAACTAAGAGAAAAGGACAATGCAAATACTTTCTTAGAGACTGCTGTGAAAGATGTATATTTTAAACATGAAGATTAGGGATCTCAGTGTAGTGATAGGGGTTTAAAATAAGTACTACAATCAATTAAAATACAAAATTAAACTTATATGACAATTATTTTGTTGAAATGGTTAGATGGTAAGTTAATATGCATTTAAGGATCTTATTGTAAAAAAGCATTGCTTTTTGCTAGCTTTGCTTGGTTTTAGCTTCCAAAGAAATATAAAAAGACGGACAGACATTGCGCTTGAAAAGCAAGAAGCAAATGGGACTAAGACTGTAATCAGTAATGTAGCTAAAGCACTAGGAAAGTGATGATGTACAAAGTAAAACAAATCATAGGTTGTCACACAGGGCATTCTATGTTATGAAACTCAGTGTCTGTTTAGAAACACATACCTGAAGTGAATTTTTTTAAAGCAAATAAGAGATTTTTAACGAAGTGATTAACAGGGATTTAGAGAATTGTAAAAGAGAACACGGTAGATTCAGCATTACTCAGAGGCTCTTAAACTTGAAGGTAGATTTATGGATGATAATATACTTTAAAAGTTTGATAATATATAAAGTGAAAGGCAGACAATTCACTCCATAACAAACAATTCCAACATATAAGTTTTTAAATAAGTCTAAATATGTATTTTCCATCACAATGTAGTGTAATCTGTCTGCTACCAAGTATAGGGAGAGAGAAGGCTCACAAAGTAGGCTGGCAGCCCTGAAGACCACATTCTCCAGCAGAAAAGTTGAGCTTTAGGGTTCCTGTGTCATAGTGGCTTGAAGTTACATGTAGGGGGAGGCTTATTAAATGTTTAAAAGTGTTGAGGGTGAGCGGCTTCTTATTTTATGGTTTTAAATTTATACTTGCAGAAATGTTATGAATATTTTATTGGTTAAAATTTTTAATCTTATTTTCCTGAATTTTGCAGGGTCATCCATAGAAAAGGGGCAGCAAAGATCCATAATGGTAACTAAGAAATAAAATACCCTTTAAAGTCAGTTATAACAACAACACCATGCCTTCATTTTCTTACTGATCTTTGGGTCCTACCTTTGTATTATTTTCTCATGCATTTATTTTTAATCAGTGTTTTCATTGTGTGTATGTGTTTAAATTTAGAGAATATTTGTCCTGTTAGAGATTTCAGGATAGGAATAAAACAGTGATAGATGACAAGAATGATAACATAAAATACAATTCACTTAAGGTTTTCCAATAAGGATTATCAAGAATCATTTCATTCCTACATATATTATATATATAATTGTCAGTGTGCCATTTTATAGAAAATAGCTTATACTTCTGACACCTCTATTACTGATATAATCATGAAATTTTCTCCAAAGGCACCCAATAAAAACATTACAAAAAACAATGATGAAATAGTTGCAGATGTGAGAACCAGACTTCCACGAACAGCAACAAAAACAAAAAAAAATTACAAGGATCTCTCAACTTCAGAATCAGAATCGGAGAGTGAAAAAGAAGTTTCATATTTATTTAAAGATAAACTTCCAACAAAGGTCAATAAACACAATTATGATCTCTGTTTATTCTTCTTAAACTACTTCATGTTTTTATGTATGCTTATAATACTTACAGCATGCCCATTGCTAGTTTAAGTACTTTACAGATTTATCTTAAAAATCTGATATGTAGATGGCTAATTACTGTGAGTGATATCATCCTAATCTCAAATGAGAATCTAAGGCTCAAGAAAGAGAAATTCATATAGCTATGAAGTGGTAGACACAGAATTTGAACCTAGAGAGTCTGGTGCTAAAGCTAGATTTTTGACTACTACACTGTGTTGACTTTTTTGATTGGTTGATTTTGGGGGGCAGGGTTTCTCCGTGTTAATAGCCTTGGCTGTCCTGGAACTCACTCTGTAGACCAGGCTGGCCTCAAATAGAGATCCACCTGCCTCTGCCTCCTGAGTGCTGGGAATAAAGGCATGTACCACCACCACCCCATCACTTTGTTGATCTTAACCCATTCAACCACCATTTCTTCTTCTTTGTGTTCCTTTATCTCTTGTATGGAACACTTTAAAGACATTATAACATAATTGTATAAACTGAGGACTTCAGAACCAGATATATAAACTGATGATGCAGCTCCTCCAAAGGTTGGTTAAGTGGAAGGTTTTTATTGTAGATATGAAGGGAGAGTATAGCCAGAAGCCTCTATCTGGAAAGAGTCCAGAGCAGGGAGAGAAAGCATTAGGATGAACATGGCCAGAATTCTGGACTTGATCATGAGAGGAGGTTAGGGCATGAGAGATGAAGACAGCGAAAGTATGGGGGCAAATGAGACCAAGAAAGAGAGAACTAATAGGGAAATGGTGCAGAGAGAGGGGGAGAGAGAGGAGAGAATAGCTAGGTGAGGGAGGTGAAGACATTGGAGGTGCTAAGCTAGAAAAGTTTAGGGTAAGGAATAGGGTGAGAAGAGCCAGGGACTCTGAAATGTACAACAGGTACTTGTACTATGGAGGGAACTTGGAGGCCCTCGTGCACTCTGGCATGCTAATAGATAGCCATTGTGCCTCTGCCCCAAGTGGTAAAGAGACTGGCTCCTTCTGAGGAATGCTGGCTTTTTCTAACCCCAGAATTTAGAGAAGTGAACTTTCCTTCGGACCAGACAACAATCATTATTTTTCTATTATTTCTTGCTTTGATGTTACTATACCCACCACCAAATATGTGGGTAAACCATTTATCTTATCCATCCTTAAAAATAAAAACCAAAATAACAACAAAACCATGAGAACTAACAAAAAATCCTGAGAACTGAACTTTCTGATACTCTAAGAATGATGGTCTTTCAAGTTCTTCCCCAGTGTATACCCAGAATTGTAACAAATTCTCTATTACTTGTGACTCAGCAAAGACCTGAGTTTCTCAAATACCTTTGGTCTGATTCAGTCTTATTCATGCATGTCTCCCTTCACCATCTTGGTACACAGACTTCTTAGTGTCTCAAGCACCATGAAATCCAGGAATTAATTCTGTTTTTTCCAAACTGGATACAGTCATTTGCTTTGAACCTGCACAGCATTCTATTTGTAGACAGTTACAGACTTCATAGTCAATATATTTTCCTAGTGTACTAGGACATATTCTTGCTACTATCTAAGCTCTTGTTATGGCCTTATATAGTAATAAGAGAATAAATGTTGTAGTGTAACTTAATATGTCTAATTGTGTAAATGTATCTGAGCATAAATTGAAGTTACTGGTGCATTTAGGAGGAGAATGTCCATTCCAGAGCCCAAACAAAGAAGCTTCCAAAGAAACAACATAAAGTCTTCACTACAGAAACACCAAAAGGACAGCCACCAGAAAAACAGGACATTTCATCTGAGCTAAGAGATGGGAGAGAAGACAGTCTTTCCCTGTCCTCTGCATCTGTGTCTGGAAGCCCGTCATCTGTGGAAGTGATGAGATGTCAGTGCTACTTCATTTACCTTGCATTTTACGGGGATAGTTAACAGTTTCTTTTGTGACTCTATGAAAACACTAAAAGATTAGTTTTGTGAAATTTACTTGAGACAACTAGTTTAAAGGTTCATCTTAAATCAGCTAAGGCTAATTGTTTTTTTTTTCCAACTTGAGAACATAATAGAATATCTAAGGTTGTCAGAATATTAAAGATCAAATAATTCAATGTGGAAATATTTAATTCATAAGCTATACATGCAAAAATGTGACATCATAATTCTAGTATACTTTAAGCTCAAGAATTTAGTAACATATAAACTATATGGGATCCTTTATATAATTTTTGACAAAATTCTAAGGAATATTGTGATGATTCTGTGAATTGACAGTAGATTATCTTCAGAAACAATAGCTTTTGCTTTTGTTTAAAATATTAGCAATGAAAATACATATTCTTTTTTTTTTTTTTTTTTTTGGTTTTACGAGACAGGGTTTCTCTGTATTGTTTTGGAGGCTGTCGAACCAGCCTGGCCTTGAACTCACAGAGATCCACCTGTGAGTGCTGGGATTAAAGGCGTGCGCCACCACCGCCCGGCTGAAAATACATATTCTTTAGAGTATTGACTTATATATGTCTTTCAATTACAAAAACCAAGCTCCTGTGAAGCTGTTTTAAAACAGTTCCAAATGTGAATCATTTTAGTTAAATTCAAGACTTGAATGTTAATGTATCTGTTTTCCCTGAGGTGCTGCAAAATCCTTTTATTTTCACAAGGCTCAGAATCATTGTCACATCACACCTTGATTTGAGCTGAAAACTGAGAATTGATTTACATTAAAACTTGTGTTCTCATTTTTTATTTTGGCACATGTATGCATGTACTTGTGCATGTGGAATGTTGTTTCTAAGTAGCCATCTTCCCCTGAAACTTTTTAAGTAAGTGGTGCTGGGACTCACCAAATAGAATAGACAGGTTAGCTAGTCAACTGAGCTCCAGAGATCCAACTCCCACGCTCTAGAATTGCAGGCATGTTTCACCATACCTAGTTTTTTTTTTTAATGTGGGCTCAAGAGATGAACTTGGTCCTCGTGGTTTGTAGCAAGCACTTTCTGACTGAGCTTTCTCTCCAGCCTTACTGTCCTGCTTTTTTTAGGGAGCAACTTAGACCAATAGATTTTGCAAAACTTTAGCCATAGTTACTATGTTATAATATTTTAGATAACACTTAAGTTGATCATTATATTTCATCTCATTCTTATAGATACTTTTAAGTTGTTCTTAAAGGTTCTGAAATTTTCAACTGGGCATTTTTCAGAGTCTTAGTATTTCAAACATAGTTGGTCTTAAATTACTGAAAGTGTATCTTTTTAAAAATACATCAAAACCTTGAGGATTTGATAAATTATTAAATCTATCATGCCTTTTCCTAGACCAAGGTGAACAATAATACTATATCTGTTTTCTATATGTTTGTGTTTGTGGGGAATCTAGGTATGGAGAAAATAACAGAAAGGGATTTCACTCAAGATTATGACTACATCACAAAATCTCTTTCACCTTATCCAAAAACTGCATCACCTGAATCCTTAAGAGGTAACAATAAAGTTGGAGGTCAGGAAAAATCTCCCAGAATCAGTGAGATCAGTATACCTTTTGTGAGAAAGAGTTGCTCACCTGTTCCAGGACTGCCTTCTTTGGTAAGAATATAATTTTCTTTTATCATTTGCATCTGAAAATGGCAAGCCACTGCCTATAATGTTCATCAAATAGTATTGCATATTATTCAGTATTTGTAACCTTTAATAAGTTTTAGTTTCTGAAATCATTTATTGGCAAAACTGAAAAGAATGTAGTTAAACTATATTGCTCAAGTGTTTAGTTACATAAGAAAGTTTAAAACTCATAGGTACTAAACATTGCTAATAAAAATGGTATTAATGATTGTTTAGGGCTTGGAGTATCACTTAGAGCACTTGTCTAGCATGCAATAGGACCTAGATACAGTACCAGCACTTAAAATATGTACAGTAGTTACTTAACATACCTGTATCAGAGATCCAAAACTGCTGGTACATTGAGCCATCTGACCTACCATTTTTAACTGAGTGTTTTTTTTTTTTTACTTCTAGATGATTTTAAGGCCCTTTTATTTCAAAGTCAGTAGTCTTTATAGAGGGGGTTATTTTGCAAACAAAATCTTAGGTTAAACTGTCAGTATGTCAAACAGAGTTCAGAGTAGTGCTGTTTTTAAAAAAAAAAACAGATGTAGGAAGTTTAAACCCTGGTTTACCTCTTCAGTTCTCCAAGCCATTTTTCTACAGTTCATAACATGCCAACTGGTACCCTGTTAGACTCTCTATCCTTTGTCTTTGTGTATTCTTTAAACCCTTTGCTTGTCATTTTGCACATGTCTGTCTACATCTAAGTCATTGTAACTACCTTCATTACCTTCTGTGATGTTTTCTATGCTCTATGGAATTTTAGTCTGATGCATACTCACTTGCTGGGAGCTGAGGAAGTGATTATGCCCCTTTTCCATAGATTTCTGCTGAGTTCTACCTGATGTTTCTGCTGAGTTCTATATGATGCTTCTGCTTTTACCAGCCTGGAAGTTCAGTGAAGTTCAGTCTGTCTTTGGAGTTTCATGGCTCACTGCATTAATGAGTACTTTCAGTTTAAGCAATTCTGTTAATTGTTTTGTTTTTGTGTTATTAGGGGTTGAGTCTAGTACTCCATACATACTAGATAAGAATTTTTCACCAAGCTACATCTCTAGCCCCATTTATGTTTTCTAATTTGTAAATGGAAGCATTGATTTATCTTAAAGTTTACAGTTAAGTTTTTTGTGGGGTTGGGTCAGGGTTTGAGAAGGCCGTGCTGTGTAGCTCTGAAACTCACTATGTAGACCACGCTGGCCTCAAACTCACAGATCCACCTCCCTGTGCCTCCGCCTCCCAAGTGCTAGGATTAAAAGTTTGTATCACTACATCCAGCCTTTTTAGGAATTCTTATTGTAGGCTTGGATGTCATTTCTGTATTGCTCACATGCTATTGTATCTTTCACTTGCTGGAATCCAGAACTCCAGTCTGACCAACAGTGAAACAGTTTCTAGTCTTTCAAAGTATTTAAGACTCAAGCAGGGAATGTTTGATACATACCTATAGTTCCATGTTTAATACATATCTGTAGGCCCGGCACTCAATGGGTGAGGGCAGAAAAATTGAAATATCAAGGCCAACCTGGGCTATATTATAGTTAAGACCTAATTCTTCCTTAAGTATTATCCCAAAAATATTTTCCTCTAATGTAAAAATTTTTTTATTTAAACTTTTAGGTTTCAGTCTCTTATGAACAATGAAAGTTTTCCACTTGCATTGCTTACATTAACTAACCCAGATTAGTCTTGTTGATCACATGAGTCTGGCTGTTAGTCACTATCTTTGTGCTAATACTATACTGCTTAATTTTACACTTGGCCTGGGTGTTTCACACACAAAACCCCTACATTTTACATTTCTGGAGTTTTAAAGGTTTTTGCTTTAAACAAAGGCCATACGTAATAGTTTTTTGCTCTTATATAAAGATGATTTTTATATTTTGAGTGATCTTGCTGAGCTTTATAATTTCCCAGATTGTCGTAGATTTTCTATATAGGCAATTATATAAAGTATTATAATTTTATCCTATGATGAATTCTTGTGTTTTCATGTTCTTTTTGTTGTTAAAGGGATTTGACCTCTGAAGTTTAGAAGGCATACTAGTAGGCATCTTTGCTCATGGACTTTGCTAGATACTTATTGAGCTAATTAATGTTTTATTTAAGTGAATGCTGAATTTTAGCATTGAGTTAATTCCCGGAATTTAAAATTGTTTTCTACTATCTCATTCAACTTTTTCTGTTTTTAAGTAGTTGTCTAACTTCCTTTGGGTTTCTGAATGTCTTATTCATTCATAGCCCAGAAACACTCCGACCAAGAATAATTCTGTCATGAATAGAAAAAATACAAATTCAGTGATTGATAATCAGAGACCCCTACATTATAACAGCTATTCAGATGTAAGCTGTAATATCTCAGAGAAACATTTTATGGAAACTGAATCTCCAGATAGTCATGAAAATCATATGCAAAGCAAGAGAGAGGTAATATGTTAATTCAAATTGGTAGCCTTCAGTGGGAATCATACTGCCAAGTGTTTTTCTGCCTTTGTGACTTGAGAATCTGGTATTTAACATGTATAATGATTTTGTCATGTAAAAATTTGAGATTTTTAAAGGAAGGTCTTAAAATAAGATATAGAGGCTAAATCCCTGAGTTTACATATTTATAAGACTTTCTGGCTTCATGATTATTTGATTGACTGAAATTCTTGTAATCGGAATTTCAGTAAGTAAAAATATTTAACAGTTTGTATAATATAGAAGATGGTGCTAGGGTTTGAGCTACCCATAAGTGGCTGGCTAGAAGAGCACACATATTAAAGAAAGAATAGTAAAGTAAGTAATGTGAGTTTTAAAAAAGCTGTGTTCAAATAGTGAAACATAATTTTAAGGGTGAAAAAAATTTCTGTGGTTCCCTATTTCCTAGCTCAAATAAAGACACTGATATCAAGGAGAAGTTGAATGTCAGAAATGTCCAAAAAATGTCAAGTCAAAACTATTAGGATAACATTGATATTAATCTAATATCAAGATTCGTTTGTATCAGTTTTTAAAGATGAAAAGAAAGAACAGATAGAAAATGCTATGAAAAAGAATTTGGCAGCATTTGAAATCTGTTGGCCTGGGAGTTTGATATAGTCAAAGATGAATATAAGTGTTTATACTACTTTTCTTCTAATTTCTTATATTTATTTTAGGCAAGTCACGCAGCATCTCCATTGTCATTGTCTAGTGAAGTAATAGAGAAAATATGGCTTGACATGCCCAGTGACAATACTCATGTATCAGGTTTGTAGACATAGCCTTGCTTAAAAAATTGTGTTGTTTGCATGTATGTATATGCTCCATATGCATGCAATGTCTGAGACCATGAGTCAAGTACGCTGGAACTGGAGATAAAGAGAGTTATGAGCAACTGCATAGTGCCAGGAACTGAGACTGGATCCTTGCAAGAGCAGCAAGTGTCTTCAACTATTGAGCTATCTTTCTATCCACAGCCTTGCCTTTTAAAGTAATTACTAATACTTTGAATTTACACCTAAATGAATTCTACATTTCAAGTAACGTAATTATTTGTTGACAGAAATAAAAGTATATGTACTTTAGCATAGTTGTTTAAAAGCTTTTTAATTAAAGCAGTGAAGTAGTTGGATGTATTCAATCAGATTTTTAGCACTATGATTTTTAACTGTTTCTTAAGGGCCCAGTCAACGTAGCCGCAAACGGCAGATGTACCTAGAAGAAGATGAGCTAAGAAATTCCAATGAAACAGAAGTGGAAGAGGCAGAAGAAAGACAACAATTGCTTCCCAAAAGACTGTGTCAGATGGAAGATTCAGATCATCACACCTACAAAAGTAAGCAGATCAAAACCCTGTCACACTGCAGTTACTTCAGGGTAGCTTCCTATAGTTTAACTTCAACAAAACGTAAGTCTCTTTGTAAAAACAACTTTGGGTGAGTCTAAGGTGGATATGGACCTTTATTCCTAATTTGACCTTATATAAAACCTGTAGCATGGGTCTTAAATACTCAGAGATTTTCCCCCATCATTCTATCATGTCTGACATTTAAATTGTACTGGATAATCTGAGTTCCCTGAAGTGTTAGTGTGTCACTAAATTCTCTTTAGGTGCTTCTGCCTTCTTAATGGATCAGATTTAAAAGTAACAAATATTGTACCTTAGTTGTTGTTTGTACCTCAATAGCCATATCAAAGGGTTCTGTGACAAGTAAAAATTTAATTTTTAATAAAAAAAAACCTCTTTTTTAGATTTAAACACAGCTTTTTTGTTCTCAGTCTGAGGACAAGGATACATTTTGTAGTAATGCCTATTTTAATATTACTGCATTGTTTACGTTTCTAATGTCTGAAATTACAGCTTCATTATCAACACCAGATTTTTCTATTCCTGAGGACTGGCGACAGGAGTTACCAGGTGTTGGAATGTTTTTTGATAACATCAGCTCAGACTATAAGAGGAAAACTAACGTGAGTTACCTCATTAGTTATACACAATACCATGGTGAAATACACTACAAGTCTATGGTAGATGATGGATGCCTTGTCTGATCCTTGGCCAACCAAACACCCATTTATGAATCTGACTTTGCATATGTGATAAATTGGAATGATTGTCAGATAAAAGTCATCTCTTATCACTTTCAGAAATCTCTCTCTCTCTCTCTCTCTCTCTCTCTCTATATATATATATATATATATATACTTATATGTGTATATATATATATTTCCTAATTATTCTGTTCAATTTTTCTTCACATTTTGACATTTTGGGTAGGTTGTGACTTTTCCTATTTTACCAATTTTTTTTCATGCCTCATGTTTAGGGATTTTACTTTATTGTTTTGTGTGTGCGAAGTGAGTATGCACACATACGTACTTGTGGAGGCCAGAGGTTTATGTCAGGTGTTTTCAGTTGTTCTCTGCCTTCTTTTTTTGAGAAATGATCTCTCAATGAAGATACAGTTTGTCTATTCAGCTATATTGTACTGGCTGACAAGCAAGCACAGCAAGTTTGTACCTCCCCAGAGTTGGTTTTACAAGTTCATGTAAAACCTGGCTTTTTATGTGGGTGCTGGGCATCTGAACTGGCATCTTCATGTTTGTATGGTAAGCACTTGACAGATAGTTATCTCCTTGTCCCTTTCTTTAGACATTTTAATCTCACAGTGGCTATTATTGGTGGAAAGTACACATAATATAGTATCTTATACTCCCAGCTTTCTGTGTCCTTAGTTTCTGAGGATTCAGTGAAATGATGTGTGCAAAGTATATCTTAAAAACAGTGTTTACCTATTGGTAAAAGGTAGAAAATCACATTTTCTTATGTCTTTATTTGAACAATGGCAAGTACATTTAGTATGTTATCAACCTCATCTCTTGATTGCCTTTTCCTTTTGTCCAAAGATAAGATCTGAAATTTTTTAAAATCTTCATTTTTTCCCTAAGGTCAAGATAATCTCTAATTTTACAGACTCTGTTATGTATCTCTGGTAGGTGAAAATATATTTGTGAAAAATGGTAAATTCTTATTAAGCTATGCTATTGAAGAAATCTATAATTAGTAGCAATTTTTATAAATACTATAAATATGTAGTATTCATAAAAGCAATAGAAAATTGAATTCTATTCAAATCCTAACCAACACAACTAGTCACTTCTCTGAGCTTATTATTAAAAAGTTGACTTTAAATAATTGCATTTTTAATTTTCTAAGTTTTCCTTAGTTGTTTGTGTTATGGAAAGACTTTTTCATAATAAAGTTTTGGTTAACTTATTTTTATAAAGACATTTTTAAGTTTAAAAGTATTTTTCAGACACAACATAAAATCATGGATGACTTTACTACAAAGACATTAAAATTGACTCAACAACATCTAATGGAAATGACCCACCAAGCTCGGGGACGCAGGTCTGTAACCACAAATCTGTATGGTGGGCCATGCATACTGTGTGCTTATGAGCTGTGGGCCTTGTGTTTCTAAAACAATCTCATTTTAATAGGGATGAAAATGTTGACAAATTCCAAGTCACTCTCCGAGACGAGCTGGAAAAAGCTGAGAGAGACTCACAGATGTTGCGAGATTTGGAGAAGGAGCTTGTGGTTTGTGTTTCTACAAGTTTAAAAAAACTAAGTGTAGCTCTTTTAAAATTGTTTTTTCTCTACGTTGAGAGACTTGTTGCAGGTTTTTGTTCTGTAATGCATAGCTTTATCTTATATCAACTGCATTTGAACTCGGAAATTGCAAAAAGTTTTATAATGATCTTTGATAATATGGGAGACATCTGAGAGATTTTACTTATAATACTTGTAATCTGGGGAAAAAAGATGTATGCTAAATGCAGTATTCTTAGCCTATATCCAGTTATTACTTAAATTTAGGGTAGTGGAGATACATTAATTCTACTTACAGGTTTTAATCATGTTAAAGTACAAGAGTTTTATTGTACCCTAAAACTTAGGACGTCGGGGAAAAATTAGTTCAGAAGATGAGGGCATACCACCGAAGTGAGCAGGAGAGGTTAGTATGCTTTTATTATTGGATAAGAGTTGTATGCTTGTAGATGAGATATAGCATATGCTGTACTGTAGCAATGAAATGTGAGCTGGTATATAAAAAGTGAATTCTCATTTTATTTCATTAGGCTTCGTGTTTTGAAAACATCACTGGATAAAAGTTTTGTTGTCTATAACTCTGTGTATGAAGAGACTATTTTTACATCTGAGGTATAAATTTACATACTTATCTGTAACCTTGATGTTAGTTTAACTTGTCTTTTTGTTGTAAAAATTCGATAAATTTCATGAGGAAACTATGTTGCTTACAGATGTGTTTGATGAAAGCAAACATGAAAATGCTGCAAGAGAAGCTACTTAAGGAAATGGTAAGTGAGCTGAGTGCTTTTTTCTATGTAATTACCACACTTTTGTGCCTTTTTCTGTCTATTCTTAAAACAGGTTCTTGATTTTGAGTCCAGGCTGGCCTTAAACTTGTAATCCTCCTACCTTAGCCTCCAGAATGCTCAGATTATAGCCAAGGGCCACAAGACTTGTTTACTTTTTTTTTTGTGGGGGTTAGGAAGAAGCTAGGTTCAACCTGGTGTCTTTTAGTTCTTTAAATTATAGGAACCTTGTTAGAGTAGATGAGGTGATGGATGAGAAAAAAAGATAATGATTTGCAAATGTAAAAACTGGGTTAAGAAATGGCCTGTTTGTAGTGTTTATAAACATTGTGTACTTTATCCAAAACCAAGCAACCCAGACTACTGAGTAGGAGAACTGTTACTTGCATAAGCAATGGCACTTCATTGACTTGACAAAACTTAGTTGACTTTCTAAAAACCAAGTAGACTAGTAGCCACATTCTAAGATGAAGTGCACCCCAGAAGAGACTCGTATCACTGTTTTCCATGGACATTTTAAGGATTTTCTCAAAGCTTTAAGTTTACATAATAATAGTGACCTTTATCTATACAAAGTATTAAAATACTGAGATCTTAATGGCATGCTTTACTGAGTGGTACAGACTGTGAAGCTGTAACCAGCCTCCCTCAGTTTGAGCAAACAAGCTGCCAACTTGGTCCTCATTAAAATTTTTTTCTAGATTTTTTTGGTTTGTTTTTTGTTGTTGTTGTTGTTGTTGTTGTTGTTGTTTTTGTTTTGTTTTTTCAATTCAGGGTTTCTCTGAGTAATATCCCAGCTGTCCTAGAACTCTCGCTGTAGACCAGGCTGGCCTTGAACTCATGGAAATCTGCCTGCCTATACCTCCCAAGTGCTGGGATTAAAGTAGTGTACCACCACTGTCCATCTAGATTTTTTTCCTTTTTTTTAACTTTCCCTTTAGTGTGTTTTTTTCATGTGAAGCTTTGAAAGATTGCAAGTCTTTTCTCTATTATTTTGAATATTGCAAATGATGGGAGAATTCTCTAGATACCTCCATATAGATCCTAAGGGATTGGGTGGAATGAACACTAATTTTATCTTTAAGCAAATAGTTGTTTTTCCCCTTGGTCACAGCATGAAGAGGAACTTCTTAACGTACGAAGAGGGCTGTCATCATTATTCAAGGTTCATGAAGGAAATGACATGTGAAATCTGGCTGATGTCAACACATTTTATCTGATTATTAGTTTTTGTGTATAACTAAAAAGAAAAGCAAAGTAGCCTTGCAAAAATGTGTCATCAAGCAGCTGCATGTTTATGTGAAGGGACCTCCAGACTCAAATGTTTTTTTAGAGATGAAAAAAATATGACTCTAATGCAGCATGTGTGCACTATGAAAAAACAGTAAAAGGACTGACTTATTTTGGATCATATTTATATTAAAGTGTATTTTTAAATACAATTTTGGGGTAGATATGCTGAAATTTGCATAATAGATTAGAATATACAAGTAGTAAAATATTAGCCATCCTTTGAAAAGGGAAGATACTCTGCTTTAAAATGTGTGCTTGTTAGTATTTTCATTGAGGTATTTCTTATTCTAGTGTACCAAAAACATACTAAAGACCTGAAATTGTAGCTACTTCATAAATATTTTAACTCCAAAGCAGGCCGCTTTGATAATGCTTTCTAAGTTCCTGATATTCATATAATATTCTGTTAGATTATTTTTGAAATAAATGCGTACTTCACTTGAGTAAATATAATTACTTTATGATCACCATTCTATTTTATGAACCATGAATTACAAGCTACCTTCAGTCAAACACTTGAAGGACAATACCAGGTAGCTTTGTTCTCCTTTGTCTATTTCAAGGTGGTGTAGAGTATTTGAACAATACCAGTATTCAGTGTTATAATGGTAAAGTGGCTTCTTACTCAAGTATAAAATACATTTTCAGTGGGTTCAGTTGACATCAGCTAAGATTTTTAAGATTTTTGAGGAAAGTGATGGAGTTTCTAATTTCAAAAGAAAAAGATATTTATATTTTATTAGCTCATTAAATAGTTTTGTATATAGCAAAGGCTTACTAATTTGTAGCTCTTGTTTTATTTTTGAGAACAGGGTCTGTGTAGATCTGGCTAACCTCAAATTCAGATCTGCCTACTAAGATTAAAGACATGCTCCCCTACATCTAGCCTTAAGATGGTATATTTGTAATGGTTAGTTTTAGTGTTTTTCAAATTGTTGTGTATTTTCAAACACATTAAGTAAAAGTTATCCTTAAGATTATTCTAAAATAATCCTTAGAAGGAAATAATTCAACTTCTTTTTCATGAAACAGAAGTTTTGAGTGAGATAAATGGTTATGCTGTTTTGAACTTTAATATATACTATGACACCAAAAGGAATTTAGTGCAATGGGCTATCACAATAACGAAATACATTTTAATAGCAATAGTCTGTTATTTACCCAACTTTATGTTCATTTTTCATAAATCAGGTAATTTATTTTGATTGTAAGTTTGAGTATAGAAACTCAAAATAGACTTGATAATTTAGCTATGAGTTGTTCTGGCATTCATTTTTAGGATTTATGACATATTCATTTATTTTTAAATTTAGGCCAGGAGTTAGAAAACTTACTATTCAAGGTTCATGTGATAATGCTTTAGGTTTTGTGGGACAAGAAACAATTTGGAATTAGAATGTATTTCATTTAGAAATACCAGAACTGGTCAGAGAAATGGGTAGGCTAATTGCATATCCTTACCTTTTCCACCTCTCCTCCAAATCCAATCCCCTAGTCTTATCCTCCAATGTAGTAGGCAATCTACTGTGGCCTCCCTTTTCCTTTCTACCCCCATCTTCAGGAAATCATGCAGATCTTCTCCTCAAATTTTGCCTGACTCATCCCTTTCTCCCAATCCCCCAACTCCAGCTGACATTCCTTGGGAGCTTGCAGGCCACACTAACCAAAGAAGCAGATAGAGGTAATTATAGATCTTTTCAGATTTTTCCCTCTTCTCCAAATCTAGTTACTAAGTCTCACCCTCAGCTGTATAGCAGACCACTTGTTATAAATGTCCTCTCCTTGTTCTCTGCCACTCCAAGACCCTGCTTTTCTTCCTTCTGTGGGAGCCCCTCATCACTGTCTTCATTCCAATCCCTAAGGATTGGCTCCCAGTACCTAGAAGTGCATTCTATACAGAACTTCCAGTGTCCACACCTGGCAAGATCCCAGAACAATTCCTTACTAGGTAACAGAGGGCCACCATATCCTCCTAAGAACCAGAGTGGACAACAGAATGCAAGGAACAAAACAGCTAAGCAACAAAAGCAAGACCAGATGAATTACAATCATCCCAAACCTGGATACCTGTACAGCAGCATAAAAACACAGTAGCACCCAGGATAATATGTCTTATGTCTCTACTAGAGCCTAGGAACCCTACTACAGTAGGCTGCAATGATATATTATTTATGATTCAATAAAGCTTGCCTGAGGGTTCAGAATGCAAAGCTAACTACAAGCCATAGAGGCCAAGTAGTGGTGGCACACACCTTTAATCCCAGCGACAGCGACAGATGGATCTCTGAGTTCAAGACCACCCAGGGCCACACAAGAGTGAATCAGTCTAAAAGAGAAATAGAGCTCACACCTTTAATCCCAGCACTAGGGAGGTATAAAAGGAAGAAGCAAAGGGCCTCATGTGAGATTTAGTTTCCAGTCAGGGGGAGCATTGCCTCTAAGGATTCATGCAGACAGGATCACCCATTTCAGTATGAGGTAGAGTTAAAGCTACTGGCTTTGGCTGGCTGCTTTGTTTTTCTGTTCTTCAGCTTGAACCCCGATATCTGTCTCTGGGTTTTTGTTATTCATGTTACAGTAGGCCTTGAGATATTCAACATAGCTCAAGCACAAGGCAAGACTTTAAAGAAATCTATGAAAACACAAACAAGCAGTGGAAAGAAATAAGTAAAACAGTTCAGGACCTGGAAGTGAAAATAGAATCAATAGAGAAAACCCAAAATGAGGAAAATCTGGAAATGAAAAGTAAGTTCGGAACTCAAAAAAAAGGAACATCAGAGGAAAATCTTACCAACATAATACAAGAGATGGAGGAGAGAATATCAGGCATTGAAGACAAGATAGAAGAAATCAATGTCACAGTCAAAGAAAATGGTAAATCTAAAATACTCCAGACACAAAACAGCCAGGAAATCTGACATGAAAAATTCCAAATCCACAAATTATAGGAATAGAAGAGGGGAAGTAGAATCCCAGGCCAAAGGCACAGAATATATTTTCAACAAAATAATAGACAGTTGCCCTAACCTAAAGGTTGTCTATCAAGGTACAAGAAGCATGCAGAACACCAAATAAGCTGGACCAGAAAAATAATTCCTCTAAGCACATGTGGTGATTTGAATGAAAATGGCACATAGGCTCATAGGAAGTGACATGATTTGAAGAGCTAAGAACATGTGGCCTCGGTGGAAGTGTCACTTAGGCTTTGAGGTTTCAGAAGCTTAAGCCAGGCATAGTAGCTGATTGACTTCTTTCTGCTGCTTGTCAACCCAGATACAGAATTCTCAGCTTCTCCAGCACCATATATGCCTGCATGCTGTCATGCTTTCTGCCATGGTGATAATATATTAAACCTCTGAACTGTAAGCCAAGTCCCAATTGATGTTTTCCTTTATAAGAGTTGTGGTGGTCATGGTATCTCTTCACAGCAATAGAATCCCTAACTAAGATGATCCTGGTGCCAGGAGTGGGGTATTGCTGTTATAGGCTTGATAGTGGTCTTGTTTGGAAGAATGTGGACTTTGGATTAGGAAAGCAGACTGTTTTAAGTGGTTTAATAGTGCATACTTAGTAGAAGCATAAAAAACAGTGGTGCTGAGGGTGATCTGAACTGTGTGTGGTGGGGGGTCTGGCTCAAGAGGAGAAGAATTAATGTATGTGCATGTGGCCTTGTGATATTTTGGCAAAGAATGTAGCTGCTTTCTGTCCTTGTCCAAAAAAATCTACTTATGCATTAACATCTTTAGCAAAGATTTCTAGACTGTCTGGTATTGACTTGCCTTGTTATGGCCATGCTTATGCAGATCTATAGTGAACATTAGCAAGCTGAGCAAGAAAAATCCAAAATTTACAGTTTGGAGAGAAAAGGGGCACCATGAACTGTAACCAGATTAAAGAAGTCTGAATCTAAGTGGAATAATTGGAGTGGTGACCTTAGAGCGAGACCCCACCTGGCCAAGCTTTGACTTGGGAAAAGCTTAGGCCCCGGTGTGGTGGGGCACAATTTTAATCCCCATACTTGAAAGGAAGAGGCTTGCAGATCTCTAAATTTAAGGCCAGTCTGGTCTAAAGAGCCAAGTTCCAAAACAGCAAGCTTATTAGGCAATGAAGGAAACCATTGAAAACAGGGAGCTGGTGAAATGTCTTTGAATGAGGGAGCCATGTTTCAGCACCAGCAAACAGCCAAACTTGGTAGCTTCAGCCACATGGTGTTCTGGTTTTAGTCCATGATACAAATGAGGAATTATGGAATTTTGCTTAGAGACTAAGGAAAACCACTTGGGCCAGGCATGTGTCAGGGGTATCTCTGCATGGAGACCCAGAAAGCTATTGTGTGAAGCTGTGAAAGTGAAACCTAGATTTCCATGGAGATCCCAAGATGTTGGTGATGTCAGAGATGTGAGATACCTGCAGAGAGAGCTGGAGACTAGGTATGGAACCAGCCCAAGTGAAGTGTGCTACCGTCAACACAGCTGGAAGGAGTTCGAGATCTGAAGAGGGTTTTGATGACAGGGAGATATAAAGCTTGGAGTTTGCTCAGCTGGTTTTAAATCTTGGTTTGGTCTATTATTTACTCACTGTGGTCTCTTTCCTCCCTGTTGGAATGGTAATATATATCCTGTGCCATTATATATTGGAAGTATGTGACCTGCTTTTTTATTTTGATTTTACAGAGGGATATAATTAATAAGTATCATGAGTCTCTGAAGAGACTGAACTTTGGATATTTAAACAGCTGAGACAATTACAGACTATGGATGGAGATTTTTGAAGTTGGATGGAATGCATTTTGCATTATGATATGACTACAAGCCTGTGGAGGCCAGAAAGTGGAATGTGGTCATAGAGAATGGCATTATGTGGAGGGATTAGGATGTGTGGCCTTGTTGAGTATATATGGCCTTGTTGGTGGAAGTGTGTCACTGCAGGTAGGTTTTGAGGTTTCAGAAGCTTAAGCCAGGCTCAGTTGTGTTGCTCCTTTCTGTTCCTAAATAGACCTAACAGACACAGAATATTTTTGTGGAAGAAATATTGAGCACATACTCTAACACAAAGCAAAACTTGACAAATAGAAGAAAATTGACTACCGCTGATTAAAGCTGGATATCAGAAACTGTAGAAAACTTACAAACTCATGGAGACTGAATAACTCACTACTGAATGAAAAATGGTCAAGACAGAAATTAAGAAATGACTTTCTAGAATTGAATGAAAATGCAACATATCCAAACTAATGGAACAGAATGAAGTAAGTTTTAAGAGGCAAGTCTAAAGAGAACTAAGTGCCTACATTTAAAAAAATGGAGCAATCTTATACTAGTAACTTAACAATATACTTGGAAGATTTAGAAGGAAAAAAGAAATGACATCCAAAAGGACCAGATAGCAAGAACTAATCAAATTCAGGGTTGAAATCAGTAAAATTGAAACAAAACAGCTAGTA